CCTCGTTGTTTGTTGTTCGGGTTGACACCCTATTGCCACAATGGCTTTCTCACGGCTCCTCGCCATCATCTCCTGCCTCTCGCTCGCTGTCTTCAGCACCGCTGCCCCTTCATCATCGTCGCATTCGCTTGATAGAAGAGCAGATGTCGTTCACTTTGAGGTTACGTTAACATGGGAAGACTATTCCCCGGTTGGCGGCACACCGCGCAAGATGATCATGACCAACGGCACTTTCCCTGGCCCTCCCCTGAAGATGACGGTCGGCCAGAGTGTGGAATTCCTTGTTCACAATGAACTTCCCGATGCAACTACGATTCACTTCCACGGTATTGTTCAACAGGGCACGCCATGGTCAGACGGTGTTCCCGGTCTCACGCAACACGCCATCGCCCCCGGCTCTTCCTTCTTGTACAAATGGACCGCTGACGCCTCGGGCGTCTACTTTTACCATGCCCACTACCGATCGCAGATCATGGATGGCCTGTACGGCGCCATCATAATTTCTCCCGCCTCCAAGGACGATAAGCCGTTCAGCTTGATCAACGATGATCCTTATTTCCAGGATTTGATGTCAGCTGCAGACGATGAGTTGCAGACTGTCTTCATCTCGGACTACAACAAGTACACCTCGGCGGAACTGCACCAGCAGGAACAAGATGCCAACATCGACTTTGCTTGCGCTGACGCCATCATCATCAACGGCAAGGGCTCGCAGATCTGCCTGTCCCGGGATGAGTTGACTGCGTATACGAGCCCCAAAGTTGCTCCCCTGCTTGCTGCAGTGAGCCCATCTGAGATTACCGACAAGGGCTGCTTGCCTCCCAATCTGCCAGCCACGCAAGGCAACTTCACCTTCAACATCGAGACGCTCCCATCCGATGCCTACTTTGACTGCACACCCTCGTCCGGGCCGACCGAAGTCATCACAGTGGATCCCGCAAAAGGCTTTGCTGCCCTCACATTCATCAACCCTGGTGGATACGAGTTGCTCAAATTCACCATTGATGGACACAGAATGTGGGTTTACGGTGTCGACGGCGGCTATGTTACGCCCCAACTCGTGGACCAAGTGGTTGTCAACAACGGCGACAGATACTCGGTCCTGATCGAGCTCAACCAAGCTCCGGCCCAGTACGCTATTCGCGTTGCGAACAATGGTCTCAATCAAGTCCTTAGTGGCTTTGCTGTCCTGAGCTACAAGGACTCGACGGGACCCGCGTCAGAGGATCCGAATGCGTTGGCTATCATGAACTTCGCCGGTGTCAACACCACAACGTTCGTCCCGTTCAACGACAATTTGGCCGCTCCCTATCCTCCGTCGGCCCCAGCGCCCACTGCCGACGTCACTTACCAAATGAACATCAAGAAGCTCGGTCAGCCCGCCGGAGCCTACCAGTGGACCCTCAGTGGCGTGCAGGGTTTCTCGGAAGAGCTGGAAGACCAACAGCCTCTCCTTTTCGAAGACCCAGATAGCGTCACCGAAAGTGATCTTATCCTCAAGACCACCAACGGCTCGTGGGTTGATTTGGTCATCCGAACCCAAGGACCTCTGGCTCAACCTCACCCAATGCACAAGCACTCCAACAAGGCGTACGTCCTGGGCAAGGGTGTCGGCAACTGGACATGGAACACTGTCGCTGAGGCGGCGGCAGCTCTTCCTGCCAACACGTTCAACTTCCAGAACCCACCTCTGCGCGATGGGGTAAGTTTGCCTTCCGGAATGAAAATGAGTCAACGAGCTAACATTTCGTGTCACAGTATACCACAACACCCAACGAGCAAAACAGCACCTGGATGGTGATCCGCTATCAAGTCGTCAACCCCGGCGCCTTCCTCTTCCACTGCCACGTTCAGACACACATGGCTGGCGGCATGGCTCTTGCCATGCTCGATGGCGTCGATCAGTGGCCGGAGGTGCCCACCGAATATGCCGAGGGCAATGGCATCTCCCACAAGCTGGCGAAGAAGGGCAAGCTACATCCCGTGCACCAAAACAAGCATTAAAGGGAAGAGGCGTTGTACGCAACATAATGTCATGTCCAGTTCCTGATACCAACACTAAAAAGTGACGACAGCCTGGGGGCTGCTGCTGCATATTGAATAGCATACCTGGGGTTTGCATATATAATGAGCGAGGCTTTGATGACTTTTACACCGCGAAGAATATCTTTCTTAATTCCCCCTTTTGGAGCAAGCCTCGACCCGATCTATGTACCTGGTGTATAGTCTTCTTCATACACATCTTATACCCAGTGAACTTCCTAATGCTCCATCCTCGCCGCCGCGGCCTCCACCACCTATGTACAGCACCTGTGTAGCCTCTCGCTACAGCACGGACTCGCCGCCGCTTCATGCCCCCGAGGTTTCGGTTTCGGCTGCGCAAAGCCAGACCATCGATCATAGTACGGAGTACGTACCGCCGTTATCGCCAACCCACCCGGGCCCTGAAATTACGACCAGTACTTGGCGTCGCCTTGACACCAGCGACAAGCTTCGGGACCCAATTTCCCGCCCACTTCGTGAAACGCTGCACAACATCCTGCCACCCGTGCCACCTGGATTTCTGTCCTGCAACGCGCGTTATGAGGCGGCGTCGTTGATCGACGCGTCCGAGGCCACACACCGGGCTGGCCCTTTGTGCCCTTCCTTGGGGCCGTGAGGGTCAATTAATCTTCCCTCGCGCCGCCCAGTCGATCGGCCGCTGCCTTGGCTTGGCTTGGTTTGGTCTGGTTTGGTTGCATCGGCGGCGGCGGTCACGCGCTTGGCTTTGAATCCCTCAGTCCTTACCAGAGGCACGTCATGTGTTGGGTGGTGTTGGTGAAGTGTTGACTGGAGTAGTCCGTAATGCATGACTCTTTTGTCACACGTCCGAAGCATCATGGCCTGATCGCTGATGGAATATTGGATGATCTGTCTTATTTTGTCATGTTGCATCCTGTCGCATCGCATCGCATCAGATCACATCAGATCACATCAGATCACATCGTATGTACGCAGTATGGAGTACTGTCGAGTGCCACGCACTTTGATTTATTATCCGGAGTACTTTACGGAGTACTTCACCTCACTTCCACTTCGCATTTTGGCAGACAGTCGGACGCCCCTTTCAATATTCACCTGTCCTTCCGGCGCGTACTCAGTACTCGCTACTGGAGGAGAAGTCTGATTGTCTCAGACATTACTCCGTGCTCTGGGTAGCACTCCATATTCAGTACTGGGTACACGAGGAATGAGTAGGATGATTGTGTCCTGCACATAGTACATCAGTAGTACTCCGTACCCCGTACATACTGCAGCAATTCCTAGACCAGGCGTTTGTGCTTCACGCAAAGCCACACACTACCATACCAGCACCTCGTACTCGGTCGTCCGTCCCGGTCGCCTCCAGCGCTCCGCAAAAACACTGTACATAAGTATCTCCCGAGAGGCAAAGCAACGTCCGTGGCCAGGACACACGCCCCGCACAGAGATAGAGTGCTTGCTGTCCACCCCACCGCTCACTGCTTACTACTATGGTCTCGGGAGTAGATTTCTGCATTACCCCTTGACATCGACTCACTCCTCTATCTCCTCCCAGCGACGGCGACATGCACCACCCACGCCCACCGCACGGCCAGGATCCGCAGTACTACTGCACACTGACAGTGTTCAATTGCCACATATGATACGTGACACGTGACGCATGACGCGTGACACGATCCTCTCTCGGAGCCCCTTTTTCATGGAGTCCTGAGTCCTGTCGATTCCATCACTGTAACGTTGTTCGTCCAAGATCGCAATCTCTCCTACGGCAGCCATGGGCAGCACTTAATCATACTGTACGGAGTACACACTTACTCCTTCCTGTGTGAGTCGAAGTCTCGCTAGCCCTCCGTGAATGAATAGCCTTTCGACCGGCAAGAGCCGGACCCCAAGCCACTGATTGCAGCCCTGTCGGACAAGATTGCGCCCAGATATCTTGAAATTGCGCCAGAAAGCTCCCCTTCGCTCTTGGGAGGGGAGGTCTTGGCTTTGACGTTTGAGGAGAGATTACGGATTGGGAAGGATGGAGTATGTTGAAAGTCCTCCGTATGGAGAATCACCTTCTGTACGGAGTACTTATGCGTCCAATACTGCAAACGATTGGAATTGGAATCCCTTGATTTGTCTTTATGAGCAAGCCAAGCGGTAAGTGGTTCTGGTAAGCGGTACCTGGGATGTGATGCGGAATGGAGTCGCAAATAGGTTCATACGGACGAGGTAAGTAGTACCCAGGACTATGTACTCCGTACCTAGGTACACCACTGTCTCCAACCGCCACGGAAATAGTACGGGTGCCGGTCATGGGGAGAAGGAGGATACCTCGAGATCGTGCCGTAACTTACGGGAAAGCTCATTCCTGCGTCTTCCACTCCAGCCAGCGTTCAGGCATGCCGATTGAACTGCTCAGTGGTGTACTCCGTACTGGACGCCGTATCTCTCTTTTGAACTGTTCGCCGTGCTGCACGCATACTGTACATACAAGCTGGTTGCGTGATTCCTCTCGATAAAACGAGCACAATACTTGTCAAACCTCGTCGACTCGTCGCTGATATCTCTGATTCCATGCACGTCTGACACAACAGTGACCAGCCTCGACATGGGTATTGTCTTTCAGCCAGTTGCAGCAGCGGTGAGTATCACTTCAGGTATCCAGGTCGCTCTCCAGCCGTGCCTTGCTGTGTTCTTGGTGCTGGGCTCAACAGTCCGGTCTTCCATCCGTTCCATGCCATCATCGGATCCAAGATGCATAGTAAGTCAGTCTGTTCTACACGTTTGAGTCGACCCTCCAATCCAACCTTCCACGCTATCTCCGCCTTTGTGTCTCCAGCATGTGTCCTATTCCGAAGACTTGGATGCGTCTTTTGCACTAGGCATTTCAGGTTGCCAGCAAATCGGGACAACTTTCTAATTTATTTTCAACCCTTCATAATCGGTGGCGGGACTTGATGGGCCTTGACATACTCGTCCTAACGCAGCTGTTAGCTTACAGAAGCTAGTCGAACATAGAGAAAGATACTGACCACTAGCTCGCGGATCTTGCATCTGGACCACCTTGTCCAGATCTCTGTGCTTGTAAAGAATCCCTCTGGCAGGCCGGCAGACCTGGCGGCTTGTTCACGAACCGCCGTAAATTTGAGGGTGTTGGGTCTATCCTTTAGGAGAGCCGTTATCGCGTCCTGCACATGTACGCTGGCCACGTCTTGGCTGATATTCGTTCTGGATCGCGTTGTGACGGACTTCGCTGGAGCCGAAGCGGGGGCTAGACGCGGACGCGAAGCTGAGGCCACAGCCTGCGGGTCTGGCTCTGCCACTGCTGGTACTGGGGAAGCCATGATTGCTCGGGGGCGAGATGTTCGTAAGGGATACCGCCGCTCCGGACCATGGTCATTGATAGTGGAGGGACTTCGCGCTGCATTGTTGGTAACTGGCGGGTGTGTATCGTCCGTGCCTGCTGAGCTCAAGGTGTCGACGAATTCCTCATCCTGGTCCTCTGACATCAACCTTGCCTTGTTGTCGCGAAGTGACGGTTGAGTACCTGTATCATTCGTAACCGCTGAGCTGGATGCGTCCACAGAATCATGATTCTGATGATACGATGTAAACCGTTCCGGCGCGGCCACTGCCTTTAGAGAACGCGGAGCGGCACTGAAAGGCACGATAAGCTCTTCCATAGGGATATCTTCTCTCTCTATTCTCTGTATGTCGTCGGAGGCCAGAATGCTCCTCCCTCCGTCAGCGGTCACTCGGTTCCGAATCTGTATCCGAATGAAAGCATCATTGAGACGACGAACTCCCTCTTCGGCTGAGGCGTCTAGCATGGCAGAGGGACAGAACACCAAGGCTTGACCGGTCTTCAAACCGATGATCATCTCGAAGAGCGCTGGGTCTCTATGGTCGTGGCAAAGATGAGCACCGGCTAAATGTCGACGTAGGACCTCGAACCAAGCTGGAGAATTGAACCGATGAACAATCGAGACATTGCAAAGATCAAGGAGGCTGGGAGCCAGTGTAGGTTCCTGTGTAGCAATGATGATCCGCGTTCCGAGATGTCGTTGTTGGCGGACAATAGATGTTAGCTGCTCAGTGAGTTTCTCGGCCTCTCCCGACTGGGTCAAGAACTGCGAAGGATTAGCGACTTACCCTTGCGTGAAATACAGCATTACACACCTTATGTGCTTCATCAAGCGCGATGATCCGGCCACAATCGCCCCGATGTTCCATGAACAGTGACAAGCAGATCGTAAAAAGAGCACAGGCATCGTTTTCGTTGACAAATGGACAGCTCAGATCAACGATGGTGAGCGTTCCTTGAGCAGAATTGAAGAGACGGTTCAGACGAGCCGTGGATCGTTCTGATTGCTGCTTATGGGCGAGAAACGACTCCAATAACGCAAGGCGCATCTCTAGGGGAGTTCTCTGCTGAGCACTAAATGCCTGTCTTGCCAGCCGCTGTTTGAAGTCGAGGTAGTCCAGACGGCCTTCACCCTTGTTTTCAGTGGACATGTCGCGGAGGATCTTGAAAAGGACTTCCATGTATAATGGGACACCCTTCTCTCCGTTGGCAGCCATCAGTGTCATCAACCGCGAGACGTTGAGCTGGTGCTCCTGGAAATATAAGGGTATGACTTCGGGCCGTGGCGTGGCGGCAGGCAAGCCTGGTAAGTGTCTGTAAAGCTTTCGCATGGCATGAACATTGCTGGGAGATACGAGGACGCGTACCTGGACGCCCGCAGAACACAGATATGCCGCCTCGCAAAGCTGGGTGCTCTCGTAACTCGTAAATCTGTCATAATGGAAGACCAATCCTGCCAGTGGGTTTGGATTGTTTCCAGCAAGAGACGATGTCAGGAGGGAGTTCTCCAGCAGGCATGACAGAGAGTGGCTTTTTCCCGTTCCCTGGGAGCCACAGATGTATACGGACCAAGGAGCGTTCATGTTTGCATAGACCAGATTTTGTTCCACCGAGAGTGTGTTGGACATATCTGGATGTCGGGAACCGTAGGTTCTTTCACGAACCCCAAGGAGACCGTACTGCTGGAATATATCGCTGGCGGACCCGGCAGCTGCCAATGGTCCCCTCCCATTCTCCATTACCATTCTGACTTTGTGGGTGAACAGTGGAGTTGTCCTGATTTCTTCGACCTCTCCATCCGACTGAGTGTCAGCCGCAGACACGCGAGGGATGAGCTGTAGATGGTTTCGAGCTTCTTGGTCTTTATTGGCATGTCCAGGGGTTGGTATGGATGATGGTAAGATACAGCCTGGGTGTGGGTGGGCGTGATGATGTTGCGCAAGGCTAATCTGGGCTGGCAGGGCATTTGGGAATTGTCGGGAATCTGAGCGCGAGGAGCAGGAACCAATATTCCCTGTACCTGGTGTGATCGGAGAGGTCGTCGTACTTGCCGAACACCCAGTTTCGACACTGGAGTCATCAGGAGGTAATGGCTCCATGGTGCTGTTGGTGGCAATCGACATTTTACGGGTATGGTGGAGTGTAATGAGCCAGTTGAAGCAGCTATGAAATGCGTATCAGAAGAAAAGGAGTTGGTAGGGATAAGGATCAGATATCTTTGAGTTGATTTAACAGACCGAGACACCGAAAAGCGCGTAAAGCGAGTATAGCTAACAGGTTCAAGCGATCGCAGCCAGATATTGCTGGCGCGTATGAGGTCATGCTGCGGTCAGCCGTGTAGTTGAGAACGCAAGGAGGGAATGGTGAAGGAGATAGAAACGAAAAATCAAATATGTGCAAGTAGGACTTTTTGACAAGGCAATGACAACTGAGAAAACATACAATCTGTCGAGCAAACAAGAGATCAATCCGGTCAGATCGATCAGGCTCCTAGTGTTGATTGGTAAAAGACAACTGCTGAGGTCGACTAAAAGAACAAAACGCAGGTCACCCTGTGGTAACCGCCACTGTCTTGCACGCGATCGACGACCTGCTTATCTTCGTGCCGGCTTGCTGAAGACCATGGAAGACCTTTTCTTGCGGTGAGCCAGGGCACAAAGTGAGACGATTTGATTCATGCTGTTCAAAGTGTTCCGTGTTCAACTCCGCTATGTTTGTCTCACGCTGCTCGGTTATTTCCAGCTGTGCTATGGCTGTCCCCAATCAAAATCTCTGATTCGCATAAGTGGCTGTGGTATCAGGATGATTCTGAGCTGGAAGGCTGCTCATATTGCCCACACCTCCCGAATGCGCCCCAGCGCCAGTTGTCGTTCCTCCTATGGCTGTGGAATGACCGGTAGTTCCTGGTCCTCCTATGGCTGTGGTATGACCGGCAGTTCTTGGTCCTCCTGTGGCTGTGGTGGGACCGGTAGCGGTTTTTCCTCCTGTTCAAACGCATCAGTACGATTGTTGATATTGTAGGCGCAACAGGCGCAGGGCAGTCGCACCAACTTGCTCATCAGCGCGCAGCACGTCTGACTGTCCTTTCTCCTTGATTGCCTTATTCTTGACTTCTCCTTCTCGGTCATTGAAGGCTGTGTCGATGGATTCGTTAACCGTGCCACGAATCGCGTCGCCTGCGCCCTTGATACCCTTCAAGATACCCTTGGCATCGCCAACGGCGCTTTGAGTCTTGTCTTGTGTTCGGTCCGCCATCTTTGGAGGGAGAAGCTGGTGGTACGAATGGGTAGCTAAGCTGGTGTCAAGATAAATTCGTTAGAGTCGCTAAACAGAGGCAGGAAAGGCGTGACTTCAGTTGCGCCTGGTTCGGGCATCTTATAATTTACGTGAACCATGACGCAACACGGCGCACCACGTGTCAGCGCGATATGCAAATCCGAGAAGCAAAACAAGGAGAAGGTGGAATGGAGTGTGAGGTCACTGAGTAAGTGAGCCTACTCGCATCCACCTCTCTCGAAGCCTCCATTCAAGTCAAGCTTTCGGGTGATCTCGGCCGTTCGGATTAAATTCCCGGGGGCTTCGTCGGAACCCGAGCTCATGCGAGTTGCCGTTGGAAATGAATTACACAGTAGAGACACATAGAATAACCACACTGAAATGTACCACAGCCAAGACCGTCTGGCTACTCATCCCTCACACCGAGATCCATGCTGCCATCCTCACGTCTGTTGGATGCCGCTCAGGCCTTACTATGAATCTCCTTGCTAGCATGTACAGATTCTGGTTCATCCTCATTCGCATGCCGGGCAGACCCTCCTGGCCCCCCAATGCCATCGTGTTCCCAGAACCTATTCTTGTTATCCTGACCTGTAGCCAGTCCGACGAGGTCGAAAGGATCGACAAGAGTCAAGAGGAAAGGCCTATTTTCAACCATGCCTGGCCCTTCAATCTCCGTCTTCCCATCCATTGCAAGATAGATCTTATTGTTGCGTGGTAGGTATTTTAAAGGCGGATAGACGTTCAGGAGATAGCTGTTCAAAAGCATTGGTACAACTTCGAGAACCCAGAAGATCCACTCTTTGCCGTTGGCTGTCGAATCTGGCGGGTAGAAGAAGGCTGCTGTGCGAAAGGTGTTGCGGATGAGAATGAGGAAGGCAGAGAGGTAGAGACTGTACACGACGACTTTGACGTTGTGTGAGAAGACATTCGCCCTGAGGCACCGGCGGTGAAAGATGACAATCAGGTAGATAAATGCGAGGAACCTCCAGACTCAAATCAGCTCATATCGACAACCCCACGTCACGCCATTTCCTCGCCAGACCGGCGGTTCGTGAAGGGAGGGAAATTGACTTACATGCCTAGTAGAAGAAAGAGTGACACTTTGACGAGGATGATTCCCATTTTGATCTTGGACAGACTGTTCTCGGTGTTGGCAGCGTACGAGGCTCCATTGCCTGCGATGATTCCATCGATAGCATCTAGGGCGACGAAAGTTGTCCAGACTCGTCCCGGATGTATCGGAGATAAATAGGGAACATAGTAGAGCAATCGGCCAAAGATAAAGTAATCGGCACCGTTGTATACTGGTGGTGCGATGAACAAGAGCACTGTACTGGCGACGAAAACACCAAGGTTATCGGTATGGTAGGCACCGTATTCTCGTGTGATAAGACCAGCAACAAAGAGCGCGGCCGCCCATGGGAACAGGAAGCCAACGCGCCAGGAACCCTTATATTTCAGGTTGTTTTGCCATGCGTGAAGAACGCCGGAGATGAAGAAAAGGACAGCAAATGCGATAGAGACGCCCTTCGTCGGCTTGTAGACCCAGTACGATATGTCAGAGGGGACAGCCATGACTCCAGGAATGTTGCGCTTGTCGAAAGAGGTTGCTGGTAGTCGGAGCGTCTGCGCTGGCGGAGGTGAGAGACGAAGCCCTGGAGGTTATATATGTGAGAGCCAGGTTACCAATATCAACCACATCAGTGGCAACGCCGATACCATAGGTTCTTCTATGCGAGGAACAAAGATATCAAGGGGTCGATGACATCGAAATCAGCCTGTTGGAGCGCCTGCTGCCACCTGCTACGTATGGCCACCTGCCGAATACGAGGAAGGATAGGGAGAACAACATGGGCCGCTGGCAGTAAATTGTTTCGCCAGCACACGGCAAATCAGCCATAACATGGAGTCAGGGTGCAAACACTCCCCGTCAGGGATATTGCAAACACTGAAGCTCACAATCATGTTGCACGCCAGTAAGTACATTTGCCAGTAAAGGTAGGCGAAGGAAGGGTGCCTCGTGGTTGCCTTGCAGAGAACCGTGCAACCTAATTGAAGGGTTGGCCATAGCCAACGACGCTGCCTCGCAGAATTAGCTTGAAGGGTCTTAGCGGTGGTGCAAATGGAGCGGTTCTCAACATCAGTCACAGGCTAGTGTACCCGCTGTAGGATATAACGGCAAAAGGGGTGGTCGTCCTGGAGACAAATGTCCGAATACGAAAACAGATGGGAAGCAATCGTAGAGCTCGGCAATCAGCCTCGCTGAAAGCCTTGCCAAGAGATACGGCGAAGCGCTCGAGCCTAAGTACGTGCAATATGGTGGAAATGCTCCGGCGAAATACCAATGACATCATAGGGAGCGGCTACTGGCGGCGAGACTTCGGCAATTCAGCATTCCTTCTTGTCGAGACCTCGGCACAACAGCATATCTCATGAATCGCTCTTCCTACCCAAATACCACTCACCGTGTCGGTTTTAACGTTGAGCAAATCAAGTACTGTTAGTGAGCGTGAGAATGAGCAATAGCACCATGGATGCAGTGACGAAGCCCCATGGCAGTCACTAAAGGATGGTGAATACCTCTCGTTCTGTTGATATGATGGAGTTTGCGCTGCATTTCTCATCCTCTAGGTTGAAGTCCAATAAATTGAGCTTCGGACAACAGGAACTTCACCATTCCTTCCTAACTGACCAATTTTACCTTTGAAAAATCAGTGAGTCGTTACTCGAGCAAGTACGATAGCTCACTCGAATAGTGTGTTATTGGCGAAAGCCAAGATAGAGCTCTCACTGCCATTAGCTCATACCAAGCTCCAACCACAACAACTTACCAACTCCTTGATACGGTCAACAGACGATCAGCATGTCGTCTCAGTCAAACGGCATATCGGCGAACGACGAAATCGAGAGCGCCTATTTCCAGAACAACCCTTCGCCCAAAGCCTTGACCAAACATCAAGCGCTTGCTCGAGAATTTATACAATACCATCTGGAAAATGCTTCTGACCGACGGATCGTTCTAGTCACTTCAGGAGGTACGACCGTCCCTCTTGAAAACCAGACTGTCCGATTTATCGATAACTTCTCTGCTGGAACTCGCGGAGCTACATCCGCCGAATACTTCCTGCAGGAAGGCTACGCGGTCATTTTCCTGCACCGACAATTCAGTCTCCTGCCGTACTCTCGACATTACAGCCACAGCACCAACTGCTTCCTCGACTTCATGGAAGAGTCCGAAGATGGTGGGCGAGTAGTTGTGCGCAAGGAGTACCAAGACAAGATGCGTCGAGTTTTGCAACAGTATCACCTGGCAAAGGACCGCAGATTGCTGCTGCTTCTGCCGTTTACAACAGTCACTGAATACATGTTCGAACTTCGCAGTCTTGCAACGTTGATGCAGCCGTTTGGGAGCCGGGCGCTGTTCTATCTTGCTGCTGCTGTCTCTGATTTCTTTATTCCCAGAGATAGAATGGAGGAGCACAAGATCCAGTCTCGTGAAGGAGGAGGGTCTGGCCGACAATTGGTCATCAACCTGGATCCGGTTCCCAAGTTCCTCAGTAACTTGGTACACTCTTGGGCTCCGAAAGGGAGTATGATTGTCAGCTTCAAATTGGAGACAGATCCGAGCCTTCTTGTGACCAAGGCCGAGCAAGCTCTGGAACGCTATCAACACGACCTCGTGATCGGCAACTTGTTGACCACACGGAAATGGGAAGTTGTTTTTGTCTCCCGTGACGCTGGAGAGAGATGGATCCGGGTTCCCAAAACACGGCGCTCCAAGAGTTTATCGGGAGTGGAAGCCCTCGTGGGAAAAGCAGAGCGCAAGCAAGAACTAGAACCGGTAGATTTGGAGGGAGGCATCGTCACAGAGGGTATGGAAATTGAGAGTCTAATCGTTCCTGAGCTGGCAGTACTACATTCGGAAATGATGGAACAAAGGTCTTCAGCATCAGAAGGAGAGTCGTGAAGATTATGAACGGGTATAGCTAGCACTGAACTCGACCTTGAAATGGAGCTGGGCCGTATGGGATGACCACGACGAAGCACCTCGGGAATAAAGTCCTCACTTACAAGCTGGCAGAGCCACCCGACAGCTCTTGTACGAGTATGATTATTCACCGGGGCCAGGGGTGGCGGTCGGGCCCATCAATGCATGTCTTTCGTTGCCGCAAAGAGGTGTCATATGCGGTGATTTTCGCTCCGCATTTCCTATCGCTTACAAACGGTTTCGCTTGCTGGAGCTGGGAGTGCGCTAAGAGAAGGACTGAATCGTATCGAATATCGTTTTGGGCAATTGGAGCGTAGGTGGCTGTAGCAGATTCACAAATGCAGATATTGAGGGGGTTTAAGAACCTACACCCAGACATAAGAGTCATGAGCCGCGGGGCGTCTCGATGGATTGGCTCAGCTGTCGCACCAGCAGCCCGGGATTTGCATTGTGCATGGCCGAGCCTGTCAGAATGGGGTTAAGTTTGATCAACGTTGAACGGGTTGAACCAGTTAGCTGGGTGGTCTGCACTGGTATTGGACCAGAACGGCAGACCAGCTCGATTTGCGATACGCGAGGCTTGAAAGCAGTTGCACTCGCACCATCGCGCCACCCGACAGCCCCTTGTGACGTATACGCCCTCAGATGGGTGGAGAAGCTTGAGAAGAGCTTGATGCTGCCGTGGGTTGAGCGGGAAGTACGCCTACGAGTGCCAGAAGCTGGTCCTTCGGAACACGTCAAGAGGTGCGTCTGCAAGCGAGCCAGAATCGAGGATCGTTGGACTCGAGGTCCCGAATGGTCAATGGTACCGGCATACTTCGCGGGATGGCGCGCCGCATCGCCCACGATCGCGAGCAGACTTGGGCTCAGTGGTCAGCAGATCCTATCGTACATCTCAAGCCACTAAAGCCACCATCTTAAAACGTCGGGTGCCGAGCAACTCAAATTCCAGAAGCGTGAAAACCAACCCCGCCTTCGATGCAAGAATAGTCATGACTCCGAGCTGGGCCTGAATAATAGTAGAAGTCAAAGTGAGGGATGCCCAAGACTGCCGCAGTTTGTCGGAGAAAGGGAATCCTATGTTTAGCGACGTCTAGAAGGCCCTGCCCTATTTGCTCCAGGCCGGCATCCTGCCTGTCCGGCTTAGCGAGTCTCGAAGCGAACAGTCGTTACACCGAGTTGTGGGAGCTGTGGGAGCTGTGAGAGCTGCAAGAGGGATGCACAGAGTGATGTGCACCGTTAGTGGCACCTGTGGCACCGCTAAGTGGCTCCTCTGGGTGGACTCGTTCGCCTCGTCGCATAAAGCCTGGTCCATGGACTTGCTGGTTTCCGACCTTGTTCAGAGTTTCTCTTTTCCCGTTTGGAACGATTGACCCGCCCTCGGATCTTAAAGTGAAAGTGATGTGGACTTCATGTACGAGGTACCCGTGGACAGAATCTTCCTTGATAGTTTTCTCGTGAAACAATTCCCATCTTTTCAATTTCACTTCAGATGACGGTCAGCTCCTGCCTCTCTGGACACTTGTCTCCAAACCATCATCATTCTAGACTTGTCACTTCTTCCTTACTTTGAGGTCATTCACCGTTCATTTCTAAAGCTTGTGCCGATCGTTTAACAAGAGAGCGAATCAGTTTTCAAAACCTGCAAATCGCTTGCAAGTGGCTTTGCGGGACGGGCTTTTGCTGCTCAGGTCCGTCTCACTTTCTTTCCGCCAGGTTGATATCCACGGTTATTGCCTCTACCTAAAACTCGCCTCATCGTCTATTCATTGTAACCACACATCAACCCGGGCAAGGAGACTGCATGCTCCAACTCAGGGCACAACTCAAGTCTCCCTGAAGTCTGTACTGCATGTAGCTGATGTCGAATTCCAGACTCGGTTGACCCACACCACCCGCTGGCCCCTCTCGCCTCGGTCTCGACCGTGCTGGCAGATCCAGGGAATCCATCCTGTAGTCACACGCGCTGCAGCCGCCAGTCCTAGGATTCGTTTGTACCACAGTCGATTTCCGTGCTGTCATCCCGCCCAATACGCAATGCGATAGCCCTCAACTCGACTTTGCTCGTCCTTTACCCTGACCAGCATGACGGCGGTCGACCGGCCTTGGCCTCTTGAAGGAGACTCTTCAATACCGAATGACAAACCGAACTTGAAGCCAAACTACTTCGAAATGCAACCAGGGTCGACTCGGAAAAACGCATTCGATCAAACTCTGTACAACATCGTGGTTCTGCGCTTGCCCTCGACAGCGTCGGAAGATGAGCTCGACGACCAGCTCTCGAGCGAGGCACAAAACCTCGGCATCCTATCCTTCCAGCCAGCCGCCAATGTTGATGGAATCCGTTCTTCCCTATCGACAATCACAATTGCCTCGGACTCTGTCAACCAAAGCCCCGCCCGGTCTCAGTCTACCGCTTCTACTTCGTGCGCATCCGGTGAACACCAACACGTGACACGGTCCGCGTGTATCTCAGATCGTTCGCCCTCCACTACGGACACGCATTCGCCGGAAACGAGGAAGGACGGGAAGAGGGGCTCACCTCTGAGTAGGGGATTCCGTAAGATGGCAGGGTTTCGCAAGAAGAGGGCAGGAGGTCTCACAAGCTCTTCAACCCTGACTAGCATCAGCAGTGATGCAGAGAGCCATGATAGTGAGACGATCTCCGTCGACATCAGGAGTCCGTCGTCGGCCAAGTCGAGTAAGAGCTCGTGGTCACCGCCAGCCTTTGCCGTCAGACCCAGTCATGACCCACTGCCATTCATTGACATAGATTCACTCAAGAGAAGCATGGAATGCAAGGAACTGCTCGAGCTGCGAATGGCACAATTGGAAGAGAAGGCACGGTTCTTGGAATTTCAGACATCGTTGGTGTCGCAGCTGAGGTCACAGCGAGAGGCGCTCAAATCGTTAAAGAAGGCAGAGCATCAGCGCTTGCTGGCCGAACAAACCGCAAAGGTCAGTCCAAGGTCGATTCAAATTGTAATGCTGTGACTGACGTCTACAGAATGAGCGAGCAGCGGAAGAGCTCGAGGCGCGTCAATTGGAGGAGGAAATGAAAATGGAAGCGGAGCACGATTTGGAGAAGAGAGCCGTCATGTTGCGCTTACGCCATATGGAGGCTTATTGTCAGAATCCCACTCCCCCTCCCACTCCAGTCGAGCTCCTCGCCGGACGCGCCTCTACTGATTCCGTTCTACCTGAGCGTAAGGTCACCGAGAAAGACTATCACAACCTGGCACAGCAGTACCGTGAGCGGGACATCATGGACACGCTCCACACGTCGAAGATCAATGTCTTGCGAGGCAAGCAGAAAAAGGCAGTCGAGAGATTTCTAGAGAAGAAGGAAAAGGAGATGGAATGCATGGAGAGAGAGCAGAAGAAAGAACTTGCTCTGATCGATCGAGACTTTACCAGCCAGGAGACCGATCTCCGACTGGCACTTGACACAAAGAGAGCGAGGCTCGAGTCGCGGTGGAGAACCCAAGCCTTGATCGCGTGCACGAAGGCGGAGACCTCAACGGGCCTCAAGCATGCACCATTGGCCGATGTCGTTGCCATCGAGGACGTCGGGGCTTCTTCGCGAAGAGTCTGACACGATATCGACGCCCTCTGAATATCGAAACGGTTGAGTGAGCATCCTTATCCGGCATTCAGTGCATCCTTCGATTTTGCGTTTGCAGCATACAGATACCCCTTTTCACGACCTGTACATGTTTGTCTATGTGATGCTGTCAGAGGGCGAGGAATGTGAGCGATCCAGATGATGTTCAAGCAGAGTGTGGATCGCAGATTGTCATGGCTCGAGGCGTTATACGTTATCCTGGCAACCCAGTATTGTGTACTGTGACACGAGCCAGCTATCACGGCTCACAAGGGTGGATGCACCTGCAACCAACAAGGAACAAGTATACCGGATGCTTGAAGGCAGCGGGAGTACCAAGCTGATGCCAACGAGCAGGAAGAGCTAAACAGCGCTCAACTCGTAGCATCCACGCAACAACAGTGACCCGAAAAGGCAACGTTATTCAGTCTCGTAACATATTACTTCCTAAAAGCTAGGGGAAGAAGCGAGCAATCATCTTCACCGAATCAGAGTTTCGAGCCCGCATCATATCATTCTTTTATCGGAGAAGTCTGCTTGTCATGGCCCTGAACATGATATCCATCTTTGTGCTCCTCGTGTAATTGCGCACTTGATGCGATAGTTAGCTGCGGTTCCGTTCCATCTTGCTCTTTATTAACCTTCGTCTTACAGTAGCAGGGCGACACCCTGACCATGAGGCAATTGCTGCCATCGAAAGCTCACTGATCATTCAGCCGACCTGAATGGGTTTGAGGACTAGGGAGGTGAGAGGTGCGTGCGCAATGAAATGGGTTCCTACGCTTCAGGAAGCTATTCGCGCGGGGCCTTTTACGGTACTGATTTTAAGTGCTCTAAGCGGCCCTATCGATCGACCGTTCAGCCCCAAGCCGCCCAACAGCCCTGTAGTTCATGTAGACCGACTCTTCTCTACCCTTGCTCATTTTCACGACATAGTACACTAGAGCTCTGCAGCACAAACGGCCGAAAGAAGGTAGCCTGAACGAGAATGAAATTCTTCCGACCTCAATAGCGAGTTGGGACAGACATGCGCGAGGAGTGGTGTCTAGCCCAGGTCATCATCGAATTCGAACGCCTTGACCTGAAATCTGGATGTTGCAATAGGAAGCCTGAGTCAGTACAACGCCCTGTCCTCGTGCATATCTTTGTTGACAGACACCGTCTGACCTCGACAGTCGGTCTCCTTCAGCTGTGTTCGGCCACGATAACCTGGGGCGAGGACAAAGAGCTCAGCAATAATGAAAGTCAACCGTGTTTGCCTAACACTTTCTGCAAGCATCACGATTTATCCAGCCGTCGTCTTGTCCTGTCAATCGTAAGTCTGTGCTTCCATTGATAGAGGATGGCTGCTTCTTCGTCCTCTGAGTCTAACTTCTGGCTCGTCGCAGCGCCTTCACCCAATTTTGAGGATACTCCGACGATCAAGATCGGAGACCGTGAAGTCCCTCTTCCGTCCTATTTCCTCATCCTAGGCTTGGTCGAGAATGGCAGATCGGAAGATGAGATAGTTCAAGACGTCATGCAGCACACAGGGACGAAAGCTCTCCACGTCGTGACCGAGATCGTCCCCAGCGTTGCGCAAAACCAACGACTACTGACAACATCGCCAAAGTCGTCGAAGAGATTTAGCGTCGCGCTCAAGAAGTCGAAGAGAACCGGCGACTACCGAGCCAGTCGGGTTGAAGCCCGACGGGAACTGCAAGTGGTTGAGGAGCACCTAGAGACCGCCAAGCAGACAGAGAAGAAGATCCTCAACGAGGCGATGATCCTCTCTCAGCGCAAGGACGAGCTCAAAGGCATGAAGATGACCCCGGAACAGAGAAGAAGGACACTAGACGCAGTTGAACAGCAGATGAAGCAGGTGCTCCGAACACACCACGACGTCGAGACGGAAATCAGTCACGCCCAACGTTTATCAGTCATCCACAAGACCTCGCTTGCCTAAGAGCAGCTACAGTGTACCTACGAAGCCAGCCCGTTGGGTCATGACGATGGCCTTGTCGGATTGTACCGTGCCCATTCTCTCTTAGGGAAGTGGAGGTGGAAATCGAAGCGGAGGGGGAAACGTCAGCTTCATAGACCGGCACTGGCATGCGCTGACAGCTGGTCAGACGTGCCCACACAAATATTCCAAGTTCACCACACCAACGCTAATCTACAGGTCGTAACGGCACAGACAAATATCCTCCAAATTCCTTGGCGAAATCGACCGATATTCGAGCATGCACGCGGCCCTGTCTGTCGAGTAGCCGTGCGTGGTCGTCGACGGGCACCACGGCCCCATGCCAGACGTTCGGATGAATGTACAGGCCTTTCCCACCATCACACCGAAACGCGATGAATTTCTCCGGCGTCACGTCGTCACCGGGAAGTGCTAGAGGGACGACGAAGCTTTCGCCATTGATTGGGAAGAACAACTGTCCCCCGTCGGGATGGTAATTTGCGCGCCATATCATGGCTCGTTCCCGCGGGACGCGTGGAGCGCCGCCCGTCTCAGCCTCCTCTGGGAACCGGCTCCACGCGAACAGATAGGACGACCCGACGGCGTTGTTTCGAGCGTACAACGTGTCACCTTTCCACCAGAATTCAAACACGCCCTCGGTGACGCCGCCTTGATCGCCCGAGTTTGCGTCGACCGGTCGCCAGCCCTGCGCCGGCCAGCGCACAATCTCAATGTGATGTTCGTGCGGAGAGTCGACGATTTCGCCGTATCCCTTGATGGTCTCGGGCGTGGCTCGCACGAGGGGCGTCTCGAACAGGTTGCGCACTCCCGTCGTCGGTGTGTAGGAGATCTCGCCGGGATCCAAGGCGACGCCATCTCCGGCGTGCACGATTTCAGAATCCACACTCTGGATCGTCTCTGTTGTGGTCATGGCCATGGAGACCGCGGCAGCGAAGGCTAGGTGCTTTGTAGACTCACGCTCGTGAGAAAAGAGTACTTGTGTTTCCCTAAAGGATACTGTAGCAGTGTCCCCCGTACACAAATCGAAGCGAATTCGAATTCTTGCCAGTTCAAAACCCGAGCTTTGGCGGGTGGATACATAGCTTGTTAGACCTGTCTACTTTGTCGTTGGCTTTTATTATATCGAAGGATGTACTCCGTATACCTGATATACAATACAATATCGCATAAGGACTGACCGACTGACTGAATGTCCGTGTCACCGGCCGGAGTCGGCACGAACAACGAATGTTGATCCGTCATAATGCACCAATTGGAGATTTGGCCGGGCACGTCTTCCTACCGGCGTTCATACCGACGTATGTACATAGGGTACGAGGTACGTAGGTGCTCGAGTGAGACATCCAGAATCCAGGAAGGACTCGGGGTTCAGTATATTGTGTTATCTGAGCTGTACTGTGTACACGCTCTGTGGATCGACTGCGGAGAGTTCAAGATGAACAGAATGGAATGTATATGTAGTTACGGAGTACACAATGCGCTCATCTCTCTGCGCTCATCTCTCTGCGCTCTCCTCTCTGCGCTCTGTTCAAACATTACTATACGTATACCCATCCGAGTGGCCTCGGGCTTGCCGTGCAGCGGCTTCACACAACCAACGACACGTCCGCTTTCTTCACGAGGGTCCTCGTAATGTCTGGTTTCCACCAAGCACAAGAAGACAAGATCAGACAAATCCCCAAGTCAAGGCACGCCGCTTGCCACATTCCCGAGCTCCCTGGTTGAACTCATAGTCGCAAGAATTTTGACCACTTCTCTCCGGACATGGCGACTTCTTCGGCGTCGTGGGCTTCTTCAAGGGCATATTGCACCTTCTCGGCACCTAAGTCGCTTCTCGCCGACGTGGATGAGGATGGCTGGTCACGACCCGATCAGGGGCACCTCAAAGGCTGCACAATGGATGATACTTGCGGTCGTACGGGTATGCAACCAGACCTCGTCCCGGCGTTAGAGAACCATGCCTGGCGGGCCCGGCGTCTGGTCTCGAAGCGCCATCTCGCGGATAACACGACAATGAGAAGCACGATACCGGCTACACGATCCTCGAGATCAACCTGGGACGGTCCCGGCATTGGACGTTGGTGCTTTTGGCCAGGACGAGCAGTTTCCATTGGCGTGACGAGACAATTTAGTCTCGCGACAAGTGACTGCGGAATTCCGGTGGTGCCTGACTCAACCCCGATGCCCTTTCGAGATATTTGCACGGGTTACGACTTGTCTCAAGTTGTCCAGGTAGGGAGTCGTCACCAAGGGGAACCTGGCCGGCGGCTGCTAGATGTTTTCTCTGCTTCCCGTCTTACATTCTTCACCAAGCAAATACACGCACGAGACCTCTGAACAGTCGGGGCTGAGCTCGCCGCAGCCATTCGGGCGGTCTGCGATGTGTGGCACAGGGACCATGGGGCCCAAGAATCGACTCTTGAGCAGTCCAAGTCTGGTGACTTCCTTCCGCATGCTACCGCAAAGGCTGCAGCATTTGTTCTCGAAGAGCATTGGCTTCTAAGAAGACCTGTTCTTCTTCCTTCGCGTGCTCTGCGCAGGAGACTTGTTCATTTGCTGTGGCGTGACAGGAGGAGCTTCCTCGAGCGCCAGCCTGACCGATTTCTTGACCTTGCTCTTAGCTCTCTTGGGCCCACCCATACCCACGCCGAGCAAAAAGCAGATTCTTGTAGCAGCGCCGCAGTAGACGAACAAGTAGTTGCCATATGCCATGGCGTTCCAATTGACCAGGTCGTAGTACGTTTTCACGCCCAGTGGATAACAGCTGTATAAATGCCCAAAGTCCGCAATCAGCAGGCCGAGGAGCAATGAGCGCCAGACTTTGAGGTCGTTCGTGGCGCGCAAGACGAATGCCTCGTTGAGTGCGAATGCGAGGTACAGATTGCCTAATTGTCGCAGCACGACATGTGTGCTTGTGGGCAGACCGAGTATTCCGGGCGCTGAAGGGAGATGAGTATCCTCAAGGTATGTCGACGGTTTGAACCAGGCGTAATATGCACCTGCTAGGGTTGCGACTGGTTCAATCCAAAGAAAGAAGATTCTATACGCAAGAGGGATGTTGGCCATGTCTTCGATGGTTTGGTCGCGTGCAGATCGACCGGACGACAAGTGGGCTTGACGACGTTTTCTATCGCGGGTTCTCTGAGCGATGACACCTCCCTCGCGATTGTACTGATAACACTCTTGATATGTCAATGCTCGGGCCCGAGGACCGAAAATTCCCAGTCTTCAGATATCGGTGACCAGAAAAGATTCCGAGAAAATCGAGCGACCAAGATGCGATGACGGCAAAGGACCAGAAAGCTGGAAAGAGAGCGGCAGCATGGCAGCATGGGTGTGACTCGGCAGCAGTCTTCCGTCGCTGCACCGCTGGTTGGCTGTGAAGATGTTGATTTGCTCCGTCGCTTTGGCGAACGAACCACGGCACGTAGTAGGTAGTTAATCAGATCCAGCTGTGTGATCGCTGACGGGGTCAATCTCGGCTTTGCCGTGCTGAAACAGCCCGGCCAGATCAGAGACGGTTTGGAGTTCGCAGCCTGAGGCACTTCCGCACGCTGCCCGGAACGCCCCCAGCACGCCCCCAGGCAGCCCGGCTGGGTCTCGGGGCAACCACGCCGCCCGCGACAATGGGGCTTGACGGGTGATGGGCTGGACTGTTGTTGTTGTTGCAAGGGCCTCTACTCCGTAAGCTCCGTCATCTGAATTCCAGATCGAAAATCAATCACTCGCATCTCCCTGCTCGTCGACTTTCACGGCGTCCTCTCATTTTCTGCTGTAGACTGCCGTGTCGTGCTGTGCCGTTGCTGTAGCTACTTATCCACGCTCCTTTCGATTGCTTTGGAGTTTTTCTGTCAGTTTTAGTCTGTTACGCCCGCGCCTTTCGCCACCAGCGTCACTATTGATTCGAAGGAAAATTCTGTCTGTGAACCGACTCTCGACCCACGACCGTTATTCAGCACCGCACACATACCACCTGGCGGTAGGAAGGCACGACTGTGACATCAACCAGATACCCAAGTTTCCATCTGGCCGGCATCATGTCACACCCTGAGCCTTCTTCAATCGCCCCTTGGCGCAGGACGTCGCTACGTGCCCACAGTCGGCCTCACACAGCCTACAACAGCTTTCCCAACGTTGAGGGATCTTTCAGAAGACCTGCCACGCGGATGTCCTTCGTGATGCCTCCGACGACTGCACACGACGTCCTTGACTGGGGTTCCTTCGTACGCAATCAGGAACAGACTGGCGTGGGCAACAATAGCCCCGACTTCACCAACCCATTCTCGAAATTCGCGAGCGAGCCTCAGACGACGGAAACTGCACGCCCACGTCGGTACTCGTCCATCTCTCAGTCTTTCCGCCAAAGTATCTCTGAGATCCGCTCCCTCACGCGCCGCATGTCGCTCACCGTCAGGGGCAAAAGCTCAAAGCAAAAGGAGGAATTGGTGGAGCCTAAGCGGCCGCAATTGCCCCTTTTCAAGTCGGGCACTGATATGATGGATCTCACGGAAGCCATGTCGACAAGGCCCAAGTCTCGTGGGCGGATGTTGCGAACTCCCAGCGCAAGGAGAAGACCGTCACTGCCGCTGCTGCATCTGCATGCTACACCAGATTCACTCAGAGACGCCGAGAATCCCACGAACGCGCGGAGTAGGGGCCAGCCGCTTTTGTCGGATCTCGTGTATGGAGGAGCTGAAGCTCGTGCTGCGGCCGCCGCCCAGAATGAACTTTTTCATGCTACAAGAGCGCCGCCTCTCCCACCTTATGAGCCACCTCAACCCAAGGACGACAAAGTTGAGCAGGACGCAGAGAGCGGAATCGGGATTGTTCTTGATACTCGTACACGCCGCGGATCTTCTCCGGCGAATGTGCATGTTGTTCGTCAGGACCCAGTCACTGTCCTCGCCACGGAACTAGTTGAGACTATTCTGTCGTTTCTTGATGTCGAGTCAGTGATGCAGGCTTCTCTTGTCTGCCATAGATGGCACGATTTATGTCAGTCACAGGCCGTGTGGAGACGAGTCTTCCTACGCGAGTACGCGCCCAAATCTCGAGCACCTGTTGCCGGCATGCGACTCGCTGGACTAGGCAAAAATAGACCCGGGCAGGACTATAGGAAACTGTTTCAGGTACGAACCTTGGTCGACAAGCGCTGGCGCAACGGCGAAGCCGCTGCCATCTACCTCAACGGCCACAAAGACAGCGTCTACTGCTGCCAGTTCGACGAGCATAAGATCGTTACAGGATCACGCGACAATACGATCCGAGTCTGGGATGCGCACACCTATCAATGCATACGGAAGCTGGGACCGCCGAATAACCCAAGGGAGAGGCAGTCTGTCCAAGTGCCGCTCGTGGAGCCTGAAGGAGTTCTGCCCTTCTTCAAGGCCTATGTCGACTCACCCGGTCCTCAGTCACCAGAACTTCCTCTTTACCACCAAGCCTCGGTACTCTGCCTGCAATACGACGACGAGATTCTTGTGACTGGATCCTCGGATTACTCATGTTTGGTCTGGTCGATCAAAGATGACTACAAACCGATGTTTCGCCTCGTTGGGCACCACGCCGGAGTCCTCGATGTTTGCATCGACAAGGATCGCATTGTCACCTGCTCCAAAGATACGACCATCAAGATCTGGGAGCGTTCAAGCGGCAGGCTCATCCGGACGCTCCTAGGCCATCGTGGGCCTGTGAATGCTGTTCAAGTTAGGGGGAACTTCCTAGCCAGCGCTAGCGGCGACGGCATGTCTAAGTTGTGGCGCCTCGAGGATGGCGTTTGCGTCAAGGAGTTCCCATCAAAGGATCGCGGGCTGGCATGCGTGGAATTTTCGGAGAATGGACGCACAATCTTCGCAGGCGGGAATGACCAAGTCATCTACGAGTACGACACAGTTACGGGTCAGCGCATACGCGAAATGCAAGGACACAAAGACCTGGTCCGCTCACTTCATCTGGACTCGGCCAACAAGCGTATTGTCAGCGGCAGCTATGACCATTCAATCAAGGTGTGGGACGCTGAAAAGGGCGAATCGGCCCAGGACGGAGGGTTGAAGATCAACTTTGAAGGTTGGTCGTCGAGTTGGATCCTGGCGGCGAAGAGCAACTACCGGAAGATTGTCTGCACCAGCCAAGATGCAAGAGTGGTTATCATTGACTTCGGATATGGAATTGATGGTGTTGATTTGGTCGATTCATGAGGATTTATCGCTCTGCAGCCCGGACAACATCGGTTATAAGGACTCGGCACTTCACGACATTCACGACCAGGGGGACCCAAAAGTTATTAGACTGGGCGCTCATGTTTTATGCTTATCTCGGGCAGATTAGAAGAGCGTCTTTGGTGCCCGTCTGCAAGGTGTTGGTGGGAACCACGGACGAGCGTCTCGACCGTGTTCATTGTACTTGGGCGTGGAAACATTCCATTTGGTGGTTTGGAGCGTGTTCTATTGTTTTCATGTATCTGTTTTCCGGTTGAGCTAGGAGTTGCTGACACGAGCTGGGGAGCCTCGAGGTTTCAAGAAGTGCCGCTAATGCAGGGAGGCTCCGTGTAAAGGTCAATTTGCTCGAGGAGTGTCCGATGCATTCCAAATCAGACGCCGCAAGGAGATGGCCATTCAATACAAAATTCCTTTGTTCAACATCAATGTTGCGCTGGGTGCATTGTACCTGTCTTCGAGCTCACTTCCAATTGTCCTTGTTAGCTGCATACGGCAAAGTCGGATGAGACAACATCTCGACGACGTCATCGTGTTTACGCGGCTACTTCCAGGGCCAATCGGCTGGGCGCGTTAAGCGAACCCTTTGCCTTCGATCCCAGTCTCGTTGGAACTGTTCAAGTGCAGTGTCTGAGCACAGGGTGACTGCGCCGTTTGATGGCTTGCGGGGGTGCGAGGTTTCTCGAAAATGGGTTGCCGTCAAAAAGACGCGACTGCAGCCCAATTTCATGTCCGAGAATATGGCATTCTCCATCCTGTCACACCGATCGACACTCTGCAATCATGATTTGTTTACCATCCGGAACAAGCGAAGGGCACCAAATCATCTGACTAACGAACGTGGGAGCCATGTGTTTGTGGTCAGGTGAAGATACCACTGCACTGCCGTCCATCGACACCTGCGAACTTCCGTACCTACAGCAGCTGGTGAAGCATCGCATCAAGACCGAATTGTCACTCTGCAGAGACATTCACATGGAGCTCTCGAGTGTCAGTGTTGGCGGATGGCGGGATGTTTGATCCCAGTGCCTAAATAAACGGAACAAGTTAAAACGCGCTTTTGGATGGGATGCATTACGCGATTAAGTGGTTCTCTGGCCAGTCACAAACAGCCGTAAACCATAATTAACTGTGCGCTCTTTTGCCGTGACCATCCACCATTTCTCATCCGCCCTTCACCCTTCTCGAAACACAGCACCCTGTGCTGCCAGACCATACAGTGAAGCGCACTGGCGGCTTTGCTCGATTGAGCTGCTCTGTCATTACTCTCCGGATCACGGCTCGCACCCACATATAGTTGTCAGTAATCTCCATCGCGCCCGACTGCCCGCCAGGCAGGGATTCCGCTCGATGCGAACCCCCGTATCCGTACCCTCGATTTGCCAGAGCGAAAATCCTTGCGTCAGAACAAAAACATTGAAATTGCAATTGCCCAAACTCGCGCATCCGGGTCGCTCAGATCGCAAGACTCGAGCGACTATCCCTTCGGTCAAGTAAAACTGCATTGTCATCGTGTAAGACTGCAGCCACCACCATTGCATCCTGCTGGCGGGAATCCAAGATGCCTCCGTCGAAGAGGAAAGCACGCCGCAAACCCGCCGACCTCCCAGCGTCGTCCGATGTCGAGCTCCCTGATTCTTCGCCGTCACGCCCATCGGCCAAGAAACGCAAGGTCGGTGTTTACCCTCGACTCACAGATTTATGCTGAACACATGCAGGTGAATGGCACTCGAGCCGCCCCCTCTGCGAAAAAGAAGTCCGTCGTTCCCGAGCCTGAACTCGAACAAACGCCTGCGCCGGAGTCGGGCGACGAAGAAACCGAGGAAGTCTCCCAAAGCGAACTCATCGATTCCGTCGTATCCTACCTCCAAGTCTCCAAAGACGTCGTTGTCGCGCGAGCCGAGTATTCCAACGACAACGTTCAGAGTAACAGTCCGCACAAAGTGTCGGCATATGCAAAGATTGCAGGTCGAGATTGGACATATTTCGTGCGTGAACAGTCAGTCAACTTTGGACGGCCGCCAGATGACAAGCCGGTTGCGAATGGGGCATCGAGCCCCGTGGCCGACCTGAAAGAGGTATTCCCTGTCCACATAGATTTGGGCCCAAGCAAGATTGTCTCGCGGCATCATGCTTCAGTCTACTACGATGCGGATTATCCGGAAGGTGAAGGCGGCTGGCATGTCAGGGTTAATGGCCGAAATGGCGTCCGCGTCAACAACGTCCTGATCAAGAAGGGGCTCAGGAAACAGCTCAAGTCAGGCGACATACTTGAGATTGCCGGCACGCAAATGATGTTCGTCACGCCCGATGACAAGGTCCAGATTGATCCATATTTCATTGAACGCGCAAAAGCACTGGCAGCAGGAGAAGACGTTGCTCCCACTCACTCGCAGCCTGAGTTGGCGAGATATGATCCTGGAAGCGAAGCAGGCGTGAACTTCCCTTCTCTGGCCCCGGCTCCCCCCAATTTCAAGCGCGAGACTACACCGCCGGCGCAACTGGCCGATGGCAAGAGTCAGCGTGGTGTGTTCGACAGCAAAATGGCAATGTCGCCCATGTATGGCCGTGGTATGATGATGGAGAGCACGCAAGAAATCGACTACAGCCGGGATAGTGCGAAGGACCTCAAGCCTCCATTTAGCTATGCCATTATGATCGCCCAGGCTATCTTTTCGAGTGAGGACGAGAAGATGACGCTGGCCAACATCTATTCTTTCATTGCGGACAAGTATGCGTTTTATCGTCACTCAAATAGTGGCTGGCAGGTAAGCAACCGTCGTCATGGTGTTTTCAATCTTTACTGACATATACAGAACTCTATTCGTCACAACTTGTCGCTCAACAAGGCCTTCCAAAAGGTCCCACGGCGGACTGATGAGCCAGGGAAGGGGATGAAGTGGCAGATCGCACCCGAATATCGCCAGGAGTACTGGAAGAAGCAAGCCCGTCGAGGTGGTTCGGCACCTTCCTCCCCTGCTTCCGGCAAAGAGGTCAACCCAAATTTCAGAGGTCCAAATGGACAAAACCTCGGTTATGATACCAGCATGGTAGGCCAATTTTCAGCACGAGATATGACAGAGCGATCCGGTGGCCCTCCAGGGAGCAAGATGAATTTGCAGTTCCCTTCCTTCAACCCCGGCCCGCCATATCCGCCGGGTCCAAACCTGGCGCCTCCTGTGTCGCAACCTCACGAAGCCGTCACGCCACTCAGAAGGCGAACTGACACCATCAATACAATTCCTGACATGGATCTGGAGGACTCGCCATTGCGACATGGGCAGCCGGCGCCAACACCTCGGGTGGGAAATGGTCTCCCCGTGTATACGCTACCCTCCTCTGTCCCTCCGCCTCACCACTCACCCACGAACCCAACGCTTTCCTCCTCCTACCTAGATACACCCTTCCACCCATCACAGCATAGCATAATCACCCCGGCACCCTTGCGACAGAACCCCAGATTGGCACCACCCAGTACGCTGATTGCGCCGAGTAAGTTCATGCCAGAGTCATCACCCGCAGGACCTCAAGGACTCTTCTGGAAAGGCATTATGGGAGCTACACCAGGACAGCCATTGCCCGATATTTCGCCCATCAAGGACGACGACCCTAGGACCAATGGCATCGAGAGACATGTTATGAGCTCCAGTCCGCCGCCAATGGATCCTAACATGGGAAGTCCAAGCAAACCCGCGAGGAGCAGCCAGGTCCCGTTCAGCTCGAGCTCGGCTGTGAAGAAAGAAAGCACGGCACCGCTTGCTCAGCGCGAGAATGGCACAGCTTTAGAGGAGGACGGCAGATTTGGCCGTAGTTTCTCCAGCCACGGGCCTGCGATCAACCGTCCGCCCTCTTCGAGCAGGTTTCCCCCACAACCTCCTGCAAGCAACTCAGATGCGAAACCGAGCCATGAAGACGACGACGACGATGGTGATGGAGGCTTTGATTTAGCTAAGGGCTTTGCGCCTATCGCTGGCGGGAGCTTTCATTCGCAGAGAAGCGGCAGCCTTGGTGTTGCCAGGGCGGGCTCATGACCTGATAACGAGACCATGGTGGATTACGGCTTCAGTTTAGGGCCGTCGTGCGGCAGTACGACTCTCCTGGGCCAGCCCGAGTTACCGGCGTTACGGGGATGTACAATTACATGTGCTACGATTTGTGTTGGGCGCGTTCGGTACGGGCTGTTACACTATGGGCAGGCCTTTGGAGATCTGGCAGATGTCAGAGGTTGGAATGCATTGCATGACTGTTAGATCTTGGAATCTGCAACGATACGACCGGAAGGACAACGAGCTGAACAAGGCTGAGTTCCTTCGCTTTCCTCTTTCCCGTAGCTGATCCAGAAGCGGGGATTATCCATGTCACACAACATCGACCATCGCCGCGTTCTTGAAGTTTTTTACTTCGAAATTTCTGGCCTTTTGTTCCTCGTTGATCGTCCACGATGAGTCTGCTCGTCTAACTTGTCAAGTTCATGCCGGCGCTGAAAATCGAAACCCCCCTCAATTGTGATTTTAATATCGTCCAACCTCACTTGGCTCTACCGCATAATCGGCAGCTCTTGGTCTTCACATGGTCAGCGGATAAACTTCACTTCCATGGGTGACTTTGCTCGTCCTCCATTCTCTGCTCTGGGAAGGAGACTTCTTTTCCTTTTAACTTGTGTTACTCTCTTGCACCCGTTTATCTAGGTCCGTGCTCTGACTACGCCGCCGGTCCGTCAGTTTCACTGAGAACTTGATCCCGACCCTTTTGCCGCAAATCCCTCTTTGATCGCGTTCACCATGTTCCGCCGCAAGGCAGACACCCTCCCAGCGGATCCCATCTTCGAACCGGATCTTGAAAAGCTGGGATTCTTCATTAACGATGAAGATCAGGTTCGCAGCGTTAGGAATCCGGAGCGAAAGTATCAGTACCAAATCAATCGGAATGAGCGGTGGAATCAGGTTCATAAAGGTGTGTTAGATCGATCGCGGCGATGGTGAAGTTACGAAGCTAACCAGAAGCACTATAAGGAGCAAACAACGGTGAGAGCATCCTGTGGAGCAAGATATGACGGATAGGCCAGGCCTAACAAGCCTTCCGTTATCGAGGGCTGGAGGGTTGGTAACTGAAACTAACGTGTAATGGCATTGACTTTAGCTGCTGTCTGCAATATCGTCCAGGAGCGTCTGCTTGATCTCGGCTTCGAAAGAGTTCGACTGCCCCTCGGCGCGGCTGAACAAGAGAACCATGTCCCCATACTCGTGTCCAAGAATATCGCAACGAAGGATCGAGTTATCATCATATTCGGCGAGCGCAATGCGGAACCTGGGATCCTAAGCTGGAGGGTCATCGGTGAAGAGGGTATCAGACACGGCTCCCTGGTTGAGTTTGCGACAGCAGTCCTCTCTACTCGTGCTCCCGTCTCCACAGTTGGATCGACGGCGACCAAGAACGGAGCTACAAACGAAAACATCACTATCAGCACTGCCACCACACCAGGCGTCATTGTCGCTAACCCCTGCCAACTCCTCTGGTACCGTGGCGGATCCCGGGCTGTCTCAAACTACGAATGGTTGTGTTTGCCTCGACCGAGCGCCGTGCACGACGCTCCGCGAGTAGATCCTGTCAAGAACAGAGTTCCGGGTAACCACGACTATGTCGAGCATGTGCAGTATATTTTCGAAAAGGTCATTCCGAGCTTGGTGAACGAGCGGGCGAGGATTGATATCATCGGCGTGGAGTTTACAGGGACCGCAGTGTTGGAGCATCTTGCCGAACATTGTGGGTTCTGTCCTCAGGCTGGATGGCTTGAAGTGCCCTCGGTACTAACATTTGCGATGTAGGGAACGTCTGGTCTCCTCGAATTACTGGTATTGCCTTGGTGACGCCTCAACACAAGCTTGCCGACCTGAAAGCCCAGGGTGCACCATCCGCCTTCATCGAGTTTTTGTCAAAGCGCTGCCGAGCCTACTTCGTCTCTCAGTCCGACATAGAGAAGCCTGTTGTTGGAAGGGAACAATTCGGGTGCAACTGCTATGCCAGTGGGGAGCGTCACGTTGAGGAAAGCGCACTGGTGCGGAGCTGGAGACATATCCTGGACTGGTTCGATATGCTGCACGTCAACCCGGGCTACGAGGAAGTTGAATATGAGGTCGTAGAGAAGGATGAGGAGATCAAGCTAGGCTGGGATTGATTGCTGGTGCTTCCGGGAGTTTCGACTCCTCCTGTTGCTTCACCATGGCCAACATCGCCAAAACGTCGACGCATGATAGTTTGTATCTACATCAGCATGAGACTCTGGGTGAAGGGCCTCTAAGCCTAGCTCGAGCGAGACAGAGCACTCGCAAAGTGAGATCGGAAATATGCCCTGAACGTTCAAGTGAGCAGCATATGTATCTGAAAGCGACTGGACGCTTGAGCGACTCAGACGCATTCTTTCTTTTGCCTGATCGCGCTCGCCTCCTGGAACACATGCTAGAGTCACACATGAGAAATATGCCAGATGAAGTTGCAAAGAGCTGATCTCGATTACATCGGTGACGGTGCCTGCCAGACCCTTCGTTCATCCTGCCTCTCACGTACCCTGTGGTCAGCAGTCACTGCTTTCTGTCTCAATGGGCTTGCGGCAGGTCAATCTGCTGTCCGAGTTCCTGTCTCCCTGTTGTTTGTTCCGACCACTCCTTGCTGCACAGTCACTAAGTGTGACAAGATGGTGAAATTCCGGGGAATAGAGGTCAATGTGATCTCCCAGTTCGACATCTGCAAACTCCCTGAATTCGCCGCCACCACCTTCAACCACACTGATCCCTTTGGAATCGCCAATCGTCCTGAAAACCATGCGCCGCCCTCCTACCCAACGGCCGCATGCTACATCCCCATCTACCCCGGCAGTCAGATCTGGTTGGAGCACACCATCGACGGACCTCATCCCGCCGAGGCGTCGTATTTCTTCAAGTTGTTTGTCAATGACAAGGTTGTGACCAGCTGGGACTGTACTGCCAAACATGGATTTCAGGGAAAGATGATGTATAATCTTGTCCATGAGGGCGGGGGACAGGTGAAGAGGCAGGCTCTAAAGTTTGGGGATGGCATGGGGAACAGGCAGGGAGAGGATGTCATGCGAGTCCATGTCTACAGGGTCGAGAAGAGAGTGAGGGTGAGGGAGATCGAGCAGGATACCGGCAGGGTCAACATTGGTGCCTGTCGGCCTGATGGATTGAGGTAGGCTTGCACGCTGGTCTTGTATGGATCCACAAACTGATTGCTTGACAGGTTGATAAACAGTGGTCTTCTTGAACCCGGTATTCGTCCTAGACGATACAAGTACCAGTTGGTAGATCCTGTGGACATGCCATATGCAGCTTTCAGATTCCACTGTTGTCCGATCGGTCAGTCTGCGAAGAAATGGATAGAGACCGTGCTAAGTGATGGCAGAATTCCTCGAAGAGCAGCGTATGGTTCTTTTACGCAACTGCGCCACACCTACCAGCACTGAATCCTCAGTGACATCGCTGAGTTCTGGTAACGTCAGCATAGCTCCGAGCGCAGCCCAAGCTACAACTCAAGGCGTTGCTGCTCGACCCCTGGCAAGCTCCTCGCCTAACCAAGCCACATCTACCGGCGACGTGTTGGCCGAGCAAAAGGATGGAGGGACGGTGGAAGCCTCAGCGAGATTCATGCGAATCAAGCTTAGCGAGTCAAACGACTCTCTAAGTATCAAGACAAAGGATAGCATCGAGGAGCTGCAATCACATGTTCCGCGGTCTCCAAGATCGCTGGCGTCACTCAAAGCAAAGAGAGACTCTGAGATCCCCCCATCGCCGACCCGATCACCTAAGTCACCTCGCAGACGACTCACGAAGAAGCTCACCGTCAACACGAGAAGTGCCGATTCTGACGTTGAGAGAGCAGCCCGACCACTGAGCCCCTTTACCAGCGGTGGAATGCTGAGGAAAGCAAGCCTACCACCACAGACGATCCCTGCTTCAGTCATCGCGGTCCGACCAACAGACGAGGGAGAAGGCAAGGTCATGTCACAGGAGCATGGGACAGGAACTCAGGCAAAGCCGCAGAAGAGTACTCTCAGGACGTCGGCGGAAGAGCGAGGAGGAAAGAAGTTCATCGGGTTCTTGGCAAGACGGTTTACGAACGAGAAGAGCACTAAAAGCGACGCGAATGACGCGAGTAGGTGCATGCCGGGTCGCGATAACAGCTGAAGGTCGTGGATATCGTCGTCTTCACAGCGCTTGTTCGTAGAATACGGACTCGACAGAGTAATTAGAGTCGACGAGGAATCGAGACTGACGAATGCGCCGCTGACGGTGATTGGCCGCTTGGGCGACGCAGCAGACGAATGCGGAAATCCTGCCGAAGACGAATGTGATGTTCTGATCCATCATGTCCATGCTTCTTTGCAGCGACCAAGTCACATCCTACACTCATCATGGCGTCTTACCGCCCTCGCGGCGGCCATTCCAGCCAGTCGCAGGGATATCGACCATATCAGTCCTCGCAACGAGACGATTTCTACGATGACCGGTCGAGATCGCGCTCTCCCGACCGCCGACAGAGCTCCTCTCACAGACGCAGCCCACCGCATGGTAAACCTTAGTTCAGAGTCGGGAATGGCACTTATAAGAGAACATACTGATGTGTAAATTGCTTAAAGACATAAGCAGAACACAACCCGGACTATCTCAGGGAGAATTCCACATTCGTGGCCGTGCCCGCAGTTCAGATCGACGTCGCGAAACCAGCTACGAGAGACGCAACAGATACTACGACGAGGAACCCAGCCGCAGCTTTGATGACCGCCATTCGCCCTCTCCACCACCCCGAGGTCGACGGTACTATGACCGAGATCACCCTCGCTCACCACGAGATTACCGCAGTCGAAGTCACAGCAGGCGTCACAGCTCCTCAGAGGAGAGACCACCTAGTCGAGGCAAGCCGAGCAAGGAGGTGATGATGGAAGGACTAGCTCCTCATCTGACTGAGAACGATGTTCGATAATACCCGCCCACGTCTGCATCCACGTTGGCTCTACAACGGTGATTCATGTATCTCCCCGAAACACATGGCTAAGGTCTTCTTGGAATGCCAAACAGATATCCTCGGAACTTAAACAATACTACCATGTGGAGGGCCTTGACGATGTTCGGGTTATCCGTGATCGCCAGACAAGTAAGTGCGCGAGATCAGATCAAGCGAATCGGGATAGTGACAGTGGCGCAACAGAACTATCCAGACAATTTGGCTTCCTCCGCTTTTCGACCGTGGCAGAAGCGGAGGAATTCATGGACCGAAACTATCCCACTCTCTACCTGTATGGTGATGACAACAAGTCTAACGGCGATGCCTCCAAAGTGCGCATTGCATTCGGTCGCGAACGCAAAGATCAAGTTCGAAGCGATGATGCCGATTGGGTTTGTGCAAACGTACGTGGGAGAGATGACCATGGATATCGGACCAGCAAGCTGAGGACGCGTAGTGCAACATCAACAATTTCGCGACCCGAAATCGATGCTTTCGGTGTCAGGCGGAGAGACCAGGTATTGAAAGGACATGGTGGCTTTGATTCGAGATGATACTCACAGTAGTCAGATCCCGCGCTTGCTCTTCCGACAAAAGCAGCGAATGTCGGAGATAATGACGTCTCACCAGACAATCAACCTTCGCAATTCCTTTTGCTGCGAGGTCTTGAACCTTCGGTCTCCGAGGAGCTGCTGGCCAAAGGCGTCTCCAAGCTCAATAAACCAAGTGCTTCGAGCACACAGAGAGACGACACTCCTGCCAAGAAGGGCGCAAAGGTCGCGTCCACCACTGGTGATGCGAATCTTGGTGCCAAAGAGGGCACTTTACGAAGAGTCCTCCTCGTCCGTGACCGAAGAAGCAACGACAGCTGGCGGTACGGGTTCGCTGAGTATGCCTCAATTGAGGATGCGCAGGCTGCCTTGGTCAGATACAACTCGTTTGAGCGGTTCACTATCGCTTCGAAACAGGTGCTGGTCAGTTACATTCACGCCGGGGTCTTTGTGCCGGTCCTCAATCCCACCCCGGATGTTGAGCGCTTCTGCTTTAGTCCCATAGGCAACCCGGCTCTGAAGCTGGCTTATTGGGACGAGGCTGGTTATGTCACCGAGCTGGCTGTTTCAATGCCTGCTCAGGCGGCACGAGGCTCGTCCAAGGGGACGTCTTCAGTTCTAGCGGCGGACCCAGGGATCAAACCACTAAAGGACAACGAAAAGAGCACGAAGAAACGCAAGGCACAGTCCGACGCCGACGCCGCCGGCACCGGAGTCAAGAAGCCCGCGTCCTCCCATCTCCAATTCTGGAGCAACCGCCACGCCGAGCTACACGGTATCAAGCCCAGGTCCCACAAGGGCGAAGACTCCAGGTCGACAGATGGGAATAGCTCGACCGATGGCCCTCCTTCGCAATCGTACGCCGATCCGCATCGACATTGCTGTTACCTGTGCATGCGCCAGTTCGGCAACGCCGCCGAAGTCAACAAGCACGAACGTTTGAGTGACCTACATCGACAGAACCTGCAAGACGAGACGAAAGTCAAAAAGGCAGAAGCGAAGCTGACGAAGCATGGAATTGAGCGTCAGACAAGCGTGACTCCGTCCGAACCGACCCGGGAATACCGCGACCGTGCCAAAGAACGACGCAAGGTCTACGGTGTGGTCAACAAAAAGGGTGAACAAGTCGGCAGCAATGCACCGAAGCCGTCACGTGCGTCATCCGATAACGACGACGTCCCCGCGCCTCCAATCCAGTCCAAAGGCGCTTCCTTGCTGAGTAAAATGGGATATACGGCCGGTCAAGGTCTGGGTGCTTCCGGAGAAGGTATGACTGCGCCGATCAGTCAGGATATTTATGTGGCTGGCGTCGGGTTAGGCGCTCAAGGCGGGAAGCTCGGCGATGCAGTCAAGGAAGCAGAGAGAAATACGAAAGGTGATTATGGCGGGTTTCTGGAGGAGACCAAGAAGAGGGCCAAGGAACGTTACGACAGTCTGGGATAGATACGAGGACTCCTGAAGCACAGAGAGAATGGGAGCTAGACAATGCGTGCGGTTGCGTTTTGATATCCGTTTGAACCGAGAGACAGTGTAGACAGAAAAGAGAGTATTCGAGAGTGGAGATCGTTTCCCCGTCAATCAGCCCACGATTCAATGCTGATCGGCGCATAAGCCCTCGCCGGCCCACCAGCGCCAAACGGAATGCGGCGAACCGACCAGCTTCTGCAGCTCAAATCGCACTCTACTGAGTCAGGGGCCTGACTCGCACGAGACTCGAGACTCGAAACTCTGATGATACGTACGTAGTCGAAAAACACGATCAATCGACAGGACACAGGATAAAGGAGAATCCATGTGTTATACTGTACCACCGAGTCAACCAACCCTTTCGCCGTCAAACAAGGGTCCTCGTCCTCGTCCTCGTACTCGTACTCGATGGGCAGCATGGTGCCTCATGTGTCAGAGAGGGTGCGAGGGTGCGAGGGTGCTCAATCATGGATGCTACAGTACTGTAAATGGCCAACGACGTAGGCGTGACCGTCCGCCACATCCTGAGCACGTTTAGATACCACGTATGTACCGTGCGGAGTACTATGGTACATCCCAAACCCAGGGAATTAATATAATATGTCGTCGAGAAACATGGTATGGTTGTATTGGCTGTGTGAAGCGGCGAGGAAGCACATGGCGTGTTCCGATCGACGACGTCAAGGGTACGCCATAGTACGTGTTGATGGAGAGTAAGAGTCAATTCCAACTACTGTAATACTGAACTGAGGTGAGGCTTCATAGCCAACGGGTGTACCTCTCTGTGGCGGCAGGCACTATCCAGTCTCATACTTAAGTACCCTACATCTTAAAAAAGGGAACGGTACAATGTCTGTAGCTGAGTAGAGTGTATTGTCTGTCCGTGTATGTCGTCTCTCTATGAAATTATCGGAAAGCAAAAAGACGAAACAAAAAAGGAAAGGAGCGCAGCCTCGCGCTAAACTTCCACTAATCAGAACGCTGGGTTGCCTCTCTGAACATTGTACGGGAGTACAGGGAAACGGCAGCCTTGCCAACCACAACCACACCAGCCGCATTACAGTACGGAGTACGTACTCAGTCTTTCCTTGAATTCGACAAACAAAAGGTAGCGCCAACGAATGAAGGGTAATTATGAACAGCGAAACACTTTCTTTGGCTTGTCAGTGAGCTTTTAACCCGTTTGCATGATGCTCTTCATGATCCAGGGCATCCATCTCATATGCATAGTCATCGTTGTATTTTGCTATGTAGAGCAGCGGGGTCCCGTATAGCGTTGTTTCATTGGACCACTTCTATGTATAACCGTAGTACGTGTCGATAGAGAGTGAGAATGAAAGTGAGAATGAAAGTGAGAGTGCCACGTGGACCATCATGATAAAATGCCACCGCAACAACCCGGTGCCTGGACCGTGATGGCCGGCGAATTGACCACCGCGCTGGCAGCTAGCAGCGACGTCGCCTCAAGCGTCAAAGTCCAGGGCTAGGTCCATTATCAAGTCAGGGCCCGGTCAAAATTGGTTCAAGTCCAATTCGAGTCCAAGTCCGGTAACGGTCCCGTGGTATCTTTCGCGGCCAGAACGATCGGAGCGTGCGCGTCACTTTGATTTTTGAAATCGTACTGCATACGTTGGGGTCTGGGCGCATAGTAATCGTGCCTACGGAGTACTGTAGGTGCCGCTGGGGATTGTGGTTGCGATGCATTCCTGCATTGTCGAAGTTTGACTCTGTGGGTAGAATTGGGTCTGTACTTCTGTCTCTGTCTCTGTCTGTCTCTGTCTCTGTCTCTGTCTGTCTCTGTCTCTGTCTCTGTCTCTGTCTCTGTCTCTCAGAAGCCCAGAAGCCGGATCGTTCACTGTAGTTTTGGAATCTCAGACGGTTGCCACTATTCTTTGTGATCGCTCGAGTGTCTTTGGAGGAGGCCATCGTCGACAAGACACGGGACCGTATGTATGGAAAGGTACCTGAATCAGGGTAGCTGCTGCTTGCTCATCCACGTCCTGCATTTGACCAGAAGCCACAACCGAGGGACCAAGCGGCACAGACGGTACGACAGGCGAGAAGAAAGGGAGACAGATGAGTGAGCTGGCGCAGATGTGCGAGGAGGCTCCAGATTTACTAACGCCAATCGGAGCGGTCACGGCGTCGTGCTGTAACTTCTGGATTGCGACGTGTTCATAGTCTTGCGCTCGCCTGTTCCCTGAGGCAGCACGGTTGTCGCCAAAGCCCTACCAGGTGTGGAATGCTGATGTGGCCGATGCGACGTACTTTCCAAGACGTCAAGGCGCTCGGTGGCGTCGCAAGAACAGAAGCCAGCCTCGCTATGTTGGCCCCGAACAGCCTGGGTTGGGGTGTAAGAGACTCACGAGGGTTGATGGCCATCATTTTGATCGAGGCGTTCCACGGTAATGAGATTTAACTTGGCCAGCCCGTTCCTGAGGGCCTTCGCCTGCACCTCCAGCTCATGTAGCTTGTTTCCCGGCCGGAGTCGCCAAAGCCGCATACTCAGGTCTTTGCCTTAGAGCACCAAATACGAGCCGTTCCCACTTCCCCAGTGCATCCTCGATTTCTTTCGGCAGGGGTGGCTCTGTTTTAGCTTTTCCTCCCACTGGCAAATTCCCCTCAGTAGTAGATGCCACCGCGTCTGGTATTGCCGCAATCTTGTCGTCGCCCAATCCCTTCAGTAGTTCCGAGATTTTCAGCTCTTCCTGTGCACGAGCATATAAAGCTCGAACGAAGCTCAGCTCTTCCTCATTCGGAGCAGTCCTGTTGCCGACTTCACGCGTCGAGCCCGTCGTCATTTCTACTCCGCCCGTTCCGGACGAAGGCACAGCGGCAACACCCGTCGCCCTTGAGCTTTGCCCGCCTTCGATCGAGGCTGGTGAAGCCCTTGCTGTCCTGACCGAGCCAGCACCAGACTTTGAACTCGTCAGCGCGGCAATAACACCTTCCAGCACCCCCAGCACATTCCCAGCCCTCAGCCCGACCTCCACACCAAGGGGATAACCCGCGTCAAAGCCGCTCTGCATGACCCGTGCCTTTCCCACAGACAACCCCTCGCGATACCCGTCTGTCATATGCTGTCTCCTTAGTGCGGGAAGGTCGGAGAGAATCGCCCCTCTCACAAATCTGGGATGCGAGTCATCGTCGTGAGGATAGGGCGCGGATGTGGCGTCCAGATCATGGTCAGGATGCTGAGCCGTCGTGAGAGGGAAATGATCGGATGACGTATCCCAGATATCGTCGTCCGCTCCCGGTGACTGCTCCGGCTCGGTTATGGTTGTGTCAGGCGAAGAAGGCGCATCGGGGGAAGGCGACGATTTCCGAGACCGAAGAGAATCCGTCGTTGTTGTTCGGCCAAGAGGGAGTGAATTTTCCATTGTTGTAGTCGTGGTGCTTGTCCCCGTATTATTGTTGCCCGCCCCGTCTCAATCGAAGTCACAGGCCTCGCTCCGCGCCGTCGACGATGCTCTGGCGAAACTTTTCCTCTTGAAGACCCCTTGCTCACGGATTGTTGCCTAATCATGTATTGCTTCGGCTTAGACAGCCCTGCGCCTGTTAGATGACAAGTCTAGCAACATCAAGCAAGAAACCTGGATTGATGACTGATCCGTCACTTGGTGAAGCCAGCCTTGCCGGTCATTTGAATTTTAGCACCACGTGCTCAGCCTTGTCAGCCTATCAGCCTTGTCAGCCTATCAGCCTTGTCAGCCTATCAGCCTCGTCAGCCTATCAGCCTCGCAGCCTTGTCCATGACCGCACTTCCGAGGACGGCACAGATGGCCCGGCGCAAGAATCAAGGCCGTCACCGCAGTCTACAGTGCCGGATTTGGCACTCCTTGGTTCTTGAGGATGGGAACGTGACCTCTTGCAAGTTTATTTAGACGTATATTTTTGGTGAACTGGTGAACATCGCTCCGGTCTAGCTAACCTACAGAAGCTGCCTGTTTCTCGGGGGTATCATCTTTTGTCAATTGTCATTGCCTCAGTAAAACAAATCAAGAATCGGAACATCAACTCTGCGGCACCCGCCGATACTCTCGCCCCTGGTCGCCTAGTCTCCACGCGCGTAACGGCAAGGCCTGCAGCGCCAGCGCCTTCCGTTCAATGTACATCCAGAAAGTGACCGCCCCAATAATGACGAAAATGACGTTGGTGATATAATAGCCATCGCGTTGGATAAGGCATGTTCCGCCCCCTTTCAGGCAGACGGTCTTGTCAGCTTCAAGAGCACAGGAGAAGGACGATGTGATGGGGGTCGTATCGGGGTTAGATTTTAGGAACGCATCGGGATCGCTCGGTGGGATACAGGTAGCGCGGGTGAAGAGGTCGACGAACTTGAGGATGAAGAATTTCGGGAATGTGCCTCCGAGGTTCGAGACGCTGTGTGCATAGTCAGTAGGTGGCCCCGATGAAGTGTGAAAGCGGCCAAGAACTTACGTGGCTAGTAATGTCATGTAAGTGCCGCCAATGGTGGGATCCGCAATCCTGGCATGGAAAGCAGCCGAAGCGACGAACATGATGGTGTTCATAAAGGTCGAGTACACGTGGGCGCAAATCACCACCAACATATACCACAGTGGGATCGGGTCGTGCGGTCCAACGGGGTATATCATAATGGTGATTTGCGCGAACACCGCTGCCAGCAGTCGAGCTACAAATGCCCAACACCATAATCGCAGAGGCGTGTATTCGGTCGACCATTTCCCGGCGTAGTATCCCAGTCCTAATTCGAAGGGGAAATCAATCAGGACGACCAAGGCCATGTTGGCCTGCCCGAAGCCTTTGTCCAGTAGTTTCAGATTCGTCACCGCGTCGTTGGCGACAAAGCCTAGCTTCGAGATCAGGTGGACGATGATGATGGTCTGCACGTTGGGGAGCTTGAGCACAGCCCACATACTCCGGTAGACTTCCATAATGCCTTCTCGCTCGCTGCTTTTCTCCTCTCGTTTCATCACGGCCAAGCCAACTGTCACGATCAGGTAGACCCAGCCCCAGAATGCCATATATCCACCCAGAGTAAGGAGCCCGTACTCTTGGGGCACGACTCTGAACCAGCGATTTGCGAAATCCGGGGCTTGGAGAGCGAGGAACACCGTGTATGACAGGAACGAGCCAGCCGTCAAGCCCACCGTCTGTGCTGTCGAGGCGTAGGAGATGTTTTGGATAGAGAGGAGTGATATGGCCCATCCGTCAACCGCAATGTCTTGAGTCGCGCACAAGAACACCAGCAGAAACCACCAGCCAGTAAACCCCCAGACACCGGCTCCGTCGTCCTCGCCCGCGGCCTTCATCATGTCGTCAATGTTGCCTCCCAGATAGATCATCGATAGGCCAGAGATGGTCTGAATGGGAGTAATCCAGCTTTTCCTCCTCCCAAATCTCCTGCTCCAGACTGCATCCACGATCGGACTCCACAATAATTTTAAAGAGTATGGGTATATGGCGAGAGAAAATATGCCGATCTGGCCGTATGATAGGTAGCTTTTTAAGAGGAAGGGCACGGAGCCCGAGGCCAAGCCCATGGGTATGCCCTGCAGGAAATAGAGGAGACATAGCAGCAGAAAGTTCCGTTTGTCTTTGGGAGGCAAATCGGCGAAGCTGGTATTGACCATGCCCGGCGTCTGAGGTGTTTGCGGAGGTGGCTCTCGGTCCAAGGAGAAATCATCTCTGCTCATAACTCGGTTTGCATTCGCGGTAGGATCGTCGCTCGTAACATGTTTCCGTCTCATTTCAATATGGGAGTCCATGTCGCCGTTTGCGTGGCCATTCGCGTTGCCGTTCTGATCCACTTGAATGCGTAGATCTGGTCGGGAAGATTTGTCCTTGTTTTTCTTCGATTTTCTGCGTTGCATGGGATCGGAACCTTCGGCGACGAGGTGGTCTTTCTCGGAGCTGTCTGTCTCGGACTCGTCCCCTTCTTCGTCCTTCTCGTAAGCGGAACTGGTGGACCTGGAGGACTCAGCCTCGGAGTGTTTTTCAGATTGGTACCCGGTCAGTTCAATCTCTTGCGACTGTCGGGTAATGCTTCGGCCGTGCGTGTGAACGGGAAGGATAGGTCGGTCTCTGGAACGGGAGCGAGCGTGGAAGAGCGGGATAGTATATGGTTCCGCGAAGGAGTCAGGCATCCATGCAAAAAAATGAGCGTGTGGTGTTGGTGGTGGTGGGCGGCACGGAATGGGTGGGTAAGTACAGGAAAAGGACTCTGTGTCCTTTCAGAGGGGCGACACCTCACTGGCCGATACTGCTTGATGATACCTCAAAACACATGGAGAAAAAGAGAAGTCACCGAGTCTCAAAGTAGAAGCATGTTATCGCTCCCCCCTCCGCAGTGAACTCTCTCGTCGGCGATTGTCATGATGATCTCTGTCCAAGACCAACATGGCACAACCACGAGCGCAAGAGGCCAGCCCCGGAGTTGTCGCACGGGCTATTTTACTGACCACGGGCTTAGCGCGCAGCCCCTGACTGCGCGTGCTGCGCCTAATTACCGGGTACTCGCGGTGCTCGGAACGGGGACGCCGATAAGCATCTGACGCGTCCGATAAGCAAACACGCGTCGAATTTCAGCCGCGCATGAACTGCCCGCTGCATCGAATAATTGTCGTCGCTGCCCCTTCCACGCCAACTTCGACAGACGCAAACATGAGCGACCTGCTAGACGATGAGATCGCCCAGGTCAGGGCCGAAATTCAAGCCCTCACACAACAGCGCAAACTCCTCACCTCGTCCCTTCTTTCCTCGACACAAGTTCAATCCCGCCTCTCCAACACCTCTCCACCCACCACTACGTACCCTCAACAAAATGACGACACCCCGCTGAACATCGACCACGTCCAAGAGCACAATCAGACCAACATTCACCGACTTGCCCTCGGCGTGACAGCTTTTCCCTTCATCGACCCCTCGCCCGAACTCCAGGCCAAGAACCCCCTTCTCGGCATCCGCATCGACGTCTGCAACCGCCACGGCAAATTCGATTCTCCGTACTATATATTCTGTGTTCGATCGACCGACAGGGGACAAGATCTACGTATTCATCGGCATACGATTCCCGCGCTGGTGCCGTTGGAGCAGTACGAGCGCGAGTATTTGCCCTTGAGTTCCCCGACGCGGGAGGAGGATGAAGGGTATGTCGGATCGGATGGGGTCGAGAATACTACAGGAGGAGCGCGAAAGCAAGACCTCCATATCCTTGTGTCACGAGTCAGGTATGACCTCGTGAGCTGGCGCTTGAGGAAGGATGCAGCGGAATGGCTGAGGGAAGAGCTGGGTCTCTCTAGGCGGAGCAGGAATGAAGGGAGATCCAACGGCCGGGATCCCGCCGATTCAACCGGTGGAGAGCGTGCAAAGAGGCGCGATCGAGCCAGCTCCAACAGTGAACACGGGGACGACGACGATTCTGACCCAGACACCGAAATGACAGACAGCGACTCGGATCCAGACGAACTCACCGGCAAGTTCAACGTCGACTCGCTGACCACTCTTGAGGTCGACGCCCGCCAACTCCGCATTATCTGGTCGGACGACCGCGTCGGGCGCCTGAAGGTCTCCGATGACGGCAAGATCGAGAAGGCGGTGGTCATCGGCGAAGACGGAACCCGAGTCAGGCATGTCGAGAGGATACTGATGGGTGATGAAAAAGAGGGCTGTAGCGTCAAGCAATTGCTGAAGAGATTGGAAACAGTGTATACGAAGAGCAAGGAGAGGAAAGTCCAGGAGACCGCCGCCACGCGTACAAATGCGCCTATGGCAGTCGGGGGAAAGAGGAAACGGGAGTCATGACACTTGATGTTGTGGGATATACAATAACGTGCAATGGGACATGTGCAAGCGAAACTGTCTCCCTCGTGAACGTCAACCTCAGCTGCCCTGCTTCTCTCCACAATTATTCCCGACTCTGGACGACCCTTGCGATACCCGAATGTATCAATGAATGAACGAGTTAATGGACCACTGGTTCCCTTTCCCTCCATTGGCGCCACGTGCGACTGAAAGAATATTCCTCCTTTTGTGACTCGGCCCCAGCCTTCGGCACCACTGACAGCTCTTTGACCGACCCATTCTCCGATGTCTATCGTTTCCTGTCCACCCAGGACTACAGCTTCCTCCCGAGAGCCTCGTGCCAAGCCCACCACTCAGCCCGCGACAGCCACGACGGCCAAGTGTTTCCCACCTGCTTTTTCTACTGGTATGTCCCACACCCCATGCGCCTTGCGTCCCAGATCCGGGTCCCCGCGGTGCCCATGACAACCACACCTCCTCACACTTTCATACAGACCCTCCAGCTCGTCGTCTTTCTCGCCACCGATGATATCACGAACATCCACATCGGCGGGCAGTTGAGGCGGCGTCACCGGCTCATCTCCCAGGTCTTCTTCGGAGCTCGAAGAATCCGAGCGAACCATCCGTGGAGGTTGCGCTGATGCACTTTGGAAGCGTGTCAGCGAGAGGCCACCCAGGTCGTCGTCCAATTCGTCGTCGGCCAAGTCCAGCGCTGCATCCTCTTCGTCGGAATACGCATCGTGCACTGGCCGCCGCCTCACTGCTGGTTTCTCCGCTTCCGGGACTCCGGCTTCACAGTTATACAGATAACTCTCCGGGTCATCGTAGTCATCTGACGAGGTATCATCATCCTCGTCGCCGTCGGAGAGGTATTTTGATGGTGAAATGGACACCGGCGGAGGAGACCGTCTCCGCGCCGGCGATGACGTGCCATTCCCGTTGGTATTTGACAACGCCACGCCCGCCGTCCCGATGCTGGAAGGCCGAGCATTGTTATCCTGGAAACTTATCCTCCGGCCCCTTCTATCGTCGCCGGCTGGTTTCGCCGGGTCGGGTTGTGCAGCGGCACAGTCGTAATGAGGGTCGGGCTCTGCCGCCACCGGAGTTGCTGCCGTGCAGTCGTAGTGCTCGTCTGCGCCGTGATTACTGGGTGCCTTGCCCTCCTCGAACAGCGACTTGGCGCTCTTGTTCTCGATCTCCACTATCCGAAGCATCAAATTGTCGAGCGTGAACGCGTGGCCGAGCACGAACCGAAGATTCCGATCAGGTCGGTTGGCCGCTAGCTTTAGTTTACATTGTGCTGTATGGGCCAGCGTGTAAGTTGAGCTCGTGGTGAACGCCCGGCGGGACATGTTTGGGGTCGTTCAGCCCCGCGGACTCAGGCGCTCAGGATCCCCTACGCCTTTGGTATATCTGTTGGAGATGACGGTCCTCGACCAGAAAAAAATGGAATTATGATACGTAGAGGCAACGGACGATGAAGCAAGGCTGAGGGTCGCGTGAGCGGTATTTCCAATCAATTACACCGCGTTCCAGGCTCAGTAATCGATCGTCGGGGTGGGGTGGGTACGCGCTGGGGATTTCTGCGTAGTTGACGCAATAACAATGGCCGCAACCGAAGTATATTTGTCTTCGACGTCACAAGAGGCGGAATGTTCAACCTCGAAGCTCGATTACTCCCTGTGGACGGGACAGCGATAAGAGAGAGAGCACGAGTACCTTGCGATGGAACAGCTTGGTCGTTGTCGGAATTTGCAAAGAGCGGACAGTCATGAGCTGCGAACGCCCAGGAAGTCTTGTCGCTTACAAATGGGCTCGCCAATCAGCGTCCGGAGCCGGCGAGCGTTCCCTGCTAGCGACACTAGTCTCTTCCCAATCCGGGGAAACTCGCGAGCCGCGAAACTAAAACGCTTTAGGATCGCCCAGTGGCACGTGCTCCGTGTTGGACCCATACTGAAGCGTATGAATGTGATTATTAACTGCTACAGCATGCCGAATATGAGGCGTAATTAACATGCTGGGCGATATGGTGCGCCATGCTCGCCGCAGTGCATGTGACCAGCGCCCAGCCTTTCATGGGCGAGGCGCAAACTCCGCCCTGTTCGCTCTGCTTATTCCAGCATCTGGTCAGCGCACATCTCGCCGTGGTGTCCCGGACAAATTCATATGAGGTAGGAGTTGAGAATGCTTGCTTGGTTATTACATATCATCTCCTCTATGCTCCGTGACTCATTGGTACAGATCCATCCCAACCTGGTATGTCAACAATATGCCCTGTTCTTTTGGTGACCAATACCCCTATTGCTTCCAAGTGCACGCCGGCCACCCAGAAGATGACACCATGCGCCCGTATGATACAGATGCTCGCTTGTACAAAAACGCCAGTATATCTTGGTGATGAGCCGACTTCAGTCATTGCCGCCTTCGAACAATGTTCGATTGTTGTTGAACTTGATAGACGATGTCAACGAATCAGTGACCGACCTAGACGCTCTGTCTGGCTCATTGCTTGAGTAGATCCGATGACTCTTCCTCGGAGGCATTCCAGCCTTCCTCAATGATCCTCCATCCTCAAGCTGTTACCGTACTCCTCCTGGCTTTAGGATTGAGAGATTTCTTCTTCTGCTTGGTACGTCCACCATTACTCTTGGTATCGGTGCCCTCGATGTATCTCAACAGCTCCGCAATGCTGCGGGTGTCGACGGTGGGATCACCCGTTCCGGTTCGTAGGCTTGGTTGCGCAGCGGCAGATCGCGAATGAGCATCGGGTGCTGCTGTGCTTGCATTCTGAGGCTGAAGTCTCGTACCTAAACCCATTCTCGGCAAGTGTCGAATGCCTGTGATGCGACGGTTCTGCAACATTTTGGCCTGCTTGGCAATTGAGACAGCATTTTGTGTCAACTGCTCCAGCCAACTCTCGGCTTCTTTCGTGTTCCGGTCGTTGGCTCCAAGTTCCGCCAGGAATATGCTGTACGCCTGCCGCATCTTGTTGACGGCACCGTGTGGATCTCCGTCCAAGGCCAGAGCTTGCGACAACTGGAATAGGATGGTGGCCGCGTTGACTGATTGGCGGCCGAACAGGCTCTCGCAGACTGTGAAGCAGGCCTCAAACCACTTACGAGATTCTGAATACTCCTTGATCGACTGGAGCATGACAGCTGCGTTGTTCATTGTTGTGATGGAATCGGGGTGGTTCGGTCCAAAGATGATCTTCCAGAGTTCCAGCGCGTGTCTGACGTACTTCAGGGCCTGCTTCGTGTTGCCAGTATGGTGCTCAAATAACGAGAGGTTGAGGTACGCCAATATTGTGTCGTGAGAATCGACTCCCAGTGTTCGCTCAGTCACAATCACTGCCTTTCGAGCGAGCTCCACGGCTGCCTCCTTCTCATCGGTTTGGTAGTAGATGGTGGACAGAGAGTTGTACATCTTGGCGACCTCGGGGTGAAGAATGCCGTAGATCTGTTCATGCAAAGATAGTGATTCCAAGACAAGCTCCTGGCCAAGTTGCTTCTCCCCTCGTGCTAGGGAGAGCTTACCGGCCTCTAGGGCTTCCTCGGCCAGGGCACTTCTTGGCGATGCATCCTTGACAATGGGGGCGATATTAAGGATGTCCTCCGCGGTGAAGGTCGTACTAGACTTGACAGAAAGGCCATTCGTTTGCGCCTGGTCGCCCGTCTTCTTCTTGCTCTTCTTGTTCTTGCTGCCCTCTTCCGGCACAGCCCCATTGCTTGAGTGGGTATCGCTGCTGCTCCGAGCTGGGGAAGAATCTAAGCACAATTGTACACCTTTGCTAAAAGTGTACTCTCGTGCTGCGAGTTGAAGGCCTAGTCTCAACGAGATCTCTCTGAGCATTGGCAACGGCCGGATTGACGTCCTCCAGTCGGTTTCCAAAGTGTACCGATAGCGAATTTTGATCTGCTTCTCGATTTCCACCTGCAACTTCGACGGGTTGATCTGCTCGAATGAAAAATCTCCGTCTGGGTACAGAGCACGTAGGTCCTCGTCAATCTCGGCTCGGGGGTTTGAATTCGCATCAACGCCCAGCAGGCAATTCAGCAGGTGAGAGACACAAGCACCCGCAAATATGGCGGGGAGATGCCGCAAATAACGGTTAGCAATATGCTTGAACGCTCGTGCCACCATTTCTTGCAGGACGACGACAGAGAAGGCCTCCAGGCGGTGCCCTTTTTCTCCTGCGTCATTGGCCAGTCTTCCGAGGTACCTGATGTTGATACCACGCTTGTGCATGAGCTGACACAGAGACTTGCCGTCCATCGGGAAACCAACGTCACCGTCGTGGAGTTCTTTGATCAAATCCGGGATGACCTTGCTCCTCAGGAAGTCGCATACCGCTCGGACTTCCTTCTCGTCTGCCTCGTACTCTTGCTTCTCTTCGTCGGTTTGTGGTGTCTGCCCACTAAATGCATCCGGATTCAGGGCGAAATGGAAGTTAGAAATGTCAACGCGTTCCTGGTCGAGGGCAGGAGCAGCCTTCGCAGATGCGTCCGGGTTCTCATCGGATTTCTCCTCGCTGCTTTCCTTCCCCGGGGAATCACCATTTTCATCCTCCTTTTCATCCTTCTCAGATGTGTGGATGTCAGATTTATCCTCTTCGCCGTTCTTTGCGCCTTCTATCTGACCGTTGCTCCCATTCGAGCGGCGCTTCTGAATTTCTGCTCTGACATACTCCTGCATCTTCATGCGCCAGTACGTCTCCACAAGCTCTAGGCGTAACACGGACATCCGATGTGGGTACTTGTCGTCGCCTGTGTCGTCCGCAACTTCTTCCGACCAGACCACATCAAGCGGTGTGATGCGGTAGAGATCGAGGACATATTTTCGGCCGTCGGTGCCCAACAGACCCTTTGTCTCAACGCTGCCCTCGAGATCATGTCGCTTACCTTCCTTGTCCCACACCGCATGTTTCTTGACGCGCAACGCCTTTGACAACTTTTCGAACACTGGAACAAAGGCCTCGTTCTCGGTCACGACGTCTCGGCCTTCAACACCACCATAGTCGATCTGGTGCTCCCCCGGTTCTCGCTGCTTGAAGATGCCAGGAACGATGCTTTGACCGACAATACGTTTGCCAAGGTAATCTACTACTACCGTGCCTGGAGTGAAAAGGCCGTTGATGTCCAGTTGATTTACTGCTTTGACACCGGCAACGTCCTTTCCAACCGCAACCCTTGCAGCTTCGTCTCCACCTTCGCTCGCAAAGGTCTGGACGCCGTCGGCACCGAATGAATAGAAGATGTTATTGTAGATGAAGATTTGGGCATCCCTACCTTCGGTAGGATTCAATGGCGCAACTTCGCCTCGAGCGACAAGCACAGCACCTCTGGCGGCGGCATCGTTGTAGTCGGCAAACAGCTTGGAGGTCAAACGCTCGCGGAATACTCGGTCCTGCAGGTTTTCTCTCGGCAGCTCACGGGTTGTCTGAAACTCTTCATTCCAATCTCGAAGATTCTCGGCCCCATCAGCGCCCCCAAGCAAGTATGCCTCCTGAGCTCTTGTGGGGTCTGCCTGGTGCTGATTCCCTTGTGCATAGGAAGATGAAACAATCCATGGGTTTGCAGGTATCGCATTCTGGAAGGGGAACGTTGTGAGAAGGTCTTTGCGGCCGTTCATTTTCTGAAGCTCAACAAAAGTCTCATTGAAAGATGGCGACAGTGCTGAGATCAAAGTCAGCAGGGAGTGGGCACTGTGGTTTTTCGGAGCAGGTCTAGGGAATGGGTCGAACTTGTTGCTCGAGGATTTGCTGACGTAGAAGCCCGAGACGGTGGCGGTAATGTGGTGCTGCTCGCCTTCATTCGTCGTCAGGAGCAAGTAGAGCAGGTGACCACGTTGGCGGAGATGATATGGTGGAGGATTCCACTGGGAAACGGACAGCGACTTGATGGTCTTGGGCAAGGTGTCCTGGTGGGATGGAAGTATCGCTTCAAGAGCCACACGACCGTCGACTTCATAGCCAGCCAAAGGATTACCTTCCGTCTTATCGGCAGGGGCGTGGGCAGAGCCGAACTTATCGTCGTGGAGGGAGACCCCGGCGCAGATGCCATGCAGCTGGTCGGACCGGTCTCCAGTTGCGCCGATGAGCTCCCGTATGCGGATAACATGCAGCCTTGCCTCTTTCTCGGTGTAAGGATCCTCGACAAGCACAATCTCATCATCCGGTTTGAGGTCTTTGACTTCGGAAAGTTCCACAAAATCATTGATCCTCTGTCCATTGTGCTCGAGATGGAAACAGGTGTACTGAAAGGTATCAGGTGTCTCCACGATGGACTGGCGCACATCCTGGACCTGCTCTTGACTCGTGACCGTTATCGTTTGCTTGTAGGGCTTGTGTGGCAGCTTGACGGTGACCTGGAACAGCGCCCCAGCATTGGGGTCATCCTGAGCGTGGTCATGCTCGTGATCGTGGGTATGGGGATGGTCGTGCAGGTGACCGTTGGTGCCGTTGGTACCGTTGGCAAGCGCCGATGAGGAGTCCGCCTCGCCATGGGTATTTATTACATCTGGCGGCACGTCAGCAGATTGAGAGTCAAGGTTCGCTGAGCTTCGACTGACCTGGAGTTGTCTTCACGTCACCATTTGTTTGAGCCATAACGAAACGGTCCCGAGCGGTGAATCAAGTATTGTACAAGCGGCGGCGACGTGAACCAGAGGAGGTCAAAACGAAGCTGACAAACAAAAGGAGTGAAGAAATACTATACACGAAGGAAGCCGCAATGCTGAGTCGAAGAAAGACAAGGTCCCAGCAAAGAAAACTGTGTAATGATTGCACCTCGATTGAGAATGATGGATTTTTTGATCTCCAACATTTCAAGCAAGAATCACCGCCATGCGAGCATTGTGATTCGACGGCCACCGCACGCCGGGGACATGGAAGCAGCCCCGGGGTCTTGTTCGGGACTCCTCGGGTCGACTGGACAGGCGATACTACGCCCGCTGCTGATTGGAGTCAGGAGCTCTAGGGGTCTCAGGGAAGTGCCGCGGGTACCGAAGCCTTGCAGTGCCCCTGAAGAACGCCGAAACGGCCAATTTGGGGTCACGCGACTGCCTTGGGGGCTCCCACTCGCGAGTCTTCTCCGGGGCATCAGCCCTCGATACTTAGGTACCTGGTACCTAGGTAGGTACTGTAGGTGCTTGTACTGCGTGACCATGAGATTATGTGCTGTCTACCAAGAGGGAGATATCTACCTGAGCTAGATAGAGTGCTCCCAGACTCATGTCAAGTAATTAGGCGAGACAAAGGTGAGAATCGACGAGAGCTCCGACAGTCGTCCAGATGTACTTCGAGGTGCTCTGCTCTATTTATTCGTTCCAATCAGACGGTGAGGCCGTCGATCACTCGAGCACGTGCAACACCAAAATCATCTGGCGTCCTTCACCTGAGATCAGCTCAACTCCAGCTGATGCCCCTTTCCATCCTCGGTTCTTCGACAACAACCAACACTGTCTTTCAAGCTCACGTTGTATCCTGCCAGGTCGTTCCTTGCCATTTGTTCTAGCAACTACGCGACAGCTGGGCGGTTGATCTGTGTTCCATTTTCGCGACTCTCGCTTTTATCTCCTTCAGCGCACGCCTATTCCCGTCGAGGTGGCCATGCAATTTTGGAAATCATAATTCTTGTAATCAAGCGCGGCGCATATCTTCTAACATGAGAACCGCGAAGCAAGTCGTCATCTTCAGATCTCCTGCCATTCGATTGTTCTTTCGCACGGGTGCTTTGCGGCCCCAACAGCCCAGCATCCGCGCATATGCTCAACAGTTTGGCCCTAGCACGGAGCCCACGAACAACATACCGGGGGGAGACCCAGACGACGATGAACCTAGAAAGAAATCGCGTTCGAAGCCCGAGCCCGAGCCCGAGCCCGAGCCCGGACGGGAGAGCCGTTTCGGGACGAGCGCATATAAAGCATTTGAATCAGCCTTCACGACCTTCGCGTCAATAGCCGTCCTCGGCTTGGCGGGCTATTCCTACCACATTTACTACAAATCCCTGGTCCTTCGCAAAATAGAGAAGGCTTTCGCTCCGGGAGACCCAATGCTTGAACTGGCTGCTCCACCTGGGCCTCATGTGCCGCCTCAAGACCAATCTGGTGACGACGACGAGCATTGGGTGGCGCGACCTGAGCAGGCGAAGATCAATGCCATCATCAGTGGAGAGTCTAAGGGTAGGTACTATCTGCTTGTGGGTGAGAAGGGCACTGGGAAATCGTCTATGATCCTCGAAGCCATGAAAGAGCATGACGGAGAGGGTGTTTCCATGTTCGAGGCGCACGCTGATCCCGAGATCTTCCGCATCCGCCTTGGTAGAGCCCTCAACTACGAGTTTCACGAAGACTACATCGGCTCTCTATTCTCGATACGAGGGCCACGCGACACGACAGCCCTTCTGGACATCGAGCGCGCGTTCAACAAGCTTGAGAAAGTCGCCTTGAAGAACAGGAATCGACGCAACAGAACCGGTCGCAAAGGCCCGCTCGTTGTCATCGTTAACTGCGCACATCTCATTCGAAATGACGACGACGGAAATGACCTGATCGAACTGATGCAGCAACGCGCCGAGCAATGGGCTGCTGCAAATCTCGTCACCATGATCTTCAACTCGGACGACTATTGGGTCTATGAGCGGTTCAAACGCTATGCTACGAGAATGGAAGTGATCCCGATTCTGGACCTGCCAAAGTCCCTTGCTATTCCGGCGCTCGAGAGGTATCGAGCCAAGTACTTCCCGCATGAAGAGCACAAGCCCGAGATATTCAAGCAAGTGTACGACTTGGTTGGTGGAAGATTGAATTTCCTGAGCCGCGTCGCTAAAAGCTCGGACATGCTCAGGATGTGTCATCAGATCAAGGAGTATGAAAAGACCTGGTTCTTGAACAAATGCGGTATCCTCGGCGCGGAAATGGACGACGATGTGATGGACCAGCAGAAATTCGCAAGCGCGGCCATGGTACTGGCCAGAGCGCTCGTCCAGAAAGACAAGGAGTTGGAGACGAATTATGACGAAGAACAAGGCCACATTCTACCACAGATCCCGCTGTACATCGCTCGTCAAATCATGACCCGGGCTGATTTTATTCAGAGCTACGACCACGAAAACATCTTCACGATCGACAGTAGTGCCAATGTCCGCGCAGACAGCGTGCCGATGATGAATGCGTTCAAGGAAATATGCTCCGAAGAAGGATTTGACGACTACTTGGAAGCCACGCTGGATCGAATCTCAGCCATTGAAAGCATCAACAGGACAAAGGAACTCACCTTCAAAGACTTGTGGATTGAACAGAAGGGAGAGCAGAAGGGCAAGTACACCTTCACCACGAAGGATTCTCGAGGACGAGAGACCGGCTCTATCGAGATGCGAGTTGTTCCGGACAATCCACCCGAGGAAGATGACTGAACCAGTCCAGCAGCGCAAAGACTCTCTTTCCTCCCACCGTCAAACCTCGGATTCGGCCGCTTTCTTGAACCGGGCGGCGCGTCCTGATCAACCTGCTCGGAATAATTTGGAGATTGGCATTCCTATTGGGTGCCTGCAGTGATGTGGTGAGCTGCGCTATATATGCCGAGAAATTTGCGGACCGGTGCACCGTTTTTTCTCCGTCATCGACTGGCGACATCCGGATCAATTTGGCGCCAATGGTTTTCTTATTCAAGTTGCAGTCTTTGCTCTGCCGATACGAAACGCGGTCACTGAACATGATCGCCCCGATGCATGGGTCGCATTGGCTACCCATGGCATACCAGCTTTCGCCCTTTCGTACCCGAAGGTCTTACCACGAGACAGGCCATAGGGCAGCCGCTAGTTCTAGTACATGTCTGAGGTCCCATTGGGCGAAGTCATCACGAGACGACGTATACAAAGCAGCTTGTCTCGATTGCCAGACCAACACTCCACGACTATCTTTCTCGAATCAATCCCGCTTTCGTGGGACGAGAAGTTTTGAAAGACGGTGAAATGTGGTGGTCGAACAATAAGGATACGGCTTCAAATCCTCGGCGGTGGATTTACAAGCCATGCCCGTATTGGTATACTCAGACTTGGAAAGGTTCTTGTTCATGGGCAACGGAAGGAACTGGTGAAGAAGTACGTGACTCTTTGATGAGGAGTAAAACCACAATGAGCTCGAACTGGAATCACACGTAACTGCACGGCGTCGAGCGCCGGATGTGGTCATCTGAAAAGAATGTATGCTTAGAGGAGCTATCTTAACGAGAGATGGAATGCGCTGTCGCGGGCGAACGGCTTGAAATTAATGGTATATCATGGGTAACAATCATACTGGGCCATCGGATGCCCCGTAAAGAGCGACGAGGATTGTTTGACACGAGACAAGACAATCAGGACCCTGTGCAAACGAGCAAGTCACGGACTTGCCATACGCTTTGACTGTCGAATCCAACTTACCTTGCACTCAGAGCTTCCGCTCAAGACAGAGAATGCATTGCCTCACAAGATCTTTTGGGAGCTTGCTTGAGTCATCAAGTTCGGCACCATCAAAGCTCTCGACAATCTCGAAATAATCACACCCACAACCGGGACAGAGGTTCCTATTCGCGTCAGCAGGGTCGAGCCATCGCTTGAGACCAGCACGGCCGTCGTCGTATTGATCGCGAGGATAGACTCGACCTTCGTCCTCGCCGTTCCACAGGATATCGTGCGCGAGGTGCTCGAGCATACCGCTGACCAACAATCGACAAGGTGGGCACTGCCACTCAGCTCGCGACTGGTCGAGGACATCCCCGCGGGTTTGCGAGTCACATTGACAGCACTGACGTCGCTGTTGGGCTTGGACTGCCAGGCTGCACGGGCGGCAATAGTGCAGTTCATGTTCTTGATTTTTGAGGCGGGACACGTCGCGTTGGGCGGCCATCACGCAGTACAGACAGACATTCCTGGCGCAGCAACCGGTATACTGAGCGGTAGGCCCAGAACAAGTCTTGACTTCGACCTTGTCGGAGCTGATTGCGCAGACGTCGCAGGTGGTTGAGAGTTGACTGTGACGTTCAAGTAGGTCTGCCAGGTCGTCGAGGCTAGCGACGACGTGGCTTTGTCCTTCCATTTTCGATGGGTACGGTTGGTTTCTCTGATACTGATGCAGATGGAGAAGATTGGCAGCTATGCGACCGGGGCGAGGGTCATGATATAGTGCCGCATATTTGCGACTGAAGTATTTCTAACAATGAAGCTAGAATGGAAAGCATTGAGGAAACTCGGATTACGTCTTTGGTCTTGGACAAAGCTCCTGAACAAAGCTGCTTGTGCCAGCTTTGGCGTCTCATGGTTGCTTGGAATGAGCTTCCCTCCAGTCTATGGTTTAGGTGAAAGAGCTTTGTCTTTGATGGCATCGACAATGCTCATCATCGTGTTGGGAGATCTACCCTGGAGTTGCTGGAAGATACGAGGCGAGACATGGTGCACGGGCATGACTCCCACAGCGAAGGCATCGGCGTGCGCCGTTTCTTAGAGAGGGTAGATTATGACCTTCGGTTTCGACCTCGACAATAAGTGAAAATACATTTGAAATCAAGTTGTCGCAGAACGGTGCTCACTTGAACAGTCGACGGGCTGACCGGATATACCGGCGCTCGAGGATATTTAGGGTCCTAAACTCATCATTGACGCTTGTTTGTCTGAAAGCCCCCTGAACGGTCACGTATCTATCGGCTAATCTGTTTGTCACCCTATCGATGATAGTGAAGAAGAGGAAGTCGAACTTTTCCTGCTATTTTCGCCCGGTTATGTATGCGTGGAGCGTGCATGGCTGCCTGCTTGGCAGCCAACTCTATTCTGGAAGTTAGAAAATATCATGGGGTACCGCCAATAGAATAGAGAGTTGATTAAATCGTATATAGCACTTTGGTCCGTCGTTCTCAAGTAATCTAGGTACCGAATCACCGAATGTGGTGAATGCACCTGCAACACGAGCACTTATACTCCACCGTGGCCGGAGACTATTTTCCGCTGCATTCCTGTGACGTATCGCCGTTCAGCTTGCGCTGCGTGGCCAATCACGTCACGATCGCGAGCGTCTCTGTTGTCTGCCACTCGCTCACCACCCGCTTCCAGCCACTTGACTTTCTCAATCCTCAATCCAACAACAGCACCAAGAACGCGCCAGATGTCCTCGCACACGTCGTCCTGACGCAGTTCGTCCTCTCCTTTGGCTTCACTCACCAACTGTTGCACCATCTGGAATCTCAAACTTCCCATGCTCGGCGACCTCGTCGAACTCGCGACCACCCTCGTGCACCCATCCCACGAGCCATCCATCTCCAACATCACAGGTCCCACCATGGCTCCGCGGAGTCGACACAACAAATCCTCGAGCATCGCGTCAAGCACTGGTGCAGCCGACGCCGTCAATGGCATATTAGCCGGCACCCCGGGCTCGAAACCGTCCTCTCCTGCTGGGACCACGACGCGCAGACGACGTCAATCGCGGTCGACTACATCTCCACCGGGCTCGCCCGTCGTAGCTGTGTCAAAGCCAGTCGCGCGGGGCGCACAACCTGTCGTTATCGAGGAAAGGGAATTCGAGCCGCTCAAGTTTGCGGCAAGTGTGGTGTTGAGCGCGGTGCTGGAAGCGGCCTTACAAACCGCGGCTGCAACGGTCGGAGTAGGAGATCTAGCTGCAGTCTCTAGGAGGCCGGGCACATGGGCTGAGGTGCTCGGGCTGTTGGGTTGGAAAGTGGTCAAGTTGGGAATATACTGGGTCAGCAACTTCGATGGTATGTCCCGCGCGGGTTGTAGCTCGGAGCCCTTGGCCGCGACACTTTTCATCTTCTTTGCTCAAAAGCTAACAGTATGATTTACAGCCTACGACGTCGCGTCCCTCTCCCTTCTCCTCCACACACCTCAGGCGATCCTCCTCGGCCTGTTCTACCAAATTTCCCCCATTACGTTGGCTTCCATAGCCGTCTCCGCCATCGTCGCCAACTCCCTCCCTTACTACTTTGTGCGACCTCTCTCCCTGTCTCATATACCAAGCTACGCGCCCAAATCCAGCCTTCGGAACCGTCCCATTCTTACAGATCCGTACACAACCCTGGCAACATCTCTACTCGCGACCGCAATCTTTGCCGTTCTCCTAGAAGCGTCCTTTGCAACGTACCTCCCCACATGGCTGATCCTGCATTTCGTGGGACTCAGAACGCTTGAACCTGCACACTTGGGTCCTGCGGGCCTTCCTACCCTCCTACTTGCGCTCCTCCCCGCGGGGTACGCCATGATGGAGTTCCTCTTCGCGCCGTCCACGGCCGCCACCAGCTCGACCGTCGTCATTTCGCCAGAATCGGGGCCCATGCTGGCATTCAATCCGTCCACCGCCACGTTCTGGGACCATATCCACTATAACTCGTGGGGTTGGTACTCTGCACGGCAGAAGGAACTCATCCGTCGGACGGTGGTGCTCGCAGGATTGCTCCTCAGTGAGACGGTGCTGACGACGTGGGGAACCGTCGAGGGCGTCGAACTTCAAGGAGCACTCGGCTATGCCGGCGTCTGGGTGATTGGCGCAATTGTCACTGGCGCGGTGTTGGATTGGGTCGGCGGCCCAAGCGATTGATTTCGCTACGGACTGTCGCGGCGTGTGCGGTGAAAGATGATAACTCTGGCATTCACAATGGAAATGCTGGACAAAGTGGGAACGAGGATCGCTAAGCGAACCGAGGTGGGCGAATCGAATGGATGGATCAACAGACGCGTGCATGGGATGTGTAAATACAACCTCGATTTACGTTCGGATTGGTGGACGGTCTTCCAGTAGAGGTTCTCTTCACTATACCCTGGATATCAGCGGAAGGCAGGCGAGAAGGGCAGGCCCAAATTTGGGAGAGGAATCGCTGATTAATTATCGCCCGGAATCCTGCGGTTTAAGAATGGACAGAGAGCAAAGAAAAGCCACATAGCAGTAAGCAGCGAGGAGCAAGTCCCCCAAGCAAGATCATACAGTGTAACGCCAGATCCGACGCAGGGCTCGTGAGACATGTACGGTGCCTGGAATCAAATTCAGTCGAGGCCAACACCCAACTGCTGTAGCTACTGTAGTTTCCGTACCTGTACCTGGTCGCTACCCACTTTATTGTCCTCGTAAGCGACCGGGGTCAAAACATTGACTCGAAATGACGGCACAGCCTCGCGTGTAAACTGCCCAGGCAGGTTGTCCACTCGAATAGGAGGCATATGAGCTCATGCGCAACTACTGACTACATACTGTAACAAGACCGGGACTTTGTTGTTATTGGCGTGCTCATAAAGGGTAGGAAGAGAAAGGGAACAACACTCCCCAAAGAGAGGAAAGGAGTGGCTCTGATAGGAAAGACAGGTGTCCGCAAGGATACGGCAATTAAGAAATATAGAGTAACGTACGGAATGCCATGCCAGTCCGTGGATCCTATCCTGCGGCTTCAATCATCGATCTACTAGGTAGGTACATAACAATACGCGAAACGCACGGGGTTTTGTCAATAACGTAGAAAAATGAGGATGAGAAGAAGTACAGGACCGGACCGGACAGGACAGGACTTGGACTCAACAAGTCACTCAGTCAACCGGTTAGTCCAGTCCAGTTCTCGGGCTTCCCGACATCGAAGAGGCACCCCATGAAACGGCAGACGGCAGCAAGATCCGCACACCCTTCTTTCTCTCACATCCGGCTTGTGCCTCACGGTTTCAGACGGGCCGGGGGATTTTTTGAGCCCTCAGGCGATTGAATGGTCATATCGTCAAATTTTCATGCCATGCGCGCGCACGCTGCCCCCTTCCCAAAATGCTCCTTTGATTGTGGCCTGACCTTGAAATCCAGACATCCAGACATCCAGACATATGCAATTCCCGAACCCCCCTGCCCTTTGCATTTGCATGCTCTGCAACGAAAAGGGCGGACAATGACCTGTGAATGAAACCCCTTTCCAAAAGCACCCGTAAGGCTTGCCACAGCGGGACACCAAGGTCGAAACTGGCGTTTTCAGGGCGCTCCCTCGACGATCCAGTTCAACTAGACGACGCCTCGGTATTTCGCCTCTCGCGAGTCTTGCTTCGTCCTCCCTTGATGCTCTTGACTCGGCTGAGAAAGCCGCCACCACCGCCAGCCTTGCCTTCTTCTGGTGGAGGGCCGACACTTTCAGCCGTCATTTTCCGTTCCAAAGTCAGTGCACTACGTTTCGGACTGGATGGCGCCCGAGTCCGTGGAGGATTCTTGAGTTGCTCCTCTGCAAATGCGATCTGTGCACCTTTCTTCTCGTACTCTTTGTCATAATCCTTGAAAAATGGGTTCACGCCGTTCTGCTCGGACCGGCCTGTCCCAAGCGGGCTGGTCGGACTCACAGCAGGGAAGGGCTCGGGGGATGTCATGCGTCCCGTGTCATTCACCCGCGGTCGCACAGATTTGATCCTCTGGGCCAAGCTCTTCTTCCGTGATAGACCAGCTGCCATGGCCTGATCGGCGGCTTCTTGCTCGCTCTCTCGACGCTGGATCGCAGCTCGACTGGCCGGTGTGCCCTCCAAGAAAGTGCTCGTTCCTAGACCGGCTGACTCGTGACCGTGGACGGGTTCGGTTCGAGCTGTCGGATTGAAGCTAGCACTCCTCTCGGGGAGTGGTCGGCGCATATAGTCCGCATCGGCATCCTGTACCGCCGCATGATTATAATCGCGATTTGCTTCTATGCCTGTGCCGTGGTACTGGTCAAGGTTAAGTTTAGAATTGTTTGGCCCGGAGCCCCCGAGCTGCATATTCAGCGAGTCTTTAGGAAATGCCTGCATCGGGGCTTGCCTGGCGCCTCTGCGATTCCGATGAGGGTTGCAGGCGTCAAAGGGACCGTCGTGGTGGAATACTGCACGAGTCAGCGCGATCTCACCCCATAACAGACATGACAACTCACGGCCAGTACCATAGATGCTTGTGACATCCAGTTTATCGATAATATCCAACCTCGCGTTTGGCTTCTTGGACTTCATTGAGCCTTTTCCGTCACGACCTTCACGGCCTTCACGGCCTTCACGTGCTCTCCGCTCTCGTCTTCGCTTTTCCGCGTCAGGATCCACATCCTTTGGCTTCTCGCGAACAGACGACTCGCTATTTCGTCGTGGCGGCGCACGTCTTTCGTGCGCGCGACTGGCGTCCGGAGGATCTGCAAAGATGTCAAGTTCATTTGGCGGACCTCGAGGTTTCCCCTGCTGTCGCCGGCGTTCTTCATCCGAATTGCTAGGCCTATGACGGAGAGGAGGGCCACGTGGTGGGTATGTTCGTGGAGGAGGCATGTTCTCTCGCCTTACACTGCCATTAACAGGAGGCTGTGAGGGCTTTGAGTCTTTCAAATCGAGACTGGCCTGCCCAATATCAGTGACAGCGCTTGATTCAGAGAGCACAGAGCTTACGAATATATCGGCACTCTTAGCCTCCATGCTGGATGGGCTGGTTGCGCTGGCACTGGCACTGGCCGTTGTAGGTGTAGTTTTGGTGGCCGAGTCTGGAGACGTGATCTCGTTGGCATCGAGAAAAGGATTCGTCGAGATTGGTTTGACGGTGTTGTTCTCTGATACAAGGTTCCGGAAGGGATTCTTGGACGCAAGCGGAGATGGGCCGCGTTCTGTCGCACAAATGTCAGTAAACAGCCGCGCAATAGGTACCAGATGTGGGTGCCGGGTGAGCGACAGCAAATTTCCACAAAGAGCATGTCAAAAGACGAACTGGAGGATGGAGCTTGTCTCAACATACCGGCCAGAGGCGCTGGCGCTGCCTGTGCCATTGTCCTCCTTGTTCTTCTCTGCTTTGCGTTTGATGGTCGGTCACTGGAGCGTCGAACTCAGTTGCGTCTGGCTCAGTCGTAAAGACTCAGCACTGCTTGTTCTGGAAGATGATGATCCACGTAATATAGGTGACGAGAGTTGGCCACTCTTCCCAGAGGTGGTGAGGTTGCGGTCAGGGGAGAGAAGCGTAGGGTTGTGGATGCAGACAGTGGCTATGGCGCTGATAGCCAACGGGCGCTGTGAGTCCTAACGCTGCTGGTGAAGACGATATTGGTGTAGGAAATGCTGGCTGTGGTCACTACGCACGTCTAGGAGAGGGAAGCACCAGAAGGGGGATAAAAGGTCGTCGGAAAGCGTGTGTTTGTGAGGAAGAACTACTCAGCAGGGAACACGGAAGGGTGCAAGAACAAGAGGAGGGGCGTCGTTGGTGCCCGAGGCCGTTTCGGGGCCCTTCAGGCTTCAGGTCGGGATGGGCCCTGCACGCGCTGCTGGTTAAAGGCTCCGCTACCCACTGCGCCAAAAGTTGGGGTGCCGTGGGTGCTCACGCCACACCACGCTACCATTTGGCGAGCTCAAGAATGGAATGTGAGACGTTGGAATCATATTGCGAACAACAACTGACGTGCACAACAAGCCATCATTCAAGGTCTCTGACCTGCTCGCCATTCACTCTGCCAGGCTTCCCGTAGTCCGGCTGTCGATCTTCAGGTCCCTTGTTTGCAAACAGCTGCTGCGCCAGCCCAGGGTGTTTCTACTGGTCACCTGCCCAGTCTCTCAGACCGGTCCAAATTTCACAAAGCACTGCCTCGTTCGGGGCTCGACCTGATCATCTCCTTGCCCACTCGGAGCCTCGTTGCGCAGCTGTCGGTGTCCTCTGAAACACGCTCAGCTCAACGCTAGCCAATCTCGTTCACATCTTCGACCACCCTCTGCCTTCGTGGGAATTTATGTCAGCTAACGATCAACGACGGAGGATATGATAGGTGTCTTCACGACACACGGTCTGGCGCTGACCGTTCCATCGTCCTGAGGGCGGCTCAAGCTTAGATTTACGGAGTACTTGGACTGGCTTTCGGCCCAAACTCCAAGTTCCCCTGGAAACTGCTTGGTCAAGAGCACGGATCGCCCGTTTCTGCCGTCCTCGGCATACCTGCTCAAACTCAAATCGCCGACGCGTCCAATCCTGGCAATAGTGACGTGGGGGCGTTTTCCGAGGGTTCGAGCAGCAAAATGAATGTGAACTGGTGTCAATAATGAGATGTGGGTCAATTAAGCTGGCAGTGCTGACAGACGTGCTCGAACACCAAGGAGTGCTGCTTGTCTCAGTCCGATTTGATCCACTGTTGAAATTGAATGCATGACATACTGCGTAGTCCAGTATCCAAACTGAAACGACCTCCTTATCGATCAAACCGCGCCTCCGTACACCTTGCGCGATCCTATTACCATATCCTTCGTTCACGGTCTTCGAAATATCGAGCATCCGGGACTCTTGACGGCTTCCAACGCCTACATTATTGTAATATGGACGCGACAAAAGCGCCACCGGTCCTGTCTCACCGCTTCACCTTGGAACTCGAATTTGTCCTCTCACTCTCGAATCCGCAGTATCTTCAATATCTCGCCCTGTTTCATCCACATCTGCTGAACAAACCAGCGACTACTCGCGAGGTGGCCGAAGCAGACGATTCAGACGCCGACCGTTTTGCAAGATATCTCAAGTACCTCTACAGCTACTGGCGGACCCCTCAATACGCTCAGTATCTCACACATCCAGGCTCAACATTACGGAATCTCGAATTGCTCCAGCAAGAACAATTTCGAAGGGACCTCATCAAGCCCGATGTTATTGCGAGACTGTTCGAGAACAATGAGGTAACGTCGACTTCACTAGATGGAACTGATGAACGTGAGGCATCCAGGTAGTTGGTGTCTACCGGAGATGCTGAAATCGGAGCACCGAGGGTTTCGAAATCAAGCCCGACAGAATCCTGGTTCCTAATCAGCCGGCGTCGAATCATCCTGGGCCCTATGAACTGAAGGATCTCGGAGGCGGCGGCAGTCCTGGCTCTAATGCATGTGACGGTCTTGTTCTACTTGGATATATCTTGCACCGCAAATTGAGCACGCAAGACAGCCAAGAGAGCACTGGGCAAGGATCACCAGTAGACTGCACACACAGGACCCGGTATGCCGGGTATGGTGGTTTCTCTGTCGACCCAGGTTAGCCGACGGTGCGACCTTTACACCCAAGACCGACTGCCAGAACGGGTAATTCAAATCCAGGGGAACGCCATATTGATTTATCGTCGGGCTCAAGGCTCTCTCCTCAAACAGGGTAATGGTCATGGTGGCGAGCAAGAATACAAGTGAGACTGTGTTGTGAGACGGGAAACATATGAGATGCGCTCCCTTCATCGAAAACATGAAGAGTTACGGCGGCGAGCTTGCGCAGCGCATTGCTACTTTTCCAGCTGCTCTGTCGCCGGCCACAAAGGATGCCGTGAATGGGAGCGGAACCTTGCAGGAGGCACTCAACGGGGACCTTGAGGGGATCGTGGCACCTGCAAGCGCGTGAGCACAAACGGCAGTAACAACTCTCTTGCGGCTGGCTAGCGACCAGCACATGGGCCATGGTAGGATGGACTCAATGACGACCCGCTTAAATCATGAGAGCGAGGGCACCTTTACCATACAAGCCAATTTCCAATGACGAGCGACTGTGACTTTGAATCTGTACTCGGCCTATTGAGCTGTTCATAGCAATGTCCTTCATCGAGTGGTCATGCGACATGAGGATTTACTATGTAAGGCACCCGACTTGACCATGCAGGTACCAATACGCATTCTGAATACGTACCCCACGGTCCTCGTATCCCTCTTGTTTAGTACAAGGCGTACTGGGCGTTCTTAGACAAGCCATAGGAAGCGCACCAGCCCATACGAGGCATGGCATCACTAGTATGCCCGGATCGCGACGCAGCCGAGGTGGGTTGTTCAGGTTGTTCTGCCACCAAAGTCCGGGGTAAGTTTCTCTCCCCTCGCAGTACGTACATGTATCTACTACCAACCTACACACCCACGGTTTGTCCTTCGCACTAATATCACAATCCGCAGCTGACGAAACTAGGTGTACTCTTTTCCCTCCTGCTTTCGATACCTTTCAGCGATATCGGGTGCTGGCGTGCTGCTATATTTCAAAGCCATTCACAGCGTACCCTCCCTCCTGCACCTAAGTCTGAGAGCACTGCCCAAGTCCACCAGAAACTCAAGACGTGCAAGAACCGGTCGCTGGAGGCTATATTCTTTCTGGGTCGGATCGTTTCTGGACAACAAGTGTTGGCACTGTAGCAGGGCATAAGAGCTGCGGAAGTATCAAAGGTGGCCACAGCACACAACTTGCGGCTGTCCTGACGAAGCCGTTGGGCACAACCGCTACCCACAGCTCTCAAAACAAGATGGTTGCCACGAGACACCACCCGCAACCGTTCCCGGACCCTGCAACGCCGAAGGCGACAGCACGATCCGAGGCGACGCCTTCAGCTTCTTCCCCGCAGTCTGACGACTCGGCCACTATTTCTTCGACATCTCGAAAGCGCAGGGCGAAGCGAACGACCAATTCGAAGACGCCAACGCCTTCGATCCACCTTTACTCGCACAAGGTGCCGCCTCTATTGGTGATCTGGCTCTACGTTTCCCTACCGCTAGTGATTTGGGATACGGGATACATCGCGCTCCGCCCGCATTCGATGCCTGGCGGGAAGTTCCACTCTCCGATCTGGAAGCTATATGCCCTGTATGGTACGGTCGATTATGTATACGGGTGGCCGGCGTGGAATGGCCACGTCGGTTTCACAGCTGCCCAGGCATCGTTAAATGCTGTCGAAACAGCAATGTACATCTACTACTTCATTGCCATATACAGGAATGCGTCTGGGAATCTACTCGCGACGCGAAGTATACAGGGTTTCTTCCTGGGCGAGGACGAAAACTCTGTCAGAGGCCCGGGAGTTGCCAAGGCAGTCCTCTACTTGTTTTCCGCGGCAGTGATGACGTTCAGCAAGACCGTGTTATATTGTGAGTTGTGACATTTTACTTTTATGAGGCGAGGGTATTTTTAATCAAGCGTTGCTAACAAATTGCTCCTCAGGGCTCAATGAGTACTTCTCCGGCTTTGCCAACATTGGCCACAACTCCGCGTACAACCTTGTCTTCCTCTGGATCATCCCCAACGGCCTCTGGCTTGTTTTCCCCGCGTACATCATGTATTTGCTTGGGGCAGAGATCTTGGAGGCGATGGATGGGTCTTCCTTCGCGAAAGAAGATTAGGGCTTTCGGAAGCGAGAGAGGTAGCATCGCGTGAAACCATGCGGTTGATTTCCACGTTACAACATCGAGATCAGGCACTGGGGCTGTTCGATTGCCGAATGTAATGCCACGCAAAATACCGGAAACGGTAGGAAGACGCCCCTGCGGACACTTCAACCTCAACCACTGTGTAGACTGTGATGTACAGAGTAGCGGTTTGGTGGGTCATGGACCCCGGAGTACTCCTACTCGTACAAGTGGCAAGGCCAGAGAAACCCAGAATGCCAAGCGACGCGGAATGCCGGGTCACACCTACTCTGCTCGATGGCCTGCGTTCTCCGCCGCGTTATGCACGCCGATTGATGGCTTTCAGTATGCTTAGGTTACAGTCAAGAGTATCGATGCGTGGTGAGAAGTCATGGACCGTGTTTTCGGGCAGACATCCGCAGGGGTAAGGTGTGCCAGCGTTCTTTCAACAAGATCAGCAGAGCGGAAGCTCGTGCTAGCCCAAGACGCTCATGGTGATGAGGGTCGTGATCAATGCTCGGGGAAAGCTGGAGGAGTGCAAGTCCTGCCGTGGTGTGCTCTGGAGTAAGGTTACAATTGGCGGACAATGCTCTGGATGATGGAGACGGCATAGTGGCATATATGGGCCGCTGTCCTGCTTGAGCACATGAAATGATTGGGACGAGGAAGAGATGTCCAGACAAACCCATGCGTATCACCGGACGGGTCATTGCAGGGCTCCAGTACCGGCAACCGCTGGACGAATGGGTTAAATATCGGCGCCTGTGCGGATCAGTATACAGGCGTAGTGTCTGTCTAGTCCATATCCTGCAATCGAACCGGCCCAAGGAGGCTCAATGCAGCACTGAGGAATAATCGATTGCGGGGAAAGCAAGGATGAGAAGACCCTGTAAAAAGCTTCGCTGAGCGATGTACTCGGACGAATTACCCTGAATGTGTGGCGGAAGACCAAGCAACCGCTACTGCTTGTCAGATTGTGGGCTTCGTGAGCATATGATCAATTCGATTTTTCCCGTCCCGAGACCAAGGTTTGTGGCACAGTTGCAGTGCGATTGCACTGCTTCTACTCGTACACAGTACCGTGTAAGCTTCGGATAAAGCATGGGGGATTCCACGGGGCGCCGGTCGCTGGGCCCATTCTGAGCTGGTGAAGTGCCACTTCGACGTCATTGCTCGCGCTGGGACCTCCTTTGTGTCTTCGATGAGGCTCCAGTGAGCCGTGAGTGAGGAAGCGCACTCTTGCTCTCCGCGATCACATCGACCTTGCGTCCTGCCTCCGTGGATAAGATACTACTATAGCACTTCCAGAAGACCAGATGGCGATCTGAACACGAGGGTGTATTGCATAGTTTGCGGGGTACCGCATGCCGGGAGGCGATGGGCAGGTGATGGCTGGGGTGACATGGAATGTAACTTCGTTTCTTTCCACATGCCATTTCAGGCACCACTTTCTGCACAGGTCGGTGAATACTCGTCCCTTATGGATCGCATCGCGCATCACAAGGCCGGCCGAAGCTACCCACCCACTCACGCACGCACGCACCAGCTCATCGTCAGCCGAGCTCCATGCTCGACGGTTCGCTCCTTCCCGATTCATGAGCTTCCAGCTCGCCAGCTACAGCAACATCCAGCGAGAATATTGGTCTCCCCGCAAGAGAAAAACTTCGATGACCTCTACATCCTTGGTGACATCCGCAAAGCACCACAGCGTAGCCCGCAATATTCAAATATCTCTCGATTTCTCCTTCACGTCCGCTCATTCCTTCTCTCTTCTTTCTTCCACCCGCAATCGCCGTCATCCCCTTGCGGTGTGCTGCTAGCCCCCGTCCATTTGTTGGGTATCTCCATCTCATCCACCTCAGCTAGGGAGACTGAGCACCTTTGCCAATTTATTGAAGTCGAGCCTCGCCCACACCAAGCCTCGAATCCCTCATCCCTCACTGGCTGACGTCAACTCGAGCCCCGAGATTCAGCCTAATAGGCGTCGCAGAGATGTGGCTTCCCGAAGCGGCTGTGGCGGCATTGGCAGTCTTGCCTTATCTGCCCCGGACTCACGCGAGTGTAAGTCTTTCACCTTTCCGCCCCGATCCTGTCCCCTGGCCCTAGATAAAATAAGCGCGGTACCGACAATATGGATTCCATTTCCATATCAGACGTCTCGTCCCTACGAATCCCTTTCCAAAGATGCAAAGATGCTTGGACTTGCCCCTGCGTTGCTTTTGGGCGTCAATGCCACTGTACAGGTGTCCGAATACTCACAAGCTGTGCTGAAGCCTGTCGAATCGATCGATGCCATCTACAAACGACAAGCCGCGCAACCATTCAATAATGACTACACCGGTCCATATTACGAATCCCCGCCAAAATACCCATCGCCATGGGGTTCAGGTGCCGGCGACTGGGCTACTGCCTACGAAAAGGCCCGTTCCTTCGTTAGCGGGCTGACCTTGATGGAAAAAGTCAACCTCACAACCGGCACTGGGTCAGTGACAGCAGCCTTGTGATTGGAAACTCTTGCTGATTTGCATCAAAGTTGGGAATCTGATAAATGTGTCGGCAACACGGGCGCTATTCCTCGGATCGGATTCCCGTCCCTGTGTATGCAGGACGGTCCCCTTGGTATCCGTTTCGGTAAGGGTCCTAGCCTCAGCATTGGACGTGCGCAGTCGCTGACAGGAAGCAAGCCGACTATGTCACCGCTTTCCCCGCAGGAATTAATGTGGCAGCCACATGGAGTCGTGAACTTGCGAGAGCTCGGGGTGAAGCTATGGGGGCTGAGAACAGAGACAAGGGTGTCGATACCCTGTTGGGCCCTGTATGTGGTCCACTGGGTCGTCACCCGGAAGGTGGTCGAAACTGGGTAGGTCCTTCTGCTCCATGTCTAGGCATGGCTATACTGACAACCAATAGGAAGGGTTCAGCCCCGATCCGTATCTCACCGGAGCTTTGATCGCACCCACGATCCAAGGCATCCAGAGCCAGGGTGTTATGGCATGCACCAAGCATTTCATCGCAAACGAGCAGGAGCACTTCCGCCAAGTCGGGGAGTCGATCGGCTATGGTTACAACATCACTGCCACTCTTAGCTCCAACATCGACGATAAGACCATGCATGAGCTCTACCTCTGGCCTTTCGCTGATGCTGTTCGAGCTGGCACCGCTTCCGGTGAGTGCAGTCTCAGTATCGGGTTGCGTATACTGATAGCAGCATAGTCATGTGCTCTTATCAACAGGTGAACAACTCTTATGGTTGTGCGAACTCTTACACCATGAACCACCTCCTCAAGGGCGAACTCGGCTTTCAGGGCTACATCATGTCCGACTGGCAGGCACAGCACTCTGGTGTTGGCACTTCACTGGCCGGACTGGACATGAGCATGCCGGGTGACACACTTTTCAATACTGGCTACAGCTACTGGGGCACGAACCTGACCATCGCTGTTCTCAATGGCACCATTCCAGAGTGGCGCATCGACGATATGGCGACGAGGATCATGGCAGGCTACTACTATGTCGGGCGTGATGCCGTCTATACCCCAACCAACTTCTACGCCTGGGGTCAGGATACCTATGGACACGCTTCAGCCGCTGACCCGAACTCCCCTTTGATCATTGTCAATGAACATCTCAATGTCCAGGACGAGCATCGAAATATTGTTCGCGCAGTCGGCCAGGCATCGAACGTCCTCCTGAAGAACACCAACGGTGCTCTCCCACTCAAAGGGACCGAGAGGCAGGTCGGGCTCTTTGGCTACGATGCTTGCAGCAATCCTTGGGGCGCCAATGGATGTCCCAATCGTCAATGTAACAACGGTACTCTCGCGATGGGCTATGGTAGCGGGACCGCGGAGTTCCCGTATCTAGTCACGCCAGAACAAGCGATACAACACTACATCTTGACGCAAACCAACGGCGAGACGCAAACTATCTGCGACAACTATGCCGACAGTCAAATCAGAAGTCTTGCGACGCAAGCCGATGTTGCTATCGTCTTCGCAAACGCCCAGTCTGGAGAAGGATTCATTACCATCGATGGCAATACTGGCGATCGTAACAACTTGTCCCTGTGGGAAGGAGCAGATCGACTGATCAACAATGTTACCAAGTACAACAACAACACTATCGTCGTCATGCATACTGTGGGTGCCGTCAACGTGTCTGCTTGGTATGACAACGAAAACGTCACCGCGATCGTCTGGGCTGGACTTCCTGGCCAGGAGAGCGGTAACGCTCTTGTCGATGTCCTGTACGGTCTTGTCAACCCTGGCGGTAAACTACCATTCACAATTGCCCGCAACCGGGAAGATTACGGGACCGATGTCCTGTACGAGCCAAACAACGGGCAATTTGACGCTCCACAGGAATACTTTGCCGAGGGCGTCTTCCTCGATTATCGACACTTTGACCAGGAAGGTATCGAACCAATCTACGAGTTCGGCTTTGGTCTCAGTTATACGACATTTGAATATTCCAACTTGGTCATCACTCCGGGGAACCCAGCACCATATGTGCCGACCAGTGGCTTGACGGCACCTGCGCCGAGCTACGGTACTGCACCGACAGACTTGTCTGAATATGTCTTCCCGAATGACAGCATCCCATACCGATACTACGAGTTCATCTATCCGTATCTCAACAGTACTAATCTCGAGGCTTCCGCCGCCGATCCCGACTATGGCCTGCCAACCGAGCAGTATGTTCCCGCGGGCGCACAAGATGGCTCTCCGCAGCCAATTCCAGCGGCGGGGGGCGCCCCTGGTGGCAATCCTTTGCTGTATGAGATTGTGGCAACGGTGACGGCAACAATCACCAATACTGGCGATGTTGAGGGTGATGAAGTTGCCCAACTTTACGTCTATCTCGGTGAAGGAGAGCCGCCCAAGGTCCTCCGTGGATTCGACCGCATCACCATTGCCCCTGGCCAATCCGCGACATTCACCGCCGAGCTCACCCGCCGTGATGTCTCCGTTTGGGACACTATTTCACAAGACTGGGTCCAGGTCGAGAATCCAACCATCTACGTCGGTGCGTCCAGCAGAAACCTCCCTCTCTCTGGCACTCTGTCAAGTGGTGGATCTTCACCGCCCGCGCCCGCCGGACCCTCAGGCGGCCATGGCACCTGGTCTTCGGCCCCTCCATCGTCGGCCGCAGGCTCTGCCACATATTCCTATGGTGGACACCCAACGGGTGCACCTGTCTCTCAAATCTCTGACGGACAACCACAATGGGGAGCTCCAACAGGACATCCTGCTGTGAGCCAGCTTAGCGACGGTCAGCCGCAGGCTTGGCCCACATCCGCATGATCGGGCAGCGAAGTTGGCACCCACCACTCGCGAAGCCTGCCTTTAATCATAATGAGGGAACAAACGGGAGATAGTCGAGAAGCATAGTGTCGATGCGTATTTGAGCACGCACATTTTGGAAAAGTGTTTAGATAGCTGCAACTCCAGGCGGCTACAATTACTGACCAGAGTCGGCGTCTCCGCTTCCTCTGTGGAAGTGTCGAGAGGCATCTTGATTGCACATAAACGAGGCGAATGAATGATGATTACAGTGCACAAGACCACAGCAGCAACCTGACATTTACATCGAATGGACTTGTCCCGTCTTGTGGACTATGAAGCCACCGGGCTCGTCGTTGTGCTCGGTCGACGAACCATCACAGCCACCACAGCCAAGCAGGTTGCGGTCTGCACCGAAGGCTGTGGAAACTATTGTACATACTCCAGATATACAAGGTAATCGCGAGAAGTGTACACAGCAGTATTGCTGTAAGATTAAGTTTGCGATAAGGTTCTCGCCTTCCACGATCCACCAGATCGAATCAGATTGAGATCTGATCTCGGCAGGGAAGTGGGCGTGAGAGTGGTGGCGTCATTCACCGTCCTTCCTCCACTCCCAGCCAAGTTACTACGAGTAGTCTTAGGTGACGACGAGTTCTATATACACGATTCACGCGCTCTCGATACCCGCCCAGCGTGTGGCGCAGAATTCCAGCGCTCAATGATTGAATGCGACTTGTACTGTGCTGTGAAGTACTCTGCCACCCTACCACTAGCTACTGACTGTTACCTGCTTGAGCACCGCCTCAGAAGACCAGACCAGACAGAGTGTTAGGAAAACAGTTTTCGTCACGGGAAATCGGACGCCCTTTACCTGTGTTCGTATCCCCTGCACGAATGTGAACAGTCCTGCAGACACTTACCGAGTACATTCCCTGAGAGGACGCTTGCCCGAAGACAATATCCGCGACCGCGACCTTCAATACGGTACGACACGACAGGAATCAACATGGCGCCCCGGTCTTCGAAACAGGGGGGCCACTCTGGCCCTCGAGTCCTGTACTGGTTCCGCACGGACCTGCGCGTGCACGACTCCCCGGCCCTGACGCACGCCTTGTCCCTCGCGCCCTCGGCCTTGATCCCCCTCTGGACATGGGATCCTCACTACGTCTACCGCCAGCGCGGGGGCGCCAACCGCTGGGCGTTCCTGACCGAGTGTATGCGCGATTTGTCGCAGCGGCTGACGAACCTAAACGCCCGGCAGAAGCTATTTGTCGTGCGAGCGGCCCCGCGAACAGTCATGCGTCATTTGCTCGAGCGGTGGCGCATCGACGTCCTCGTGTTTGAGCAGGACACGGACCCCTACGCCGCCATGCGAGACGACGAGATCACCAGGGTGGCGGAGCGGTGTGGCGCGCAGGTTGTTTCGGTGCCGGGACGGACGCTGTTCGACTCGCGCGAGGTCGTCAGAATGAATGGGGGGAGGCCGACGATGAGTATGGCGCAGCTTTTGAAGGCGGCGGAGAAGATCAACGGTGGTGTTCCCGCAAGACCGCTCGACGGGCCGACTTTGTTGCCGGACCCGCTGGACGCAGAGGCCATGGATTTGACGGCCTTGGAGGACGAACTGGACCTTCTGACGAGGATGGACCGGATCCACGATCGTTCTCAGGTCCGGGCGAGCTGGCCTGGCGCTGAGGGACTGGATGACTATAATGCCGTGCAGAGGACGCTTGGGGACGGGGCACAAGAGACCCAGTATTCATGTGGTTTGATGGGTCCGGGCCGCGACTTTGGCGTCCCGACGCTGCAGGAGATGGGGATCGATCCCGCGAGCGTGACGACGCCGCATCGGGGTGGCGAGACGGCCGCTCTGGAGCTTCTGGCCCAACACGTCGCCGACGAAGAATACGTCGCCACATTCGAGAAGCCCGCGACGGCGCCGACGGCGTTTGCACCTCCCGCCACGACGGTGCTCAGCCCGCACATGCACTTTGGCAGTCTCTCGTGTCGCAAGTTCTGGTGGGACGTGCAGGCCGTGATCGAGAGGCGGCAGAAGGCGCACCAGCCCGTCAGTCACCAGCCCGTCAATCTTCCCGGCCAGCTGCTCTTTCGGGATATGTACTTCGCGGCACACTGTCAGGTCGGCGTGTCCTTCGGGCAGCAGATCGGCAACCCGGTCGCGCGGTTCATCCCCTGGCACTTGCAGTCACGCTATCGACGTGGTGCCGGGGGGCCGGACGGCGAACTCGTCCCCACGACGGACGGCACGTACACCGTCGACGACGCCAAGGCGGAGGAATACTTCCAGCGGTGGAAACACGGCTGCACGGGCTTCCCCTGGATCGACGCCCTCATGCGCCAGCTCAAGCAGGAAGGCTGGATCCACCATCTCGGCCGCCACGCCGTGGCGTGCTTCCTGACCCGAGGAGGCTGCTACGTCTCGTGGGAGCGCGGGGCCGAAGTGTTTGAAGAGTGGCTCGTCGACCACGAGGTCGCGTGCAATGCGGGCAACTGGATGTGGCTTTCATGTACGGCGTTTTTCAGCCAGTTTTATCGCTGTTACAGCCCCGTGGCGTTCCCCAAGAAGTGGGATCCCGAGGGGAATTTTGTGAGGAAGTACGTCCCGGAGCTTCGGCGGTTCGACAAGAAGTACATCTATGAGCCGCATAAGGCGCCGATGGCGGATCAGAAGGCCTGGGGGTGTGTGGTGAAGGGTAAAGGTGGTCATGGTAATCATGGAGTGGATGATGTGGAGCATAGCGGCCACGGCCACGGCTACGCAATCTATCCGAAACCCATGTTCGACTTCAACGAGCGCAGGCAGTTCTGTATCGATCAGATGAAAAAGGCCTATGCGGTGGGATTGTACGGCGACGACGAGAGGGTCGTCAGTGGTGAGTGGAAGAAGTTGTTCGATCGAGATGATGACGGTGGAGTGGCCTGGCGGGAAGAGGCCAATGGTGATATAGCGAGAGGCGAGAAGCGGGCCAGAGAAGACGGCGGCGCGGCTGATCATGGAGATGACGATGGAGATGAAGACGCCATGGGCGAGAAGGTCCACGTCGGTGGTGGTGGTGATGAGACTCTCGATCGCCGCGCGGCGAAGAGAAAGGCCGTGAAGGGACGGCCTGCCACGACGGGCAAGCAGCAGCGCACTTTGGATTCGATGGTTTCCAGGCTGAGAGTGAGGAGGTGATGCTGTCGTTCAGGAAATTCGACTGGACCATCTGGATGTCGGTGCGAGGTTTGATTGTCGTTACCGTCAAATGTGCTTTCCCGATGTCGCAAAGTGGGAGAGACGGTCGAAATCCACATGACCCCCAGTCGCTGGATTGGTATACCTTGTTCGATAACAGCGTCGTGACGCGGGAGATGATGGTCCAAGTCATGCCTAGTCTGCCATCCTGCAACGTTGCATTATGTGACGAGTCACAAAGAATCTGTTGGAGAACTATTCGATTCGTTTGCTCTAGTGCATCTTCATACTGGGGGTGTTTCAGCCTACAGACCTGTCGATGTAATTGTGGAAAGCCTTGGAGCAGAGATCACGGAGAGGTCATTACGGCCGAGGACCCAGCGGCAGGGACATCGGTTGTCGACAGAACCCGCGAGCGAAGGAAACATAATTATGATGACATGGCAATGAATCATAATCTATAGATCCTGGTGTGGCCTCTACTTGCAACTATCGTCCAGATGCACACGAACTCCCGAGGCCCGTACCAAAGAAAAGCTGGCTCCTGATTCATGCCCCTTACGGCGCCTTCATGTTCAGGTATCGGTCGCGGATAGATTCCTCTTCAACAGCCTTGCTATTACCCACCTCCTCTGCCGCCTCTTGAGCATCAGGGCCGGACGCTCCGTCGGTGGCATGTGCTGCCGCCTTTTTCAGGACCATGCGCTCCGCCGACATACGGCCGAGGTCTCCGAGACTGGCGCCGCCCAGGATCTCCAGCACGGTCACATCGACGCCAAGCTTGAGCCGGAACCAGTTACGCAGCTCGATGGCCACGAGCGAGTCAACGCCTGTGGAGGCGAGCGACACGGCCAGATCCATGTCTTCTAGGTCTCGGAGCATGAATCCAAACAAGGTGCGCCCGATTTCCTTTGCGAGGAATTCGGCAGCGGGAGGCTGCGACAAGACAGCTGGCGTAGCGTTGGCGGTGAGCAGGAACTGTTTGAGAGCTTCGTCTTCGGCACTGCCGGAGCCACTTCCATCGCCGCTGGAGATCGAAAGGTTGTGATAGATCGCCATCCGGGGATCTCGCTTCCAGACTGTGCGGTTTGCCGGCGAGTTCAGCGGGAGTGTGGTGCGGAGACCGATGCACACCTGTCCGGCACTGGTGAAGCCATGGTCCTCGGTGAGCCGGTCGTTGTTGGCAGGCAGCGACTGGTCGATCATGTACTGGATCGTGTCGAGAAGGTTCTGCTCTTGCAGCGCATGGGTGGCCGTCGAACGGAAGTGCTCCAGAATATGCTCATTGCGCGAGACATAGCCAATGTCCTCCATAAGGCCGATGTTGATGGCTGAGCAGGGCAGTTTCAGCGTGTGGCGATACTGCACAAAGGCGTCGAGGAACGTATTGCCCGCCGCGTAATTCGCCTGGCCCCAATGGCCCACCAGGCCGGACCATGAACTAAACAAGACGAAATAGTCCAGCGTTTGTCGATTGTGCCGTTCCATCGAGTGATGTAAGTTCCATGTTCCCTGGATCTTCGGGAGCACTGCTGTCTGCCAATCGTCAAAAGTCATTTCTGGGAAGGCAACGTCCTGCGTAGGTAGGGTCATATGTTAGCCAAAGACATGTTCACCAGTTGCTGATGTCCAAGGGCACTTACCTTCAAGACCATAGACGCTTGCATCACTCCAGCGACGTTTGTGTCCAAGCCTGCGATCATGGCGTCGACGCTGGCAGGATCCGTAACGTCCCCCGAGATCAAGTCTAGCCTGACCCCCTGGGCCCGAAGTTCTTGGATGTATTTGTCATGGTCTCCAGGACGGCCTGCAGACCTCGAGAACATGACCAAGTGTCGAGCGCCATGCATGACCATCCAAGAGCTGACGGAGCGACCGAGACCCCCGAGACCTCCAATGATTATGTGGCAGCCGTCGGCACGGAATTTCGGTGGCACAACTGCAGGAGTCACAGGAATATCTTCGACATTTTTGGGCATCGCGACCACAATCTTCCCGATGTGACTTCCCTTTTGCATGAAACGAAACGCCTGCTCCGCGGTTGCAGCTTCGAACTTGGTGATGGGCGCGGGACTGATATGTCCCTGCTCGTAGTAATCCATCAAACGCTCCAGCAGACTGCCACACGTCAGTACATCGTTTTCGCAACACGGTATGCCTTGAGGGTTTGCCTACTTTTGGGTGATCTCAGGCCGCTCCAGACAGATCTGGCCAAAGTCGACTCCCACGAAGGATCGATTCGATTCGAACAGGTCCATTGCAAGCTTGCCCTTGCCGATGAAATCTCGCTTGCCAATCTCAACCATGACGCCGAACTCTGCAACACATTTCCAAGAAGCGTGTAGCAGTTCACCTGACAAGGAGTTGAGGACCACGTCGACGCCCCGACCTTGCGTGGCGGACATGATGTCGCGCAGGAAGGTATTATCGCGGGAATTGAAGATCCGTTCCTCTGGTACGCCAACTGTCTTGGTCAAGTACTCGACCTTTCCAGGACTGCCGACTGTACAAAAGATCTGCGGAAAGGGTTAGCCAGAAGGTCGCACTGACAGAGGGAAAACCCATACTTTTGCTCCGACCATTCTGCAAATTTGAATTGCTGCAAGTCCGATGCCGCCACAAGCCGAATGAATGAGAACCGTCTGAAACAGATCGGAGTCAGCGTGCTAGACAGTTACGTTACTCGCGCGCCAGGATCTCATCGGACTCACCTGGCCTGCTCTTAACCGTGCCACATCCAGGAGCGAGTATATCACCGTCGCAAACACGCAGGGTAGGGCTGCGGCTTCGACAAAGTCAAGCTTCGGTGCCATCTTCGCACACAGACGTGCACTGGTGACCAGAGTCGAGCTGAAACAGCCACCACCGAAGACGATGACACGGTCCCCTTTGGTGAGATGTGTGACGCCTGGTGCGGCAGCTCGTACGACTCCGGCACATTCGACGCCTAATGACTGCCCGTCAACGATGCCCATTGCGATGAGAACGTCCTGGGAGTAATGTCAGCTTGAGTGATGGATTGCAATCCAGGACAGAGCAGCTGGAGGTGTACCTTGAAATTCAGGCCTACTGCACGGGTATCAATTTCGACCCAGTCAGATGGTCTCTGTATATCTCCTTGTGGCCGCCAACCGAGAGTCTGCAAAAACCCTCGCTTGCCGATGTTGAATTGCTTGACAGAATCTTTGAGGCCCCGCGTGGTGAGCTGGTCTCCGACAACCACGGGATTGAATTTGCCGACCAGAAGATGACCCGAAGCGTATGCGAATTCGGTCGTCGCGTCCAGCTCTGCGTCAAAAGACGGTTGACTCGCTTTCGAAATGACATGGGTGGTTGCTGCCCACGCGGCATCGTCGAAGGAGTCGAGCTCGAGAGTGAAAAAGTTCAGCGACAGTTCATTTCTGATCGTACGCGCGAGGCCAAGGATTGGAGCATAGCGCGGGTCTTTGCAAAGGACCTGACATGACTGTGTGATCCACAGCATCGGGCTTCCATCCAGCTCCCACAGCAATTGCCGGAATTCTTCGTATGCCAGAGCGTCCCACGCATGGACAAAGGGACCGTCCAGGTCGAGGACAGAGACGATTGGCTGGCCGCTGGGAATCTTGTCACCCAGATGGACGACTTCAACCTGATAGCCATGCGCCTGCAGATAGTCGGTCAAAGAATCCGCAGGCGGGCAATGAGAGCGGTTGCGAAGAAGAGATATCCTGGGCTGGACGTTCAGCCACGTCTCCTGTAGCCGGCTCACGATATGTGCGTTGAAATGACCGTCGTGCACAACTGATTCTGCTCCGACGAAGCCTGCCTTTTTGAGTTCCAGATCCCAGCGATCCGCGCCAACATAGGGCTCGTCGGGACGATTATCGGCTTCACCCAGCCACCAACCGGGAAGAACTCCCATAACGTAGTTGATCCATTTTGTGATGGGAGACAGCTCCTGCAAGAAAAGTTTGCCGTTGGGCTTCAGCAAAGCTCCGACATTTAGCAAGGTCTGGTGTAAGTCCGGGGTGGCGTGAAGCACATTGGAGGCCACTATCAAATCGTAATGTCCTTTCTCAAATCCTTGCATTAGTGGATTTGCTGAAATATCGAGGATATTGAAGCTTATCTTGTCGAAGGATTGAAAGCGCTCTTTCGCCGAGACGAAGAACCCGGCAGATATGTCGGTGTAGGTATAAGACCCATACAGCCGGTCGCCGTTCTCATTCTTAAGCAGTGGTAATATCGTGGATGTCATGCCCCCAGTACCTTGTTAGTGATAAGTTAGCATCATTTTATCGTGCTTTTGAGACAAACATATATCAATGTTGCAAAGAACAGCGGCTGAGATCCAAGACGAACTGGACTGGCGCAAAAACATACCTGCTCCGATCTCGAGGATCTTCATGTTGGGCCGTGAATGCCCCAAGACCTTCAGGAAGTCGCCATAGTCGCAGCAGCGTTGACCATAAGCATAAGTATCCGCAAGGACATCGTCTTTCAGAAGCAAATCAATGGGATTTGTCTTTCCTTCAAAGATAGGAACGGCAGCCTCGAAGATGCGATATATGGCGGTGGCCATCGTTTTGCCGTGTCCCAACAGGGGGTTCGCAAGAAGTTGGGCAACGTGAGCGACTCGTTCATCCGCGGACATTTCGACTATCGCGGCGCTGTTGGGAACATTGTCGTAAGAGTTTGTCTCAGCTCGCGCTCGTTGCGCCTTCAACCAGTCGTAGAAGCGTACAAAATGAGGCTGCGATGTCGTAAGGTGCCTCAGGCGAGACTCTGTTTCAACCATGCATGTAAGAGCAAGCTCCTCCAAGACGAAGTTTTCAACCGAAGGATCGTTCTGCGGGCGCATCAGGGTGCCGACATCCACATAGTCAATATCAGGCTTCCATACAATCTGCGATCCCGCGTGCGGGTCAACTCCCCGGACTTCTTCTCCGTCAGTGAGCTGGGAGAGCCGGATGTTCTTCACATGGAAGACGAGCTTGTCGCCACAGTAGCCTACTGCGTCGCCAGAGAAGGCTCCTTTGTCTCTGGCATTGGCGGTCGTCTGAACGCTAACAGTTGACGTGGGCGGACTGATGTAGAGCTCTTCGATGTAGGTCGGCACAGCAAGATAGTCAAACAAACGAGGTATTCCACGTCTTGCCGCAACGCTAAATAGCTGGAATATGTAGTCGATGGTGCAGGGATGGAACGCGTATCGAGTTTCCAACTTGTCAATGAAGTTGTCGACATCTGCCGTAGCCTTGTTCTCAGAGACGCTGGCCGTGATGTTCTTTAATCCACGGAAGCGTGGGCCGTAGTTGAACCCGAATCTCTTCATGACTCGATACCATACCGCTGGCTCTACCATTCTGGCGCCGGGCACCGGGTGTGGAAGTTCCAAGTCGAATTCCCGCCCTGCTCGGGCCTGGCCGGTGCAGTTTCGTGTCCACACCCCGTTGCGGTATGAAGCTACTGTAAAGTCATACCAGTTGGAGTTGAGCGTGGTGGTGAGTCTGGCAGGTCGAAATTGTGTAATGATCTCGGTTGGCGCCATTTCGTCCATCACCATGGCCGTAATGATGTTGACGTTGCGAACGCTAAAGTCCGTGGATCCTGTGAGTTGTCGGATAGCCTCTCCTGCTATGGAGACATATCCCGCCCCTGGAAATACCAGTTCTCCAAGTATGTCATGGTCTCTTATCCAGGGAACATCCGCTATACGTACCACATTGCGCCACGTGGGTTCCAGGTCGTTGGCATCCTCAACTCGGAGTCCCAAGGAGTCGTGGTACGGGAATTGTCGCATCCGATATCCTTTCATCTGACGGGATTCTAGCCAATATCTGCCTTCATGGTGCCAAGCATAGGTTGGTAGATCAGTCAGTACCTGTCCGACACCGATGACGGGAGACAGGTTCATCGGAATATCCATTTGGAACAGAGCCCCCGCCGTACGAAGGAAAGCAGCATGTGCATCCAGGTTCCGCACTAGAGTCGGGACGTAGTTCATGCTTTTGGCTGCGTGAGTCGCGATTTGACGTAGCGGTCCGGCGAGTGCCGAATGTGGCCCAATTTCAAGAAAGGTTGTGTGAGGAGGCACATTCTCAAGAAGTCCTGCGACGGTGGTGTTGAACAAGACTGGGGATTTAAGATTCCGGCACCAGTATGATGCCTTGAGCTCTTCACCGTTGTCAAGCTGATGTCCTGCGACCGTCGAATAGAAGGCAGCTCGAACGGATTTCGGTTCGATGCCCGAGGCTTCCATGCTGGCCAGGTACTTCGATTCAAACCTTTTCATTTGTGCTTGTACATGTTAGGCCTTGAAACCACGATGAAAGACAAGGTGCGGTCTTTACCTGAATGATATGCACAATTGACTCGCAGACGCCGCACCAAGATCTCAGGATATTCCGCGCGAATCTCTGCGGCTGTCTCTTCGAGTTCACTGTCGATCCCTGTCAGTGTTACACTTTCAGGACTGTTTTCGCAGCCGACCTCGACACCGGGCCGCAGAAACCTCGAGGCGGCCTTTTTACCAAGACCAACAGCCAACATTCCACCCGTACCAATACTCTCCGCTTCAGCAGCAATCAGTCCACGGTGGTAGGAGACCATGATCGCTTCCCGAGCAGTCAGAGCCCCGCAAGCGTAAGCCGCTGCTATTTCTCCAGAGGAATGGCCAACCACGGCAGTGGGAATTATTCCCATTGAGTGGAGTAAGTCAACGAGGGCAATCTGAAGAGCGGTACAGACTGGTTGGGAGAATTGAGCTTCCGCAAGCCTGGAAAGTTCCTTGGGTTTCAAGACCTCCTCTGTTGGTGGCGTTAGAAATGCATTTGACAATCTTATTCAGGTACGGAAAGACCTACCAGTAAGGCTCCAGGAGATTTCCGGATCGACGATTTTCAACGCCTCGTCGAGCTGCTGGATCGAGGTAGCGAATGCGGAATTCGAGACCAACAGACTTTTGCCCATCTCCGCATATTGGGCACCCTGACCCGTGAAGACAAAGACAAACGCGGAACACTGCTGGGCTCGCTTGACGGGTGAGATTTCGAGCTCGTTGGTCGGACTCACGACTGCAAATGCTCGCTGCGAGAAAGTCTGCCGGCGGCAGCCCAACGTATAGGCGAGATTCTGCGCGAGACGGGGCCTCTCCTTCAAATACTCTTCCATGTTGTGGATGTTGTCACGGACCGAGGCAGCATGGGTGGCGGAAAACACCAAGAGCTTGAAGCAATCAGTCTTCGACGGAGCCGGCTTTTGCAATGCGCCATTGGATGCCGCTGACTCAAGGAGGACCTGAAACAAATCCTTAGCATCGAGTCTCTGTCATGAAGTGGAAGTGCATCAGCGCCTACATGAGCATTGGCTCCTCCAATTCCAAAGGAGTTCACACCAACTCTCTCGGCCTTGTCTTCTGGCCAAGGCTCGGCTTCGACAGGCACACGCAGGCGCGCGCTTTCGAAGGGTACTGGAAACATGGTCAGTTGCCAGACATGACAGCGGCAGCAGTAATTGCACGGGTTCTGGCTCACTCTTCGGATTAGGTGTTTTGAAATTGATGTTTGGAGGAATTGTTCGGTGCTCAAGAGCTAGTATCATCTTGATGACACCAGTCAAGCCTGACGCCCCTTCGCTATGGCCCAGATTGGATTTGACCTGTTGGGACACAAGAGTCAGCTTTCAATCACTATCGGTTTGGCAGGGGGTAGCTTACCGAGCCGATGAGAATACCAGTCTGGCCAAAAACGTTCGCAACGGCACCCGCTTCAAGTGGATCCCCGACAAGAGTGCCTGTACCGTGACACTCTATCATGGCTGTTTGACTAAAGTCAGATAGTCCTGCGACCACATGACTGCGGCGAATGAGAGCCTCGTGCGCCTTGGAACTCGGATACGACAGGCCGGCAGTCTTCCCGTCCGAATTGATACACGCAGAGCGTATGACAGCGCGTACCGGGTCTTTGTCTCGAATAGCATCGGATAGTTTCTTGATGTATATAGCATTTATAGCTTCGCCTCTAGCATAGCCATCTGCCGAAGCATCGAATGATTTGCAAGAGCCCGTTGGGGATATGACACCTTGCTCGGTCATCGCCACTGTCATGTTGGGAGTCATGATCAAGTTAGTTCCGCCCACAATGGCGGATGAGCACTCTCCGGCATAGATCGCCTGACAAGCGTCGTAAAGACCAGTCAGAGACGAGGAGCACGCCGTCCGAATTGTCACACTGTGTCGGTGTCAGTAAAAGGTGACCATGGCGCAAAGCATCTGCGCTGAATAATCCTCTCACCTAGGCCCGGTAAAACCGAATTCGTATGATACTCGATTCGATAGGGCAAAGTCCCCGTAGCCACTGATACGGTATAGACCGGAATTGTGATCATCTCTCGACTGCAGGTCTGGCCAATCTTCACCGAAGACGCCAACGTAGCAGCCGATCTTCTGGTCTCTGGTATTGACCACACCAGCATTCTCCAAAGCTTCATGCACCACTTCTAGAAGCAGACGCTGTTGGGGATCCATGACTTCGATTTCCTTCTTAGTCATCGTCCAGAATGATGGATCGATAGTGGCGAGGTCGAGGTCATCCAGAAAGTACCCATACTTGGTATTGGTATGGCCCATCTTGCCCGGAAAATAGAACGAATCGATGTTGTAGCGATCTGCAGGAACTCTGCATCTTCCACTGCCTTTGTTCATCAAGAAATCCCAGAATTTGGTAGTGTCATGGATTGCTCCTGGTAATCGCAGGCCAATGCCCGTGATCGCAATGGGTTCTGCGGTGCGTACTGGATGTTCTGTGTCCAAGCCGGCATGGCCATTGCTAGTATCCGACGAGTGCCAGCCATTGGTCTCTGGCACGGGATGGTGTCCGTTGATGTAAGGCTCCTGTTTGATGGCCATGGTTGAGAAGAAGTGGCAGTTCGACTCTAGCTGGGCCGCTTGATTAGTTGATTATGGCGAGCAGCGATCACCCGAGAGTCGATAAATTCTCTCGCAATGGAGAAGTCTAAGGTCAAGTCAGGTACTCAATCATTTCTGAAAAGGCTGCCTATGCAAACTTACAGAGTCAGGGGACGGTCATTATGGATAACAAGGTCGGTCGACTCGAAGAGGCTGCTCTGCACCACCAGCAAGCACCTGCTGCTTGCAGACCACCTTCATTTCATGCCCACTCTTTGCGCGTCGAATGTACCCTGTCAGCTACAGGCTTGCTCTAGCACTGCTACCTGATGGATCTCTTCGAAAGCCAACCAAATCTCGCACGTGTGACGTTGGCCTGGCGGACATCTTCTCCACTGCCAGCAGGATCAGGACAAGGATCATGACAAGGCGATAAGCAATCCGTCGTGCGCATCTGTTCCAAGCAGACAGATTTGCCTGAGCGGCAAATCCCATGTACTCCGTAACCAGAAATCGTCAGGAGTCGCTGAATGGTGGGATAGTTAGCAGTTCTCCGGCTGATGACCTGATGGATATTTGAACCACCGCTCAGGGCTGACAGGGTATTGTCGCACGCTGTCTTAGAACTTATGTAATACGGGACAGTCAGTCGATGTTCGCTCTCTTGACGCGTAGTACAATGAGCACCCGGTCAGTGTATCCGGCGTATGTAGAATACTGAGTACGGAGTAGTGCGGTAGGAGCTAGCTTTTCGGCATCCCGGTGAGGCAAGGGCTATCGGGCCGAAAATCCACTAAGCCAGACACGGTGTAACGCAACAATGTTTTGCCACGAGACAGGCTTAACGCGGTCCCGGCCAGGGAGACGCGTTCCGGCCCGTCAGCGTGTGCCGAAGTGGGGCCGAGCTCAAAGTCCCGTTCCTACCACAATATACCCAATACGGTGACAGGGAGATATGCCTCCTTGGTAATTGATCTGGAATCATTTTTTTGGGAAATTGGAGAAATCGCGGCTGACGCGCAAGACTGAGGCCTCCGGTAAAATAGTCGTCTGAGTCGAACTTCCAAGTGGGATACATTGACGGAAATCGTGGAAGTGACGATATCCATTCATGATGATACTTCCTGAAATGCCATCTTGTTAGACTGCCGCTAGTAGTTTTCAAGTGTCTCTGGGTTGTTTAGTGTAACATGGCGCCAAGAACCGCTCCTGCTAGTCGTATAACCATAACCTTGTTATGCCTAATTCTTTCGGCCCGATTCCTCCACTTAAGGGGGTTTCACTCTACTCGTACGAGTATCCCAGGAAGTCCTCCGTACATCGTACCTCACACGGAATACAAGGTATTGCCTTGTTGATCGTCTACGCTCACTAATTGCATCCTTGCTTGGCTAAGTCTGACCTCATCCAGGACGCAGCAGTCATTCCGGCATTAGCTCGACGTAGATCCTTGAGGTTCGACCATTGCAAGTCCGACCAGAGGGGTATAACGAGCATTAGCTTGAATAGGATTCCCCATGTCACATTATCTTCAGTGGCAGACCGGATGAGTGACCGGACCTACTGCTGTATCGGGGAAGTTCAACTACAGGAGTCTGATAAGGACAGTATTACCTCGAATGATTTCGCCACTTGAAAATACACAGTAGCTTCGGTGGAAAGCTGGATCGGTGATGGGACCCTGCTACTTGCTTTCGCAGCCCCCACATCTCCACCACCCTCGGTGTCCGGATACCCTAATGGTGATGAACGTGAGTAGGTCGAGCATATCACAGATTTTGTTGAAGACACAACAAACACTATCCTAGTTAGGTTGCTGGATGTCAGCCGGAGGGATTGCCGAAAGTACAAGGTCCTGCTACAGTAGGAATATCGAGGAGCTGCATCAGAGCAGAAACATAGTGGATATGGTTATTCGATAAGGCTCCGCTATTCCAACGTGCTCATACGGCTGGTCCCAGCCTCTCCTTCTACTCTTTCAGGCAAGTGACTGCTTCCAGACGGCTTGTCGGTCGCTCTGGTTGCCTCCCTGCGCTGCAACTTGTGCTGTGTCTCTATGGATTTATCCATGGTGTGGTGCCTGACTCCCACTACGGTAACTACCAGACTGGCAGCGCTGAACGCTGTGAGAACAATGAAGACCGTGTGAAAAGCCTGAGCGTATGCGCTGATCACACTTTTGCGGAAGGGATCATCCTTGGGCATGCTGTGGAGTGTCGCAATGTAAGCTTCGGCATTTTGAGCAATAGCCGTGGGAAGACCTGAGGCACGCAGAACAGTCGTCAGTCGATTTTGGAAGGTACTTCCGCCGACAGCAACACCGATACAAAGACCAGTGCCTCTGAAGAAAGCATACATGGTCGAAGAATAGGCGACGTCTATGGTCGACGATATCGCGTTTGTTGCCAGATTGAGAGAGTTGAGAAGCAGACCTTGGCCGATGCCATTGACCACTAGCACCAACACCCATCCATATGTTGGTGGGCTTGACGTGTCGAACAAGATCAAAAGACCGACACCCAACGTACTGAGTGACCATCCCGACCAAAGAGCCCAACGAAATCGTCCAAGTCGAGTCATGGCAATGCCGACTAGAATGCTGGCTGGCATGAGGGCGCAGGACAGTGGGAGAAGGGCAACGCCAGTCTCGATATTCGAAAACCCGCGGACGGACAGGAAATAGAACGAGACGAAGTAAAGCAGGCCATATAGCTGGACACCCTTGTCAGCAAATGACCACCGTTCGATGAACACACGCCGAGAAATGACGTACCACTACACCTTGGAATATGGCGCAAGTATAGATTGCTATGCTCGAGATGCTGCTGAAGAGGCTGATTCTGAGGAAAGGCCGGCGAGCGCCTTTTATTTCCCACAGCGTAGTTCCTAGCAGCCCGACGAGGCCAAGAAGCAGAGGTAGCAGGGTTTGCCAGCTGTCCCACGGGAATTGGACTCCACCCCATGTCAGTGCTAAGAGTGTTGAGGTGATACTGGCGAGAAAGAAGATCCCCCCGATCCAGTCAACCTCGGACCATTTTTGGGCAAAGGAGATTTGACGGTCCGTGAATCGAATGGAATATGCGATCAGGAAGGCTCCAATGCCACAGATGGGAAAATTGATATAGAATCTGGCCACAAGCCACGTTAGCAGAGGCCTATGCTGATGCTGATGGAAATTTCCTGAGTAGGGAGTATCTTGTCTGGGTTGAAAAGCAGAGGACGTCGACATAATGGTAAACTCAGGGCTAACTTACATCCAACGCCAGGTGACTCTTTCAGCGAATGCGGCTCCGATCAAAGGTCCGAAGAGCGTTCCGATACCCCATGATATCTGCACATAGCTGGTGAAGCGTGGCCTTTGTCGTAGTGGAATAATATCGGTACAAATGATCAGATTGAGTACGATGATGCCTCCTCCACCTACCCCTTGGATTGTTCGACCGCAAAGCAAAAGCCGAAAGTCATGAGCGAGACAGGCCAGCAAAGAACCCAAAGCAAACAGCCCTATATTTATCAGCAATAAACATCTGCGACCAAATATGTCGGACATGGCGCCGGTCAAGGGTTGCAAAGTCGCACTGGCGAGTAAGTATGAGGTTCCTGCCCAGAACGTCTCAATCGCTGAGCCATTAAGCTTGATAGCCAGGACCTAATTCATTGATCGAGCTGTCAGCGACTCAAACGCAAAGTCGGCCAGAGGTAGGGACATTCGCAGACACACTTACTGGCAGCACTGGCACCAGAATCGTCGAGTCCAGCGCCACCACAAGCGATATAATCGCCAGAGACACAATTGCTAGAATTTCCGCACGGCCTGCGGTCCAAGCTTCTGGATTGCCTGTCGGGTTGTCATGCGGTTCTGGCGGACGTCAGTAAGCTGAGGGACGGATCTTGGTAATACCTACCCGCCCGGTCACTAGGCACCACTTCGTGCCTCAAACTGGCAGAGCTCGTTCTTGCATTTGGGCTCGTCGTGGTGAACATCGTTCTGGGATCTACCTTTTCATAGGTGGGCGCTGAGCCTGATGCAGTTTCTGTCGTCACACTGGGCATCTTGAAGTCCACAATCTTTGAAAGCCAGCTCACTGCATGAGGCGTTTAGGAGGCACTGAGGATGTTGTGATTTCCTATTTCGAATTGTGACAACGTCCAACTTTCTGAAAGGGTGAATTTCAGCTTCTAATGTCTTCGCAAGCGATATATTCCATTCAGCCAGTGGCAGCAGGCGTTCCACCTGCGTGGACAGCTGCTGGCAAAACATGTCACAATCCTTCAGGCGACGATCCCATATCAACAAGCTGCATGGGCCCTACCCACCCACTATGCTGACTGGATCCACCTTCTGTAATCAGGTAGTCGACGGACATCGACCGAGCAAGGATTACGCCCCCTGTCAACCACAGAATGCAACTAATCGGCGCAGTTGCGGCAACATCTTACGCATGATTGGCCTGCACGGTGGGATTACACTACAGCTGCATATGATGTCGCTGAAGTCTGGGCTCGCAGGATCCTCATGTGTGTGAGGTACCTCATAGATTCCAGTAACATGGCCCCATGGACAAGAACGTGTCCCCCATGGATGAGAGCAGAAGGAGCTGGCCTCAGCTACATACTAGTGCTTTGTTTTTTTCGCTCCCATTCCTCGAACTTCGTTCCGCAAGTGCAACCTGCAAACACATTCTGTCCGAATTACCCTGCTCGCCAGTCTGTCATTGCTGAACAGTCTGAACATCATGCAGTTGCAGGCCATCACCGTCTGTGTTGTTGCTGCTCTTGGTGTACTATCATGGCTTTTGAGGACCAGATCTAGGCGGGCCAGACTCCAGCGTCTGGGACAACCTCCTGTCATGGTGCCGTACTGGTTGCCCTTTGGTAAGCTGGCGAGAAATACTGATTGCTATTGCGTGTCACAAATTTGCATCAGCCAGGGTACTAGCAGCTGATACCCTCACAGGCCTCGATACCGCCTACGCCATGGTGTCACACCTGTTGAATCTGGATTTCTTCGAATGGGCACGAGAATTGATGAACAACCCTGGTCGAACCTGTGAGCTGTATATTGCCGGCACACGCCTGATCATGACCGATGACTGCGACAACATAAGAGCAATCATGTATGGTCAGGTAAGACGTCTCTACCAAGAGCTATCGGTCACGGGAAGGATCTATCACTGATTGGCGATAGTTTGGTGAATTCTTGAAAGGGAAATTTACGCACGAAGTCTTTGCAAGTGTGACAGGCGATTCTGTCTTTTCAAGTACGTTTTCACTGTGACCCAGACTCTAAAGTACAGGCAACAAAAAGCACCTTGGGATGGCAAGATGTGATGGTGGCTGATCTCACTAGCTGATGGCGATGTCTGGGTCGCCAACAAGAACCAACTCCGCCCATACGTATGTTGACCTGATCTGAGTCGGAAAGGTTGAGGCATGAAAACCAACCGCTGACTCTTATGGAATATAGCTGTCAAAGAGCCGACCTTCAGATTTCGACGTGACTGAAACCCATGTCAAGTTCTTTCTTGACCAGCTGGACAATGGAGGCGAAGCTATAGAGGTCTATGACCTCGTCGATCGATTACAGCTCGATGTCGTCACCCACACGTTCTTTGGTGAATCAACAGACACATTGCACGGCAAGCAGCAACCGTTTCGAGATGCCATGGACAAGGTCTTGACGTATAACACAATGAGAATTCTGGCAGGGTCAGTGACCATTGAGATCAGGGGCGCTCGGCACTGACATGCAGCCCAGGCATATATCACTGTACTTTCCTGACACGGTGTTCATCCCAAAAGCCACGCGAGATCTTAACAGCTATATGGACATGAGGGTCGCAGAGACGCTATCCTTGCCGACTGCTGATCTTGAGAAACGTGGATCTTCCATCACTCTAATGGAGGCGTTGGCTTTGCAGAAGGCCGATGCCAAAGTGAGCACATAAGGACTTCCAACCCGTCACTGTGCTGCTAACATCGTTCAGGTAATCAAAAACCAGCTCATCTCGGTCTTACTTGCAGGCAAAGTAAGCTAAGGCCTCGTCTTTTCGGAGAGAGCGACGGAGGCAGCCAAAATGTCAGATCAACCACTAACTCATCTATAGGATCCAGTTGGAATCACCATCTCATGGGCTCTCTACGAGCTTGCACGCAACCCGGAAGTGGTCAAGCTCCTGCGAAAAGAAATAGAACAAGTGTAAGCCATCGACACTCTTTGTTATTTGCACTATTGATTAGATTGCGAACCAGATGCGGATTTGATGCTCCACCTACAGAGCAACATCTCAAGCAGATGACCCTGCTTAAAAACATCATCCGCGAGACTCTGCGGCTCTATCATCCATGTGAGTCTACAGTCCTGAAACTGCAGAGCTTGCTCGTTCCAGCCCCCGCCCTTACTCTCTCAGACGATAAAAGTAGCAGACTAACGTGTGGCAAACAGTGGGATTCAATGTACGTGAGGCCAAGTTCGACACTACTATCCCAAGGGGTGGCGGACCGGATGGAAACTCGCCCGTGACCATCTTGAAGGGTGAAATGGTTGGTAAGTTCAATCGCTACACGTTGCCTGCGGGTCATATTCATTCCATCTCGTCGTCACACATATGCGGTTAGATGAGGTGTTCCTGCTGACATTTCCCCAGCCTATTCGGTGATGTCGTTGCAACGAAGGCACGATATCGTGGGTCCGACTGCTGACGAATGGTTGCCCTCCCGCTATGATAATTGGCAACCGCAGACATGGGAGTTCATCCCCTTCAACCATGGCCCTAGGATCTGTTTGGGCAGGATGTTCGGATACTTCCAGATGGAATATGTGCTCTGTCGCATCTTCCAAAAGTTTGAGCGGATCGAGTCTGGTGACAATAAAACCCAGAAGATCAAGATTGAGCTGAACACGAAGATGGCATTCCCTGTCATGTGCCGGTTTTACAAGAGCACATAAGCTGGCGAGGACAGAGGAGTATCATACCTAGCGCCTCTGGTGTTGAAGGCTTGCTGGTTCGAGAAAGTCAAGAGATAGTTCATACATGGAGCAGTGCCACAATCGCTGGGAAGTACATGAAGGTGACAGGAAAGGAACAACGAGTCAGTGTGGCAAGTACCACATCTGATGATGGATGTTGGTGTCTGGCTTCTAGAATCAGAGATCAAAGTGGGCATGTCACGAAGGCGAACAAGACCCTGCCGGGGTTTTGAGCCCATGGGCAAATGGATCTAGTCAAAATTGCCGAGCCGTGACTGAAATCAGGTTGTAGCTCGTAGCCACAGACCATAAACGCGTCTGGTAGGACAACCGGCGCCCTGCCATCAGGTCCTGTGGCCTCTACTTCGTACCCCGGCCCAAGCTGTGATTGCAGCTGGAATATATATTAAGGTACAGTCTCACACCCTAGTAGTCCTGTTTGATCTTTGTTCGAGTGCAGCTGCTGCGGGATCAGCCATTGGCTAGGCTGTGGTGGGGTAGTGCATTTCACGCCTTGAAGAGGCAGCCTACCATAAGGCTGAAGTGGGCTGTGCTGTCTACCATTCGACCACGTTTCCCTCGTCCGAGAATTATATATCGTTCATGTTGTCCTCCAGTTCGTCGATAAACTGCTTCTCTCGCCGGCCAGTTCTTCAAAATGGACAGTCTCGAGAAGCAACTTCAAAAATTAGCAAAACAGGATGAGGAGAAGGCCGAGTTTATCCAGGTAAAGAGGCCAAGCGATCGTGGCAACCGGTTGGTAGGCTGACATATTGTGAAGGGTCTCGTGAAACAGATCAAAGCCTTGAGCGATGGCAACGATAAGCTTCAGAAGCAGCTTGGAATGTCTCAATACCTGTGCCAGAAGATGGACGACGATCTGATTAGTCTGAAGCAGAAGACGGCAAGCACGCAACAAATGATGGTAGAGACGGTTGTTCCTCTGATAGTGCCTCGCACCTGCTGACAGTCCAGCTAGGGTTCCAATCCATTCGTTCTTGTTTTGATTGATGGGGATATCGCAATGGTGAGATGACTGCCTCCATGGAGATCCAACACCTGATGCTGACAGATCCTTTAGTTCTCCGATGATTATGTGCAACGTGCTTCTCTGGGCGGTCAGGACCTCGCTCGTGATCTGAGGAACGCCGTGTACGAGTATTTCCAGGCGAAGGATAGCGCTTTCCTGCCTGACACCAAGATTGTTATTCATGTTTTCGCCAACATAGCAGGGTTGGCCAAAACATACTATGATGCCAAGTTGCTGCCTGATCCCATGTTGTTCCGCCAGTTTGTCCAAGGATTCAATAAAGAGCACGCCCTGTGCCACTTTACCGACGCAGGAGATGATAAGGAAGCGGCGGACAATAAGGTGAAAGGTAGTTTCGGCTGCCAGTCCTGTGAGAACTCATGCTGACCCCATGATAGCGGAGATGGCGTTGTTCTATGATAACGTGCACTGCAAGCACATCATGTTAGGTGCTTCCGGCGATAACAGCTACGCAGGCTTTCTGCGACAGTATACCCTCACCAATCAAGTCTCCTCCCGGGTGGTCCTGATCGAATCGATCCCTTTCGCCAGTCAACTCGATGTGCTCGCAGTTAAATTCGAGAACACGCACCTCCAAGGTCTTTTCCGCGCGCATAAGATAGAGAGGAAAGCGTTGTCGTTCCACGAAGACAAACCCGCTCCACCAGGGAATACTCCACCTGCAACTTACGCGTTCACTGTGAAGCAGCCGAACGGAGGCCAGGAGAAGCAAGCGCCTGTCCTACCGAAGTCGCCTATCATAGACGGCGGACTCGTCAAAGCAGGACGGAAAATCTACCAGAACAGCAAAGGCCAGAGGGTGGACCAGCAGATCAAAGCGGACAAGACTGTCGTCTACAGATTGAAACCACTGAAACTCTGCAACCGCCACTTCCTTACCAAGTGCTATTATGACCCATGTACTCACAGCCACGAAAGCAAGTTGAATTCGGTCGAGCTGGATGCTCTCCGCTTCATTGCACGTCTGAGCCCTTGCCAAACGTTATACTGTGAAGATGCCGACTGCGTTGCCGGGCATCGATGTATGCAGGGAGCGAACTGTGAGAAAGGCTCAAAATGTTGGTTTGATGTCGAGATGCACAGAGTCGATACCAAAATAACGGGCTATATTACCGTTTGAGTGTGAATGAGACACGCAATGTTATGATCGTCAGGTGTGCTTGGGCTGGAGGTCTCATCGAGGCAGCATATGGGCTTTCTATGCAGAGGTGAAGGATGAAGTGTCATGTAGCTAATTGGCAGTTGGTGGGAGGATTCAAGTCAAATTGCAGTGACTGCTCATTCAGTGACAATGGCAACGACAAACATGCCAAGCCCATGGCAAGTTTGGTGTATTATCCAGGCGGCAGTGACAGCCAGGAACTTTCTCTGGTTCAACATCGCCTCACCTCCATTTCATTAAAATCTTGTCCTGGCCGGCTCATTCTCCAGGATGGCGGCTCTAAGAGCGCGTGTGGAAGAGGTTATTCGAGGCGATGCAGCGAAGAATGCCCTGCTTGAGGCAGGTCGCCCCAAGCCGTTGATGTAATGGCACTAAATTCTTTCCAGGAAATGTTGGTGAACGTCGAACAGCTTATGCAGCAACGTGATGCCGCCAAAAACGAACTCGAAATGGCCCGGGATACTGCAAGGACTTACTATCAGAAGATGGTACAAGCGGAAGCGGAGACTTCGCGGATGAAAACATCAATGGTGGCGATTCGGTTTCGCTCATCCTGAAGTCCACGTGGCTGACAGCTCGCAGGAGGACTGTGACAGATTCGTTCTCGTGTTGATAGATGGCGACAGCATGCCGGTAAGGTTGACTTGAGGCCACATCGTCCAAACGCGGATCAACCAGAAACGATCTTCACGACTGACATTTCCAGTTCGTCGATGCTTTCGTGTCGAGAGGTTTGCAAGGCGGCGAGGATGCAGCCAAGCATCTTCGAGCAGCTCTCCTTGATTATCTGAAGAAAACCCCTAGATACCACGCCGATGATCGGATTGTTATTCGCGTTTATGCCAACTGTCGCGGTCTGGCTAAGACTTACCGAGCAGCAAAGATTATCCCCGATGAGAGCGTTTTTGAGCAGTTCATGATTGGTTTCAACAACAGCCACCCGCTCTCCGATTACATCGATGCAGGCAATCGAAAAGAAGCCGCGGACTCGAAATTAAAAGGTGCGTCGCCCACAATCCAAGGTCATAGAGTGATTTGACTTCTTGAAGCCAACTTCGAGCTTTTCTACCGAAACTTCCACTGCCAGCATGTTGTCTTCGGAGGATCCGCCGATAGCAGTTATGCCGGCTTTCTGAGTCCATTCGCCTCTCCCACTGCGGTCAATGATCGCATCACATTACTCGAAGGCCCGGCCTTCCCAAGTGATCTCAAGAAGGTTGCGCAGGGATTCCGACAGACATCCTTTCCGGATATCTTCCGAACAGCCAAGCTACAAGTGATACCGAATGGTTCGATTGCCGTCACGGCTGGGATGAAGAGACCGGCGGCTGAACCTTTGACTGCCGCTCGAGAACGACAACCGGCTCCTTTGACCACTCCAATTGCCACATTGGCAAAGGCACAGACGCTTCCGGTTCCCTCCCAGCTTCCACTACCGCCAGTACTGTCGCCTACTATCTTCCAGAATCAGTACGGGCAGCGACTGGACCCGCCGTTGAACTACGATCGGAAATATCTACAGCATCTGTACGACTACAATTCAAAGCTCTGCAACAATTTCTACCTCAAAGGTCACTGCCCCTATGGCAATACTTGCGAGTGGGACCATTCTCAAGTGCTTAACCAGCTTCAACTCGACACACTTCGACACAAAGCCAGAACATCCGCCTGTCGAAACGCTTTCTGCACAGATCCACAATGTCCGCTTGGTCACATGTGTCCTCGCAACGGAACATGCAACATTTCGCAGTGCAAGTTCCTGCCAGAAATGCACCACATCGATACCAGTCAAGTCTACGAGGTCAACACAGCCACGGGAGAAAGAAAGAAAGTGTCAGTCCCTGCTTAGGCAGGACCCCAACCACAATCCTGGAATTGGATCAATTTCAGAAAGAGAAGAACAGACAGCCCGCACCCTGGAAATCTCTTTGAAACGACGAAGAGCAAAAGCTTCGACTTTCCGACCAGCCGCCGGTCGGTCCTCCCGAAGCTACTGATCTGCAGTCCACAGATCATGGTGATTTGAGAGGGCCGCCGCGGGGCGACTGGGAATTGGCGGAGAAGCCGGACGGGGCCTTCGTTTTCAGATCGCCTCGATTCACCCTTTCCGACCACGACGCGTCGAATTTTCATTTCTCGTTTTGAGATAAGATACCCCTTCTGCATTGCGACCCCTTTTTAGCCTGCTGATTTGGCCTGCGCTGAGCATTTCCTGCTCTGAACAAGCGAACTATCCCTGTGCAGCATCGGCTCTTGGCTCCCCGCAGGGTGTCCCCGAGAGCTCGATCTCCGCGTACAGGAGAGATCGCGTAGTAAACAAGTCGAGCAAGCCTTGCCACGCATATTATAGCAATAAACCATATTTTTGACGAGACTCATTTCGTGCCTGGCTTTGTTTCTGCTGTTTTCCTCCATCCATGCTTGAGTTACAGCGTTGTTCACTGTATCGTCGTCCCTGAGGGAATCTAGTAGTATCACAAGCAAAGCATAGTGGCTGTGAGATGGGTTGCTGTCGGTCATTCCCTCACAATAGCCATGCTCTTCCTCAATTCTCGCTCTCTTTGCTTGCTTTGCAATTCTAATCTTTCAATGGCATATTGCAGCCTCTCTTTCTTCTGCTGTAGGCGTTTCATCTCTAGCATTCTACCATCGCTGAGGGGCGTTGCGGATTGTGCAGACTTGCCGGATCGTAGAACTTCCGTGTTACTTCCGAAACTCGAAGTCCTCCGTCTGTTGTTGTGCAATCTGCCCTCAAGCAATTCTGATCGGGCCTTCAGATTCTCTTCTTTCCGGCCAAGCTGGTTGATGTAGTTCTCTGCAGTCGAGAGGAGCTGGTTGATAGCTGGGACAATCTCGTCGACCAGCGATTGCTGCGCCTCCTGAAGTGTAGGTTCGGGAAGAAGTTCAAAGTGCTGTTGTGTTTGTAGGACCTTGCACAGCCTGGGGAAGTCGGATACACCTTCGTCGAGGATGGAAATACTGGATTCGAGGAGGGAGAGAGACGATCGCAGAGATGAAACCGCCGGCCCAAGAGTCGCCATCACAGCTTGATCCTGAACCATTCGACGACGCACTCACTCTTCCATCTGTAGCCCGTACCTTCGGCCTTTCGAATCAACAAAGATCGCGAAGGCTGCGCGTCACGTTTCACACGCATAAAGCAAAGTTCCCAAACTCGCCAAGAACAATCCCGATTGGGTTTAGTCAAATTTGACTGGAGCTCGCAGACCTGAGATTCTCCGACAGCTCGTTGACGACAACTGCGCCTTCACGCAAATCACCAGCTCCCTCACAGCCAGATTATCCGTCAAGATGCCTGGTTTCATCCCAAAGAAGTTCCCCGGCAAGCTCGGTACGTAATCAAGAGCCTAGAGATATCGCTCGGCCACAGCATTGACACGCAAGACAGCCGAGCCTATGCTCCCTTTCTACATCGCCGGTCTCATCGTCTTCTACGGAGTCAACAAGGGCGCCAACGCCATGATGGACTGTGAGTTACAAGCCATACCATATCTATGACATGCAAAGGTTGGTTTGGTCAACGCGCATTGGCTGACGACTTGGTCATGAATAGCGGACGAATTCAGAAACGATCCTCGGAATCCCCGTGCAAAGAACCCAGATGCGCCGGGCGGTCAACATTGACAGAGTCATTTATAGGTGGCGGATGAGAAAAGAAGTTGCGAGAAGGCTTCAGACCCGAGCATTGGTCCTGGAGATGCTTTGAGCGAGCTGACTGTACATACCACAATGGCAAGCATAGACGTGGTGGAAGAATGAGACAAGATCGGAAATCCATCAAGCTTGTTATGGTCTTGCACCGGCGGAGAACATTTTCCCGAGATGAAGAACCGTTTTGCTGAGCAGATACTGACGTCGAGGTCTTCATTTCCATTCGCCGGGCAGCGCTTCGCTAGCAAACCACCGCACAGGGGCCTTCCCAACCTTCCCACGGGCATCCCTCGATCGCCGGCATGGCGAAGTGCGAAAAGCAACCACATGAAGTGTAGTGCTGGCTCTGGGCTGAACGAAAACACCCAGCCATTTTACTGAGGCTCTCGAGGTTTGAAAGCAGACGATTGACGGTCCCCCCCGGGCCCTCGCCACAATTGCTCTAAGACTTTTCCTGATCAATCGGATATGGTAAGCGAATTAGATTATTCTAGTTGACATTGCAAAAGATCCAAACCACCGACCACTGTCATCAGCTTCCAAAATTACGAACCCGAATCTTTACGACCTCGACCCCAAAGCACCTCCGTGAACCAAATGACTATGCCGCCGGGTATGGCCTCTAACTCATCTCTAAAAAGCCCTTTTCCCTCATCTCCCGCTCAGTCCAGTCCCAAAGCCTGTCGGCCAAGGTCGAATCCCGCGCCTGTTTACTGGGCGTCTTCCTTTCACCCACGGGCACAAAATAACATCCGGACATCTCCTTCGTCATTCCCTTCCCCGCGACTGCCCACAGAGAATTGAAGCTCCCTTGCTCTGGCTCGATGTAGGCTCCCATGCATCTCAGAATCGGCACCAGAGTCGAACCACCCCAGGATCTTTTGTTCAATTGCGTGTCAATGTTGCCCGGATGCAAAGCGACGGCCCAAATGTGCGGGTGGCCTTCCGTGGCTGGGGACGAGTTGTACCGGGCATGCAGAGCTTCCGCATGCAAAACGTTGGCCAATTTGCTCTGCGCATAGCGGCGGAAGGTAAAGTGGTTCTCCAGACTCGTATCATCGAAATCGATGCCCTTTTTCGACGTGGCCGCGTGGCCCATGGAGCTGACATTGACGATGCGCACAGTGCCCTCGGGAGACGTGCTGGCGGTCGACGTCAACAGTGGCAGCAGATGGTAGGTGAGTAGCCAGTGCGCGAGATAATTGGTTTGCCACTGTGCCTCATAGCCATCTTCGCTGAGTTGAAAGGGTGTGGCCATGATCCCCGCCGAGTTGACAATGCCATGTAAGCTGGTGCATTGCGAGCGGATGTGCTTCGCCGCTGCCACGACCGACTTTAGGGACATGTGGTCCATCAAGACCAAGTGGATTTGGGGCACCGGTTCTGGCTTGGTCTGCTTGATTGAGGCCGTGATCGACGCAACTGCCGAGGTGCCCTTCTCTGACGAGCGGGAGATCAGGTATACCACTGCGCCATGCAGTGCCAGATGGTAGACTGTCCACCAGCCTATACCCGTGTTGCCTCCCGTTACCACGTAAGTGCGCCCCTCGAGCGAAGGGAGAGATTCTGGTGACCAGTTCAGATGGGGAGACATGGTTGGGACTTGGAGATGTTGCGGATTAGGGTTTGTGTAGTGGTTTGCGGGTTTTCTGCCGGAGGAGTCTGAGCGCCGGGAATGCGGTCGTGGACATATTGGCTATCGAGGACATCGTAGTCTTCTTATATCGCCTTCAAGACTTGTTGGGTTGTTTCGAATAGAGCAGGCGTTAGACGTGGTGCTGGGGAAATGTCACAGGGGCTGGTGCTATGCGGGTAGATGACATGGCGACAGGGCTCCCCAGTAGGGTACAGCCTTGTTCTTGCATCACCAGCTGGATCGATGCGTAGGATGAAGAGATCACAGTGGCGCTACGTCACGGCTCGTGAAGCGACAGCCGCCTACCACTATCATCCCAAAACCAAGCACCTTTCTTGGTGTCCTGGACGAGCCATGCCTAAAGGGACCGAGAGGCTCAAAATCTGCGATGGAAGATCGATCCCAAGTTAAAGTCAACGTCCTTTTCACGGAGTATGAGTGGATGCTTCCAAGAATGCGCCCACTACTCCGTATATGGCGCGTATTTCGACGGTAGTCGGCTCGAAGGGCTTAAGGCCTGAAGACCCGCTTGTCAGCGACCTGCATATCTCCGGTGACTCAGCCAATCAACCATTACGCGCACGACTCGAATGGCGTGACAAGTGGCTGTTGAGGCACTTGGCACTTCAAACTCGGTGTAAGCAGGTTGCAGACCATAAATTGCGATGTCTTGGGCTTTGCACGCCTCAGAGGTGTCTCTTGCGGGCACGGAACAGGGCAAAGTAGAAGGGAAGATAGTAAACTCAATCGCCGAACCATGCCACTTATTCCTGGTCTCCGTGCCGAGCTCAAACTCCATCAGGACGTTCAGTCGTTGGATGACGAGTGGTCGGGCATTACCGACCCAGTGGTCCGGCGCAAGCTTCAGAACCGGCTGAATCAACGAGCTGCAAGTGTGTTTTCCATATCCGAAATCATGGCAGGCAACCCGCTGACACGTCGAATAGGACGGCGCAAGGCTGAGCAGAAGGCCGGAGCTGGGGCCTCCGCGTCGACGGCTAGCTCGTCCAGAGCTGCAGGGCTCAAGGATGTGCCACTGCACCAACGGATCGATCTGAAGAGCGTGGTGCAGCTGCGGACGAAGCAATTCAACAGCAGCGAGTGGCAGGCTGCCGCGGAGACGTTCAACCAAGCCACCCAGTCGCCCTTTGTGTCGATCCGGAGCAAACACTCGTGTCAGCGGTGGTACGAGGTGCTACTGGAGGATCGTCTGGTCAGCATCAAGGACCTGGCGGAGAAGTCGACAACGGAGGACGCAGATCAGTCCGACCTGTACAAGCTGCCAGCCGACCACCTGATCTCGCTGGTCTACTATAACGTCTACCGTGCCTTGATTGCAAACGTCCACCTCCTCGGACTGGATCTGAACTTGATGTACAGCGACGATTACCCGTCCCCCTTCCTTCCTCTCTCGCCGAGCGCGTCCTCCAAGATACGCCGGCTCCCTCCCACGCTCGAGCCGACGGAACTGCAAAAGACCGTGGCACATCATCCGATGTGGGATATCTTCCCCGACCCGGAGATCCGGGACAATATCCTGCGGTACGGACAAGAGAATATCGACGACCTGAAGTTGTGTCTGGACATGGTCGGCGATGGTAACTACCCGGGCTCGGGTGATCTCGACACGCAGCAGACGAACGGATTGATCGTCTGGGGCGAACCGTGGGACATCCAAGGATGGGAGATGACCGAGTGCTTTGCGCGCAAGTGGCCATTCCTCATCCGCGGAGCAATCAACGTACAGAACTCGACGAACAGATGGAGAATGCAACGTGGGGAAGAACCATTGGATTTCGGCAGGATCCTCGAGATCGAATGAAAGTACATGATGTTCTACGGCTGCTGGCTGTCGGGCGAGGGGCTTGGAATAAGATGGCCACAAGGAACGCTTTGATCCACCGCCCTGCGAGCCATTCCATCGACACCGTTCCTCTTCAGCAAGACGACGCCGAAGAACCAGCGAAGTTACAGCTGCTCCCATCGAACAAGGCCGCGCCTGACACAGTGAGTGAACCACCGTCACTGATGTCGGTGAAGATGCAACTGGGAAAGAGTCAGAACAGTACACCCGACTGAGTGAAATGGCGACTTACGTGTCTCCGCCTGGCGTCAGCTGGTTTTCACACTCGCAAATGTTCGGGCAAAAGTTGTTGTCCGCACCACCGCCCGCGAAGAGGTCAAAATGAGGAGGATCGGCCTGACAGTCGGTACAGAAGTCCTCGTATATGAACCACTTCTGCAAGTATGGGACATAGAAGGAGCCGCATGGTTGGACAGGGAGGCCGTCGCCCGCACTGGCCGCGGTGATGGGACTGTCTTGGGTTCCAATGCCACCGGCAAGACCCGATCGTCCGGGGCATTGCATGGCCAGCACAGAGTTGCCCGCGGTGCCACCGGCATCGCAATTGGCGTTGCAGTCACCGTCCAGGTTGTCAGTGTTGTCCACGAAGCTGTAGAAGGTGATGCGGACGTTGGCGCTGTTGAATGTTTGCGCAGCGGCCGATGACAGAAACAAGGCTGAGACGAGGGATCCGGAAGAGAACCGCATGTTGACGATCGGATGGAGGGTGTGCAGTGAGCGTGAATCTACCTGCTGAAAAGCAATGCTGGCTCTGCTCGAGCTCTCTCGTCTGTCTTATATAAATTATCTCAACTTACCCATCGACGATCCGGAGGAAGGAGGATTCATGGGATGGTACAGCTAGCACCGTCGGCCTCGTCATGGCCAGCCCGTGCTTGTCAGGGCAATCGGGCGCAGACCGGGCGTTCGTTTCAGGGCGGTGTTGACCACAACATCGTGCAATCAAATATCAAATATCACAGCAGACTGCGAATATGTGGGCGTGGCGGTGCATCCTCCGACGATCTTGTCGCTGTTGGGTTCAACGCGCATCCATCTCGCTGGGGACAGGTCATCATGAACGACCGGTAATATTGCGCCCTCCAACAGCGCAGAAGACGTTGCTGCTGCTTGTACTTCGCTTACCAGATCCCTGTGGTTCCTTCGTGGTGCTGTGTCTATCAAGCATTTGGAATGCTTGTGACTTTGCCAAGCAATGTATGTGCAATGAAAATGTGAACGCTGCTGCTTTTATCACAAGCGATGACGAGGCAGCAAACTTTGTTCCTTGCTGTTCTTCCTAACTTTAGTCATTGGTCTGCGGGGGATCAGGCTTACCTTTCTGACCAAAGGCACAATATTCAAGGTCGACCTATAATCGGAATGACTGTTCGATACTCGCCCGAGAAGGCACTGAGGTCAAGGTGTCGCCAAGCTGATGCCTCGGCCTTTGTTGTATCATTCTTAGCGCCGGCGCGGCCGGGAGTGCGAACTCCAGGTACAGAATGCCCGTGTATTTCGTATTGTCCTGTGGTGCAATGTGATAAAGAAGTACTCCGTGGTGTAGTTGTGTCGCGCCACTGGCCGCACCTGTGATACCTAATTATTTGAGGGGGTTTTCGATGCCTCGGTATTACGCAACGGCTGTTACCTAAGCTTGGAGAGGCCTATCAGGTGCCACTTGGGTGCGTACTTGGGTACGCGTTGGCCGTCGATTACTTACGGAGTACGGAGGACTTGTTCTTCATCTCGAGCTCGAGCTTGTCCGCGCATCCCTTGTTTTCCCTTTTCAACATGTTATTAATTCCTCCAGCTTGAATCACGGCAATGCCTTGAGCTTCTCGTCACGTACGAAAGGCGGCTGCGAGGAATTTCGTACATCGTTCACAGCGTAACTTGAACGTTGGGTTTACTAAACACCCCGAAGTGAAAACGAAAAGTATCACCAGACGAGTGTGGAAGACTAATCAATCACGACGTCCAAAATGGGCATGATGGCAGCTTTAAAGCGTTCAGGGAGTCCAGCTTCGGATCGGTAGGTCTTTGGCTCCTCTTTCTCAGGGATCAAACGCGTTCCTTCGTCGTAGACCCATCAGCGGCAAGATGTCCTCCCGCCACCAAACATCTCATATTGCCGTGATAGGGGGTACTGGCGCCCAGGGCATACCGGTGGTCCGCGGTCTAGTCAAGGACAAGAAGTACACATGTCGGGTACTGACACGAAACCTGGATTCCCAGCGGGCCAAGGATCTCGTGGCACTGGGCAACGTTGAACTTATGGAGGGCACTTTCGCGAGTGAACCAGATCTTCGGAAGCTTTACCAAGGCTGTGACGGAGCGTTCATCAACATCGACGGCTTCAACTGCGGAGAGAAGACAGAGATCTTCTGGGCAATCCGGAGTTACGAGCTTGCGCTTGAAGCCGGGATCAAATTCTACGTCTACGGGAACCTCGACTATGTCTACAAGAAGTCGGGCTACGATCCAAAATTCCGCTGTGGGCATTACGATGGGAAAGGCAGGATCGGCGAGTGGGTGCTTACACAGAACCAGGCCAACGGCGCCCGCATGGGTGCGTCTGTGTTCACCACCGGCCCGTATATCGAGATGGCAATCGCCGGTCTGGCTGCCTTCACCCCGACGGTCATCGACGGTGTTGTCACATGGCGGTTCCCCCTCGGAGACGGAGCCGTGGTGCACGTTTCCCTCGATGATTGTGAGCACTACGTCCGGTGGATCTTTGATCACCCCGAGAGATCCAACGGCATGGACCTCGAAGTCGCCATCGACCATATCCACTACGCCGATCTGGCGGCGGCGTTCCAGAAGGTGACTGGTAAACCGGCCAGGTACGTGGACGTCGACCTTGACACCTTCTGGAACACGGGACGCAATAAGCAGCTGGCCAACACCGGAGGAGGTTACAACTCCGATCCCAATGACCCGTCCTTCATGACATACAGACAGAACTTCACGGGGTTCTTCAACATGTGGAAGCATTCCGCCGGCAACAAGGGTGTCATTCGTCGAGATTACACGCTGCTGGACGAGATTCATCCCAACAGGATCAAGAGCGCAGAAGAGTTCTTCCGACGCGAAGATGAGCGAGGGAGAAAATTAGGGCTTGGAACTCTGTGGGATCGTGTCCAGAAAGAGAATCTCAAACCCATCCTCAAGATTGGTGAAGATAGGCGACAGGGCAAGCTGTAAATGTCGCGAGCGAGCTGCTGGTCAAGAGTACCTCGTACATATCGTCGACAGTCGCGTGCTTGGAGGTATCAAGCATCCTGTATCCCTTTGACTACACAGTACCTATTCCGTGCAGAGACACGTCAGCTTGTGGCAGATCGAGTGAATGACAAACGCCGTCTGCCGCCTGGAAATGCCCGTCTCGGTAGCAAGCCAGGTCCGGCGGCGGCAGGGGACCCTGCGGGCTGTGGCGCAGCTTAACTAGGATGACGCCTACTGAGCTTAGACAGCCGCATCGCCGCCAAAATTGGGGCCTGGGTCCCAGTTTAGTGATGCCTTGGTTGAGATAGTGAAAAAACTGGGCAGCCCAGAGGCGCGGTATTCATGACATCTAATTCAGTCTCTTGTGACCATTAAATGCACCTTCACCCCACTGTCAGCATCGCGGCCCGTCAATCCTTCGTGGTGTTGGTTTCCGGAAGCCGACGCATGTTGCTTGCCTCGCCGATCGTCCTCCCTTCCTTCTCCCCGCATCACGGGCATAGGCATAACGTCTTTGCAGCGGAACCTTGCCCAGGCTGCAGGTTAGGTATCCAACATGGCGGCCGCAGGAGAGTCCTACGCGGCCGTGAATGGCGGCTCTCGTCCCATGCCACCGGGACCGCAGCTCGACAATGAAGCACCGCTGCCTCCCGTGCCTACTGGCGACGGGCCTGGCGACGACTTGGATCCCAACTACAGGGAGAAACTGCACAATGTTCTCTCCTCAGACGTAAAGACCACCACCGTTGTCTTCCGGTCGCGACGATGTTAACGGGCTCCTTAGATCGGCATGACCACGCTGATGACCAGATTGAAACAAAGCATACACTCAACAAGGGTAAGTACGCTTCGGGGGTTGCGAACGATCGGGCTTGCTGACGGCGCAATAGGACTTTGCAGCCTTCCTCAAGGAACGATCCGCCCTCGAGGAGAAGCATTCGCAGGGCTTAAAGAGACTGAGCCGGGCCACACATGACTCGATCGGACGACCCGAGGGCAGACAAGGCACCTTCGCCGACAACTACAAAGAGGTCACAAGCATCCACGAGAGAATTGCCGACCATGGCCTTCAGTTCTGCAACTCGCTCTTCGGCATGTCGGAAGAACTATACGAGCTGGCAGCCAACACCGAAAAAGGCCGGAAGCACTGGAAACAGGCGGGCATGAGTGCGGAAAAGCGAGTACAGGATGCAGAGGCAGCGATGGAGAAGGCCAAACACCGGTACAACTCGCTAGCCGAGCAGTACGATCGAGCCAGGACCGGCGAGAGACAGTCAGGCGTGTTCAGCCTGAAAAGATCCGCCGCCCAGGCGGAGGAGGACTTGCGACTTAAGCTTGAAGCTGCCGATGCCGACTACTCTGCCAAAGTGGACGCTGCGCAGACGCTGCGGAATGAGCTGCTGAGCACTTACAGACCCCAGACCATCAATGCTCTACAGGAGTTGACGAGGGAGATCGACGCAGGCCTGAGTGGGCAGGTGCAGAAATTTGCCAACTTGAGCGAGAAACTGATGCTGGGATTTGGCCTCTGCGTGACGCCCATGAAGGGACAGCCGTCCGTTCCTGGCCAACCGTCCAGGAGTCTTCGCGAAGCGGCTTCGAGTATCAGTAACGAGCGAGATTTCATTGACTTTGTGCTCGGGTCGAGCAATAAAGCTCCCCCACGAGCGGCCGAGATCAAGTACGAGAAACATCCCTCGTTCTCTCCGAAACAACAGCAGCCGGACTATTCGGATGACAACTATCCATCTGCGCACTCTAGGCAAGTATCTGGCGTGACTCCTTATCCGGGCGACGAATATGGCGACGAACTGTCGCAGCCTCCACCGGGGAGAAATCCTGGAGGGCCCCGACCAAATATGCCACCGCAAGGAGGTCCTCCAGGTGCCGGACGACCGCAATCATCGAATGGTGGCAATCTGGGCAGTGAGCAGTCTCAACCTCCGCGGAGCCCCTCGCCGCAACCAGGGCCGCCCGGCGCTCAAGGTGGCCAAGGGCCGCCAATGGGACGCGGCCAACCACCGATGGGTCGCGGACAGGGGCCACCTGGGCCGGGCAGAGGACGAGGTGCCGCGCCCCCAGGTGGAGTGGGTAGGGGCGAGCCTCCTCAAGGTATGGGACGAGGTGCCGCGCCTCCGGGTGGAGTAGGTAGAGGTGAGCCTCCCCAGGGTATGGGACGAGGCGCCGCGCCTCCAGGTGGAGTGGGTAGAGGTCAACCTCCGCCAGGCGGTATGAACCAGGGGCAAGGTCCGCCAGGCGGGACGAACCAAGGTCAACCGCCTCCGGGCGGCATGGGCAGGGGCCAAGCACCACAAACACCAACGCCCCCAGGCCAAGGTGCACTGGGCGGGCCAGGTCCTGCGCCACAAGGCGCCGCAGGACGTGGACAACCACCACCTGGCGGAATGGGACGGGGAGCGCCGCAGGGTGGAATGGGACGAGGTCAACCACCACCTGGGATGGGCCGAGGACAAGGACCGCCAGGTCCAAGTGGCAACGGTCAACCTCAGCAACCAGGTACGCCGCCTCAAGGCGCCGGCCGTGGAACGCCAGGTCCCGGACCGGGCGGACCTCCCAACGGCGCACCGCGGCCAGGAGGTGTCAGTGCACTTCCGTCAAGGCAGCCTGTCCCGAAAGCTGGTCCGCCTGTTCGTCCTGTGTTTGGAGTCTCTCTCGACGAGCTATTCCAGCGGGAAGGGTCGGCCGTGCCCTTCATCGTCATGCAATGCATCCAAGCAGTCGACATGTACGGGCTCAACGTTGAAGGCATCTACAGAACCTCTGGCTCGGCGAACAACATTATGGAATTGAGACAGAAATTCGATCATGGTAGGATCTCAGTGACGTCCAATTCGATCCCTGCTAACATGCTTCCAGACGCCAATTCAGTAGACCTTCGCACTCGCGGGGCAGACGATATTGCCTCGGTCACCACTTTGCTCAAACATTTCCTTCGAGACTTGCCGGATCCATTACTTACCGCGGCGCAGTATCGAGAATTCATCCAAGCCGCCAAGTTGGACGATGCTGTACAGCGCAGGGATGCAATCCACGCGCTTGTCAACGCGCTGCCCGATCCTAATTACGCCACTCTCAGGCTCCTGACAATCCATCTCCACAAGGTCGCACAGCACAGTGGCAGCAACAAGATGACCCACAATAATTTGGCAATTGTTTTTGCGCCGACCCTGATGGGCCAGCGAGCCGGCGTCAATGGGAATGGACCGGGAAGTGCGGACATTGCGGACTCTGGGTGGCAGGCTAAAGTCGTGGAGACCATCCTAGACAATACCTTCCAGATCTTTGATGCTGACGAATGAAGGAACGGCGCAGCTATTGTGGGAGAGATGTGCATCGGAACCGGTTTACGTTAATTGCGCGCATTAGCGAGGCGTTTCATTTTGAGCGTAGATGCTTGAGACTGGATTGCGCATGCAAGTTGTCTATAGGATCTAAAATGAAATGAGATGAATGAGTCGATAATGCCTCAAGTGCTCAGCTTCAAAGCAAGCGAACACAGCGAACACAGTCAGTTAAGTAGCTGGCCGGACGCTGTGTTCGCACTAGTACAATTTGAGGAAAGCGCAGCCTCGTTCTTGTGAAGCGGGGCCAGTTGAGGAGAAGCGCGAGGCTTGCATCTATCACCAACTTCGGCTGAACAGCTTTCCGAATCCTGCGTCGTTCTTGGTCGCATACACAGTGCGGAGTAGTCGCGCCGTTCATCCTCGATGGCTATCCAATGTTGCTGAAATCTTCCTACGGTCATTCTGGCCCCCAAATCCAAGCTAGGTCCGACTGCTCCCACAATTTCTCCTCTTCCGCATCGGCGTGTTGAATTTGTTGCCGTCTCCGGGACATACCCCGTAATCGAAAAGCGTCATGTCTTCCATTCCTCAACCTGCGTATCCGCCGTCGCTGGCCGACTGGGAAGACCATCGATCTGTCATAACAAGGCTGTATGTGGAAGAAGATCGGAGTTTGTGTGATGTCCAGCACATTCTTTGCCACAGGTACCATTTCCGATCATCGTAAGTCGCCCCATCCCAATTCTGTTTCTGGGTCTGATTTCCTACTAATCTGCGTACAGGTTGCGGTCTTACAAGAACAGACTGAGAGGATGGGGCATCCGCAAACATTATAAAACAACAAGCAGCCGGATACGATCGCCCGCTATTTTATTCGGCCCGGAGCTTGCATCGCTGTCCAGTTTTGGCAGCAAATCTCGCTTCAGCCATATCAAAAGCGAGGATAATGACGCAGCTATGGGCTGTTGTAGGGTGCTTTCCCCTGCGTCTATCGATTCAGGAGGGACTCCCCAGCTTTCAGACGCACTCCCTGTTGGGATCCTGACACCAGTGCACGATGGAGGAATGATGGTGAAGCGACAACCGAGCAACACAACCTCGATACCTAATTTCATGCTGAAGGACGAGTTTAGCGACACGACCAATTCCATCGTCATGGCCGCAAAAGCTTTCATAACCACCGCCGCTGCGGCAGACGTTGATGTCCCGACGCGAATCTCGTCCGAGCAATCGGTCAAGCAGATAAGGCCGTTCAGACGACGGAAGAATTACATCTGGCACCAATTCCAGCACGGGCTGACCCTCTTGGAGCAAGCAAACGTGCCTGGCGCCTTTGACGACTTGCAAAGAGGCTGCGCCATGGCCGAAGCATATCTGCGGCGCCCGACCAGACAAGTCCTGATGAGCCTGTTGGCCGTAATGGGAAACCGCCGCTGGAGCCGGCATCAGCAGGCATGGACGTCCGTCGTGCGGTTCATGGCTTCCATGTCCTCGAAGACGCTGGGCCCACGCCACCCGCTCGCCTGCATCATGAACAACATGCGGAGCTGGGACATGATGCGTATCGCCGCCCAGCCCGCGATGAGAGTTATCCTCGACACGTCCTCGCGAACGCTGGGCCCGGGCCATCCCGAAGTGTTGCTCCTCCAACAAGGACTGTGCGTGGAACTGATGCGCGACGGGGCCTTTGACGCGAGCGAGGCCATGATACTCGAGGCCTGCGAGACCAGCGCCGCGACCCACGGACCCACTAGTCTGGCGCGACGCAACTGTCTGCGCCGTCTGGGCAACCTGTACGTCGAACAGCAGCGCTGGGACGACGCCGAGACCGTCTTTGAGACCGTCATTGCCCTTGATGCCGAGGCCAACAACCGCTACCACGGCCCCACGGACGAGACCAGCGTCTTTACGTGCCAGAACCTGTCGCTCCTGAATTGTCGAAGAGGCGACCTGGCGAAGAGCGACTATTGGGCCCAGCAGGAGCTGGACCTGGCTCTGAAAGTCTATGGACCGGAGGATGACTATTACGCGGATTGTCTGAACAGGAGGAGTGCGCGGCTCAATGGCGAGCCTTGCGACAGGTGGTTCTCGTGGCTGGAGGTCAGCTGAGCCGCGTTTAGCATGGCGGAGCAAGGCGTAGAAAGTCGTGGCCAGGTCGCCATGCTGAACGGCAAGAGACGGCAATTGCTGCAAGTGCTGCAAGTGCGCAAGTGCCCTCAGGAGGGATTTCCCCTATGCCCACCGCCACGCCGTCGAGGTCCACTAGGTCTGTACATAGTCAGTCTCTCCAGAATCATATCTCAACGAGTGAAAGAAAATGTATTGTGTTGATGCTATTGAAAGGCGTCGGCCCCCTTCGTACAGAGAATGTCAAGCTCGGCGTTTCGGTAGAGGTGCAATTGTAGAGCTCGCTGTAAGGGCAACGCGTGGTTCATGCTGTGAGAAGCTGGACTTGTTCGCGGAGGGGGTCAAACGTGCATGTGACTATGTTGTCTATTTCTTTATCTTATTGACTCGGGTGCTGAACGCCTCTTTTATCCCCTTGGAAATACGTATTGCTAGTAGTGTACAAGATGTCAGTAGAGATGCTATCCTACTATAAGGCCCCCTCACTATCAGACTAGATATCGGGTGGATGCCATCGCTATAAGGCTGACTTTTCGGTATAGACGCTGCTACGCCGTTGTTGTCGGGTGGCGGGCAGTCCCGTTCCTGCCCTGTTCCCTCCTTGCTCTGTCCTTGCCCTCACATGGCAGGACCAGCAGGGCTACGAGATAGTTCAAAGTTGAGAGCCGAGCTCTCGAGGGATAGACCCCCAACAAGAGATTCAAGACACACGGTGGTGCCCTACCACATATGGTAGCTCACGAGGACGTTTGTTGACCTCTCTCCAATGCCCTCCCGGGTTGAATACCTTCAGTTTGTTTGCCGCTGGTTCCTCGTCCTCGTCGTCATCGACCCATGGTTGTCCGTCGCCGTCCCACAGTCGTCCCGCCTTGACCTCGGCCTCGACCTGGGCAAGGTCGGGGTCGCCTCTGTTTTGATTTCCGGTTCCCGTAGTCACAGTTCGTGCCCTACCACATGTCATATGTACCTCTCATAGTAGCGTAGCGACCCAAGTTGTCGGTGCCGGTGGTAATGCTGTTGTACTACTCCGCTATCATACCGCCTCTTGTACCGTAAGGGCTTGGCGCCTTCCTTTTGAAGTTGTGTTTCATGCCTGTACGCTCCAGGCGAAGATCTTCAATCTTGATGTCTCCACTGGGAAGTCTGATAATTGCTCTTGGTACGTGGCTTCCATCTTCCTCCGGCATGCGTTGACAGACCTTTCAGAATCGCAGTGGTTTTTTTTAGCACCCGCTGCAGACGTACAGCTACTTTTGTAAGGTGGACCGTTTGATTGAGTACCTCAACATGCCTTGCAATCTCAAGCTCGTCTGTTGACCATGGGCACTGCGACGTCTCACCTGGTCATGCCTCCCCAAAATTGTTTATGCATTGGGAGACTGTATAGTGTAGACTGATCATCCTTATTATCGCCCGAAGGTCCCGGGTCATTGTGATTGATTGGGTGTTCTGCTGTGGTGTTGTCTGATCCTCATATGCTATTTCCCGCCGCGGCTTCGCTGTCCCGGACCGGTTCGAAGTTCGGGTCGTCTCTTCACGCTGTGGACTGGGCACAGCTCTCCTACCAGTTCGCGACATGTGTTGAGAGTCTTCTCGATGCCGAATTCGTCGAGTACGTATATGAACTCCTCTGCTTTTTCTGCTCTTGTCAGGATGGGGAATCCACTGCCGTACCGGGCGAGCAATGCGCCGTCAACTCAGCTCCAGCATTGAAAGCGATTGCCTCCTTGCGGAGAATATCAAGCTCAGCCTTGCGGTAGAATTTAGCTGAAGGGTTGCTGCAAGCGGAGTGCGTGCTTCATGCCATCCTATACAGGCTCAGAGGTCTAGTTGTAGGCGTTGTTGTAAGAGGCATACCTGGTTCATGCCATCCCATCCTGGCTCAGACACATCATTCGGACGAATGCTGAAAGTCAAGTTTAGTGCGGATGACTTCGGCGAGAATGACATTGCATGTGAATAATCTGGAGAAGATGCATCGGGCTGCTTCAGGACCGTTGCCGACACCGAGGCAAGAGTACAATCATGAGCGAACGGTTGTAGATCAGCAATCATAAATTTTGGGCGCTCACTACAGTAGCACTCCGTACGGCGCCTCGATGGCAGAGTAGAGCACGGGTACGCCCCTTGGGAAGTGCCGTTCAAGGTCGCACACGAGGCGAGAGATTTTAAAGGGCATCCGACCGTGTGTGTTGGTTCTCGCGACGGAGGAAACAAGGGTCAGCGAGCATCTGATCGTGTAAGTCAGTTTCTGGCGGCGGAGGAAGGAAACAAGGTTCTAGCCGACGTAGAAGTCCTCTCCGTGTGACCTTGGTACGATCGAAATGATGAGGTAGCCGTAGACGCAGATGTGGTTGGCGTGGTTTAGCTCTTCTCGACCGGCTGCGACGCTGCGGGCATTTCTGAACGACTGACCCGGACGCCCGTGGCTAGTCTTTCTACAGGGAAGGATCAGACACGGATGACGAACTCCGGCATAGAAGTGTATCAACATCATTTATGACCAGGTCGCTGACGTATGCACGGCGGTCTCGAAGGTGATGCCGCCAGGTGTAGATGGCACCTGCTGTAAAATGTTGATAGTGTATGACTACTCTATCTTACTGGTGAATGGAGTACGTAGTGAATACCCTATCATACTGCACGAAGAACAACCTAACTGACTAACCCGGTCAAATCTCCGGTCGAACGTTACAACGACCAAAAAAGGGGCAAAAAGGAAATTTCACTCCAAGTGGGACTCGACTGTACGATTGTAAGTTTCACGGAGAGAAACCAGAAGATGAATATCAACTTACACCCACAACTGTTGTTGGTGTTAGATATTACAATGGATACAGCGCGTAGTGGAGGATGTGCTCACCCTCCAGATGACAACTCGTGAGAGTTAGAAGTCTGGCGCGCTACCCTGGTTACAGTTAGAAAATTAACGCCCCTAAGATTGTCTTTACACACATTGCGCCATTGGAGCCTGAGCTGCTTTACTCGAACCCATGATGGTCGATCTCGACCTCAAATTTGCAGGAAAATTTGGGACGTCGAATACATAATGCATAGATTTATCACTTGCCGGGACTGAATTGACTCGGATTCGGGAGACCGCCGAGGTTCGCGTATCCACTAACAATCCCTGTGAGCCGTGTTTAGCCGTGAGTCATAGCGGGGGGTGAGGGGTGCTCCGTACGCAGTACCTGCAATGTTTGCATGAGCCTGGCTGCCCGTTCACGGTATAGTGGCTCACAGGCCACCAGTACTAGTATAACAACATATCCCGTCGACGCTGGTGGAAGGGTCTGAGGTGATGAAGCTTGGAGATCAAATCGTCCTTGTCACGGGTAAGTAGCTTGCTCTGCCGGAGGAGTATGTCTATTGTGTATCCTGATACCGCTTCGTCGGCCGCATTATGGTCAGGGTAAGTTCTATAACCCGATACTTACTCGCGCATTCCACAGGTTCTTCCCGCGGACTCGGGCTCGCCATCGCAAAAGCGTTTCGTGCAGAGGGTGCAAAAGTCGTTCTAAACTACTACAGCTCCGAAGAGGGTGCCGTGTCCGCGCTGGCCAAGGAACTTGATGGCTTTGCTTTCCGTGCCGACGTCACACAATCCGACGAAGTGAAAGCTCTGTTCGAGGCTGCCATGCGCCATTACGGAAAGCCCATCACGACTGTTGTGAACAATGCGATGGTGGGCAAGTTTGCTTTCAACGGAGATGCTAGACCCAAAGTGGCGGAGTTGAGATGGTCCGACTTTGATGACCAGATAAAGGGGTTTCTTTGTGGGGCGCTGAACACTACGCAGGCCGCGCTGCCTGGTTTTGAGAATGCTGGGTTCGGTCGGATCATCAATATTGGTTCCAACCTGTTCCAGAACCCGGTTGTGCCATACCACGATTACACCGCAGCCAAGGGAGCGTTGCTGGCGTTTACTCGGACCTGTGCTGCTGATCTGGGACCCAAAGGTATCACCGTGAACATGGTATCCGGAGGCCTCCTGCAGACGACGGACGCAAGTGCCAGTACCCCACAGGCAGTGTTCGACCAGATCAAGGCCGTGACGCCACTCAGGAAGGTTACCACACCGGAAGACATGGCGGGTGCGGTGTTGTTCTTCGCGAGTCCTTGGGCTGCCGCGGTGACGGGACAACAGATCGTAGTAGACGGAGGGCTGGTCATGAACTGATCCTGAGGCTTCGATCCTACGGGGAGTAAGTCGAGAACGTATTATAACATGGCTTGTAGCTGTGCTCGGGAAGCTTGAATCTCAATCACAGCTTTGCCCCAGACCTTCCGTGAAGCAAGATCGTCGAGGGCCTGTGGCACGCTTTCTAGACCACGATACGTGGCATAGACGACGGGCTTGATCTTTCCGCTTTCGAGCATTGCATTAAGGCCCTTCCAGACTTCCTCATTCTCGGCGGGGTCGCGTCTTCCGGTTTCCCCGAATCGCTGTTGTGAGAGTCAGCAAAAGCAAGCGCACGACTCGGACAAGAAATACTCACGTAGCCTAACAACCTGGCGCCTTTAAGCAGCACTCTGTTCATAGCAAGCGTTTCCATCTTCCCACCGAGGCCAGCAAAGCCAGCGATGACGATATTGCCCCCAAACTTCAAGCATCGGATGCTCTTCTCGACCAGACCGACGGTATCGTACGCAGAGTCGACGCCAACACCATTTGTGAGCCTCAGTACTTCCTTCTCCCACCCTTCTCTGTCATACCTTACCACTCCCAGCACACCCAGCTTCCGGACAACATCAGCCTTTTCCTCACTGCCCACTGTCCCAATCACCTGCGCTCCGACCGCGTGGGCGATCTGCACAGCGACAACTCCCAACCCTCCAGCCGCAGCGTGTACAAGCACGATCTGGCCCGCCTTGACTCCCGCCGTTCTGATCACAGCACCGTAACTCACGGGAGCAGTACCGGCGCCGAGCCCCGCCGCATCATGTAACGTCCACCCGGTAGGTAGCCTGAACAGAGCGGAAGCAGGGACGGCGATTTGCTCGGCGAACCCACCCACGCCGGCTCCCCAAACATGGTCGCCGCGCCTGAATTGACCGCCTGGTGGTGCCGAGGCAACTGTGCCAGCAAACTCTATCCCTAGGACAAATGGCGGCTTGACCAGGCCGATGTGGTTGTTCTGGTGCTTGCCTCGGGCGTATAAGAGGTCGACGTGGTTCAGCGCACTGTGGGTGATGTTGACGAGGACTTTATCTGCGCCTGGTACCGGGGCCGGGATCTCTGTGACGCGCAGCTCCGAGTTGGCCTGGACGTATTCGGTAACGTGTATCGCTTTCATGATGACTGTTTTGTGCCGGTGTAATAGTAAAATGCACGCTGTCCTTGCTCTCACTTCTTACGTCGAACTGGAAGCGCCGCTGGTATTCGAGGACAACAGAAAGGGAAATCGGATGTGACCAACATAAATTGAGGTACTACGTCGCTTCACATCATTGCTCAGTTGCAATACGTAGTACGGGAGATGTTATTGAGTTGAAGGTGCTATACGAAGCTTGAGGCATCTCGTTAACCGAGGTCCGAATCCATTTTGGAGGTACATCGTGTTCATTCTACGAAGTGACAGTACATGGAACTTTCCCATTTGCACAGTACTTCGTTGCTGTTTTGAATACATATCTCTGTCTCATAAATCCTCCGCATCATCACAAGTAGTGGAAGATCTTCCCCTGCACATCCTATAGTCATAACCCGTAACATCGGCCCTCCCGTCGGAACCTGAAATCTTCCCAGTGCTCAGCATGTAAATCTCACACTACCACTCCCAAGCTCGGATATCTCAACCTTTGTCCCCTCCTTCGATCCCTTGTAACCATATAGCTCATGACTGCTCTCCTTGCGCACGACCAAGCCGCGGCCGCTGGCAGCCACACTGCCAGAGCCGTAGGAAGTCATGTGCACCATCCCCTCCCACTCGGTCGGATACTCGATCGTCATACTCCCACTGCCACGCACTGTATGGGATGCCTCAAGAGCGCGGATTGGCTCGGTGTTGCTAATGTCGGAGTACACCTTGACATGCTGGCTCCCCTGGTTTGTAACAGTCGAAAGACGGGAATGCGCATCCAGCTCCGAAACGCCCACGGTGTAGACATCCAAGTGGATAGAACCGGCGTTTGTAGAGATCGAGGCTGAACCGCCATTTCCGTGGACAATGTTGCCCGAGACACTGCCTGCGCTACTAGATATCTCGGTCTGAAGGACCCTCGACTTTGCCACTTCAGAGATAAATCGTTTCCTGAACAAGCCACCTCCAGAGGTCATCTTCACGTTTACACTTCCGGCTTGGCTTGCAAGACGGAGCACAGCCGGCTTATCGCCAGGCTGAACTTCGATTGTGACGGTGATGCTACCGCTCGTTGTAGACAAATCAAGGAGATCGTACAGTTGATATGTGCCGGTGATAGACCTGAAGGTCTCGTGCTCGCGGTGTTCACGTTTCTCGGGTGGCCATGGTGTCTGCGATGGCTGCTTGCCAAAGTTCGGAAGATCGTATCGGCCGTCCTATTCAGAGCAGATCATGTTAGCAAAGATACAATGGGAGAATCGACAGCGTCTCGAACACAGTGTAAGAAATGGCTCCTGTACATTCTTGAAGGACTTGCAGAGCCCTGGAATCAGGAGCCAGAGGCAAGCCAGTAGCGCGAGCAGGAAGAAGCATATCTTTTTGAAGCGGCGGGCTCGATGTTTGTCGTGGTTGCGGTGTCCGAAACCGTGTCGCCGACTACCACACGACCGAGCTTTCCGAGGGCCACGGCACCACTTTCGTCTGGGCTGCTGCTGCTGCTGTTGTTGCTGCAAGAAGACGGGTAAAGTGTCTGAGTCCGAATCTGCTTCTGCTTCCTCATCGTGGTCATGGCTATGATAGTTGGAACTACCTTGCTGCGATTGTCGGACAGTTTCAGGTAGAGCCGATGGACCCCCCTCTTCATTCGGTCGGAAAGGGCTTTGGGCAGGACGTGTGTGTGAAGGAGTTTGTGTGTTGGGAGTGCTTACTGGCCCGGGGACTGGAGCAGGGACTGATCTCGCAGCCACTGGGGAGGCAGGCGCTAAGGGGGATTGCGATGCTGTCTGCGTACTGGCGGAGGGAGTATAGACTGGGGGAGGATCGGATGGATCGCCATCTTGTGGAATATCTGGGTACTCGACATCCCTCTCCTCGTCGCCATCCACCGTTGAGGCTAATGGCGTCCTGTTTGTGGCTGGCGTGCCGCCCGTAAAGTTGTCGGCCCACGAGCCTTGAGACGCCAGTCTCCGAGCTTCAACTGCTGCCGAGCGCGATTTGTCTGCATCGCCTCCTTGTCGGTATGATGTGGGAGATTGGTTCAGCGCATCTGCGCTGTCTGCGAAGGTCTCGTAGTTGCGAGGGGGATATTGTTTGTGAATCGTCATCTTCCACCCAAACTGCAATTTGCCAATCAATCCAATGCGGGGTACAAGTCAGTGCACGTAAGCCAGAAAGAGGATGAATATGGCTATATTCAAGAAGAATTGTCAAAAGGACTGTTAATTGTTGCCAAAATCATCGGATTGAGCTCTTTTACCCAGACTTATCGTCTCGAGCTGAGGATGGTTGATGCCATGTTGCCGATCAAGTCCCAGGCAGACACCAAAGAGAGCCCAGCACTCAGCGTCGCCGCATCCGTGTTCCCGCTTGCGCCTTCTTGTGAGCTTCCCCAAGTGGTTACAAGTTTCATCGCCCCCAGCATGGTTGCAGACTTAGCGGCGTGATAGGCGGATAAGGTCCACGCTTCGTCCACCCACGTTCTGTATCTCGTAACCCTGCATAGGGCCACCCGCGTTGTCACTGTGGTCAGCTCCTGTAGACGTCATCAACATTCGGTGGGCTTGATGCACGCAGGCGCGGGATCGTATCTCGTACCATATCTTTACAAGGACTACGCAAGGATTCTGGAATCGGTGCCATTGCTTGCGTGAACGAGTTCCGCTGCTCCAACAGCACGAGACCTGAAACGCTGTTGCTGAATATCGACAAGCAAGATTGCCATTCGCTGTTTCAAGCATGTGGTGGAGGAACAGTATGTCTAGGCGCATCACAATCTGGCATCTGAAGTGTGATATAAATCTCAGCAGCCATCTGAAGTGTGGCCGTCAAAGGGATGGGAAGTTCCCCTTTGCCCTATGTCGCCGGAGGAGCGAAGAGATGCTAGCTGCGCAGGTCCTTGTCGCTTCTCACCAACGCCGTGACAGAGACAGTATCCGCAGGTCAACGGGACCCGGCGCCCACCACTGTTATCCAGCAGAAATGACCTTGAGATCTGAGAAGAATCGAAGATGATCAGGTTGGTGAGAATCTCGGCTGTCGGATGCCCTGGTTTTGAGAAGGCATTTCTCCACTTCTGTTCTTCTTCACCTTTGTCGGTTGTGCGTAGCTCCCCAGTACGCTCGACTCTACTGTTGCAACATCCATCTGATGGGTCGCTTGGTAGCTTCAGAAAGTGGCATTGACGTACAGGTGGCTGGAAGCATGCAACTGTGTTTCATCTATATCGAATGAGAGGCGACATGAGATTTGTTGCTGATGACCTTCGTGCACTGGTCCGAACAGGCGAATGGTAAATTAGCGATGACTATCTATATTGAAACTGGCGGACCGACCGTGAGGCGATGAAGCTGTCACGGGGTCGAGTCTTGAAATTCACTTCTATGATAACAATTGTCACAGTCCTAGTCTGCCAGGAGTCTCTAAAATTCATCCCAGTCATTTCGACCAGCTTCACACACCTACACCAACGCCAACGTACCTCTCGCCAACATAGTTTCCCTCTTTTTCAATTCGAGCGCCTCACGATCTTGATTATGCCGGAAGTGAAAAAGATCAAGCGAAGATCAAGCGTAAACCAGGCGCAAGACAATGCAAGAAGTCCCCAGCGAAAAGATCCCTAAACCAGTCCCGTCAGCGCAGCCAGACACTGCTCAACAAGACTCGCCTTTTCTTGGATTTCCCGTCGGGATAAGACTGCGGATCTACTCCCACCTCGTGGACCTACCTCTTCGGACATCTCGCTGTCCCACCAGCCACCGCCAACTTGAAAAGGGAAGGAAGTCACTTCTGAGCATGTCCCGCCAAATCAGTGAGGAATAGATACCATTTTTCTATCGTACGTCTTCACAAATTCATCGTACCAGTCCCTCGACCTTTATGAGTGACGCCATATGCTTGAAATGAACCTCGCTGATTCCAATCAGGCTCCACAGCCATTGTTGCCAGTCACTTGGCCAGGCCGTCAGCTTTTTGCGACCTTTATCTGAAGATGTTGGACCATTACAAAATACGCAATATCCGCAAGATTGTATATGAGGCACCTTCCTTCGTAAGGGCCCAAGAGTCCGCAACAATGAAGGCTTTGGTCGCAGTCTTCAGGAAGTTGAGGAGAGAGCTTCACTCTCTTGTTGAGGTCAAACTGTATGCATCCGACCACCCCATTGTATGGTGGAAAGCCTTTGGAAATTCGACTCCTGCTCAGGTAGCGATGAACCTTTGGGAGCTGATGCGTTGGAATGGCAACGCAAAACTTCTGCAAGAGGTAGCTCGCTCTGGAGCGCTGAAGGGCTAATGTTGAGAAGGAGGTCTCGGTCGTTGCGTGCGGCAACAACGTGTACTCTCTACCATTCGGACTGGTTTTCAAGTTTACCAAGCCAGATGACTTGGATGTGTTGCTGGCCGAAGGACCCCGGACGGTTGTGTATAAGCTGTCGATTTTGGAATGAGGTTCGAGAGACGCAGAGGCACAGTCTTCCCAGGATTCATGCCGGCTTCAGCGAAGTGGCGGTTACGGTACACATGCCGGACGGGCCACATCGGACGATAGGGTGATCGAAACCTCTGCGACAGATATGCGCATCAGGAAAGCTGCATATTGAGGGGACACGGTTCGTTCTTTAGGCACACAACATTATCAAAAGTTTATGTTGGTGGGTGTTTACCAGAGCCTCCGGATCAGCTGGAACGGTCATTCACACAAGGCGACACAACATCAAGCTCGTGTCTAATGTTCTTTACGGGCTAGTCAGCAACACGTTCATGCAAATCCTCTGCCACATCCTCACCATGATTGTAGGCTACAGGCGACCTCCGTATGCTAATTACATTTCTCATCCGATGAGGGGCGGTCGAGAATGCCGAACGTGAGTTACGCACTAGAAGCAGACTGGTGAGAGATCCTAGATGAATCATCACGGGAATCACCGCTACATTCTCCAACGATATTATTTTAAATCTCAATATGCAAACGTTCCAACGACAGCCCAGCAAATTTATTTCTAGGCGCTTTCCCCCTGACTGCCACGAACATGCACACGAACGTCGTTCTCGAAGATCTCGTTTGATTTGCCCTAACTCCTTACCGAGATGCACGACTTGCACTGTGGATGTTGTGGGATAAACGCACAAACGAAGCTGGCTCCTCGAGCTCACTCTACCGTGAAGTCATCATGCAGAAGTGCTATACTTGGGTGATGCTCCGAAGCTCGAGCACATGCGGAGTACTGTACGAGTACCTCGTGCTGGGTAGCTCGCAGGCCGGGCGCAGTCACTAGGTGAAATGATTGGGCGACGTTGCAGTCTAACTTCCCGGCGGAAGGGCGCCGGGGCGCGTGGACAGGGCTCAACAGCCGTAACCCCCAGGCTGGTTCCGTGTTAGTGATAGATTAGGTTTCTCTACCTGCGGCTAAAGCCGTGTTTCCCAGCGCAACCAACGGTCGCGCGTTGTTTATCATCAGAAGAAGCTCCAAACCGCGCTTCTGGTTGCGGGCTTGGACCATGGAAAACCCGTCACATCACCTCACCGCTTGCAGGCAGACACGACGTGGTCCTCCGTGATGCGTCAAGTGACCGCGCCGTCGCTCATCATCTCGTGCTGGACGTCGAAGGAAGCGGCCTTTGTGCCCACTAGACGCCCAAGCGCGTTACATTTCTGCAGAAATTCTGCCTATCAGCGCGCTGAGCCCAGCAGCCATGACGGTGATTTGCCAGCTAGCACAATTGATTCGCACCCATTGTAGCATCTAGCTGCTGACAGCCGGGTCGATTGGATATTCGTTCCCATTGTTTTGCATATCGCCTCTTCGAGAGTGGCAAGAGTCGCATAGGATATTAAAGAAACCATATTTATTTTCCGAGCAACTTCTCGGGTGTAGTAGATAGAGCTCTTCCCGTAAAATCAAGGTGGGCTGTCACGCAGGCAGGCAGGTCGCAGGCCCCGGCAGTGAGGTTGTGCTGTGTTCGCCGTGTCTCTCGCGGTCTGCTTGCAACCTTGCTTTCTCGAGTCCTGAGCAGTTTCGCCAAAATCTCCAGGAACGAGTTCGGGTCAGCATCCTGTCCATTCACAATCCATTGACAGCTTTGTATTCACACCACACCACGACCAAGATCCTGGTCGGCCGCCGGACGAGAATCCTGACGTCGTTCGAGACGGACCATTCCTCCCGCTTACCGCCGTCACATTTCCCTCCAAGTCATTTCGGCCACAGAGCCCTGGTTCCCTGTTGCTCGAGTCCCGAGTCACGCACAGCCAGAAGACATCATCACGAGGCGGTCGGCGTCTTGTCTCCGACCCTCTTCCCTCCTGGCCGTTTTCCAGACTTTTCCCTGCACCAAATCAACATCTGCTCCGCAACACGAACCCTTCCTCACCTGCACCGAACACATTGACCAACCTCGACGAACCGAGCTCGGGCCTTTCGTAACACCGTCAGAGCCGTAACTTGGTCGACAACTACAAACTCCCGTCAACGCATCGGCGCCTTCCCTGTGTCAAGCGACTGATCGCAGCAGCTGCCATCCCCGGACTGCCGTCAGCGCAGTCTGGCTGCTAATATGAGAAAGAAGACCTTGACGCAGCTGCGACCGACGGTTCACATCTGCTTGGAGAGATAACGGGGTTCTACATTCCAGAGAGAGCTTTGCTCTCATGGAGCCACCTCCACCGCCGCCGCCGCCGCACGGTTCCAATCCTCAAGGCGGCGGCAGGTCAGGCGGTCTTCCTGACGGCAAATATGACATTTTTGTCATCCCTCCACACTCTGCCGGCGCAGGCTTCTTGTACCTCCCGTCTCTCCAGACCCAGCGCAATTCCTTCTTGGCTGGAGTCATCTGCACAGCATCCGCTTTCTTCATCTACTATACTGCTGTGCCTGTGGTCAAAGAATGGCTGTTTAGCACCATCAACAGTGGTGGAACGGGCGTCTTTACCCTGGTTTGCGGTGTTGCAGTGTTGGCATGGGCGCTCGGTAAGACACAGGGTGAATGGCAGGGGCCTGATCCGTCCAGTCGCTCCGGTCCCAGTCATGGTACTGGTGGCCAGGGTCAAGGCCATGCAGGCTATGGCACTGGCTCGTACCCTCACTCGGGCCCTCAACCACCGCCACCACCACCTCACCATGGCACGCAAGCTCCGCCTCAACCACCACCTCAGTCACCGCCTGGAACCAGCAGCCCTCCTCCTCAGTCGTCCTGGCAGAGACCACCGCCGCAGGCCAACACGAAAGCCAATACCACAAATGCGAAGTCAAGCTGGGAAAAGGCAAGAGAAGAGACTCGGAAGAGGGAAGAGGAACGAAAAAGAGCCGAAGAGCTGAGAAAGCGCAGAGAGGAACTGGAGAAAGAACGGCAACGGCAGAAAGAGGAACTGGAGAAACAACGGCTGAAAGCCCGGGAGAAGGAACTACGAGAGAGACTCGAGCGCGAGCTAAAAGAGAAAAGAGAGCGGGAAGACAAAGATCGTCTGGCGAAAGCTGCTGCAGAAGAGAAGGCCGCGGCTGAAAAGGCGGCGGCACAGGCTGCTGAGAGGGAAAGGGAGAAGCTAGACAGGGAGAGGCTAGAGAAGGAAAGGGAGAGGCTGGAGAAGGGGAAGGAGAAGCTGAGGCAAGAGCAAACTGCCCGAAGTGCTGCACAGCGTCCCCCCATGCCGACTGCGGCGACAGAACGAGACGACGACGCATACTCGTTCAGACCCTACGATCGACCCAAGCGAACGCACAAAGCCAACTCGGCGGCTTCGATGTACTCGGAGTCCTCATATGCACCGTCAGTGAGTACGGCGAAAACCACGCCGCCGCCGTCTATGCGTGGACCATACTCGACGAAGGACCCGGAGAAGATCGTGATCAAAGGAGTCTATTCCTTCAACAATGCATTCTCCCGCACCCCGATTGCTCAGCTTGTGTCTGGTCAAGGTAACGTTACCGATGGGCTGATTCTCCGAATCACCACCGAAGGTCTGTTCGTCGACGACGACCTACGAGGCGTGGGCCAACGAGAATGGGATGTCAAGGCTTGGACTATGAAATCGGCAGAGGTATGGTGTCCCAATGTTTCTCCCCCAGGAAATGACCCGAAGACTGCTCCCTGGAGAAGGAACTTCTCCCTTGGACTTGGAATGCATGCGGATTCGAGGCGAGAAACACCTTCACCCTCGCAGGGCGAATCGTCTGCGTTCGTTATCAAGCTGATGAAAGCGTGCGGAGGGGAGTGCAAGGAGTCGTCTCGGGCTCAGGCTCGGGCCTCAATGCACGGCTCTCGCCCTTCGTCTTCTTGGTCTTCTCGTTTCTCACTTGATGTCACCGCAAGCGACCATTCTACCAAATCATCTGATACTGACTGTGCCGTCAAACAGAGCTGCGAGTTATCGGGTTTGCACGTCCTCCGTGCCAGCATACGCGATCAAGAAGGCAAGAAATACGTCTTCATCTTGTCCCAAAGCGAAGGGTGGAAGGTTGCGGTTGGGCTGCAGAAATTACGACGCGGCTCACAGGTTCGCGCCTTGGGCGTCGCGGGCATGCCGATGAATGAAGGAAAGGCGATCCTGGAGAATCTGGGCTTCGTATAGACGGACGCAAAGCCTGGAGGAACATGTTCAGCTGCGTGACCATGCGTTGGCATGCAGTACAGCTCTCTCTGCACAGTGTTTGATATGATCGGTCAATGTTCTGTTTCGAGGATCCGAGCGACATTAGCGAGTTCTGAAAAAATGAGTCCGAGCATCAGCGATGGAGTTCAGATTGGATACGATTGTACAGTCAGTCAGTCAGTCAGTCAGTCGGCAAGCAGATACCTAGGTACGTCCGAGTCGAAGCGACGAAGGTGTTGGATAATGCAAATCTGAAGACATGAAGTGCTGTTATTGTGCGTGCCGGATTCTGATGCTGTGACTGGAAACCATTCCTAGCGTCCTGACATACGGCGGAGACATCCCATCGCATGCAGAGTTGTATGTCGTTGAGTCAGTCAGTCAGTCAGTTGACGGCTAACCTCTCAAGAGTCATCTGCACCGCCCTCGTGAAGAACGAGTCCTGTGCGAAGTATGTAACGTGGCAAAATATCTGAGTCGATCGAACAAGCGAGCCGCTTTCGTACTGTGTACTGTGTATTGTTACCCTGTACAGTACTTATTGTAGGTAGTCAGAAGGGAAACGCGGAACACTCGCCCAGCGAACATTGAATGACCACCCCAGCTTTCCCAGGGATTTCGCTCCATCAAGGTCTTCTCTTCACCGGATGCACAGACCCACCAACAAGGAATGCCGTGACAGGAAGTCGAAAATGATGGGCCATGTAGTAGCGAGGGAAGCGGCAGGTGGCATTGGGACGGCGGGGGATAAGAGGGAACAAGCAAACCAAAAATACGACTCTCTCTCTCTCTCTCTCTCTCTCTCTCTCTCTCTCTCTCTGTCTGTCTGTCTGTGTGTGTGTGTGTGTGCTCGAGTCTCGACAAGAATAGGTGCCTAGGTAATCTATGTCGAAAATGGAGGATCTATACGAGAGTACTCCGTATATGTAGGTATTGTAGACGTGGGAGCTTCTTACAGTACCATAGCAAGTTCCCTTTCCTGGCCATTTCCCCTGCCATTGCTTTTGAAGGAACAATCTGTCTCAACTTAGGCTTGAAGCCAGATCAGCCGAGCTACTCAAGTACTGTGGTTCCATTCCGCCCGGACTAGAGCGACGTCCATTCACCTGAACGTAAGATGGCGCAGTGGACCATAATAGACTCTTTCGCTAATAACCCCTCCCCTCGCGCGAGTCACCACAATTTTCAGTGCAGTACTGTAGCGGAAGCGTCACTCTCGCCATCGCCGTCATCTGCCCCGACGTCTGGATGCTCTGCTGGCAAGACTCCTTGCTCGGGCTTTCGGCACACGACCTCCACGTTCTTAATGTTGCAGCCTCTCTCACTGACACGGTTCTCGTGATCTGCCAGTTTCGGCAACGGTGGCACAGCGGATTCTCTTGCTGACTCACGCCCTTTGACCAGCATGCTCTCAAGCTGCTCCTACCAGCCACCTTTACTCGCTCTTTGCCAAAACTCGGGACCATCGTTGACATGTTCTAAAGTTCGTCATCAAGTTCGCCATAGAGTTTCACTTCTTTCGTACGGGCGTACACAAATGATGCCATATCTGCGGCGATCTGGTGGCAAAACATAGGGTAGAAAGTTCCCATGTCTTGAGGATGGCATCGTGTTCCTCCCAGTAGCCTGCCTGCCCGTCGACGAATGGCCCCGCCCAACCAGTAGTATAACCAGGTCGGGTTCATTAGGTCGGAAACAACAAGTCCATACTCTTCACTGGTTGGCAGCTTCGCGAAAGGATGAATAGACCTCTAACCTGATGTCCGAGCGGTAGATCCAGAAAATGACCGAGTCTCACGTATCGATCTCCATATGCTCTTCTTCGGTGGTGGTGGTGGTGGTGGTGGTGGTGTAACGCGCGCCTCCGCGGAGGCTGGTCCCGGATCAATGCTGGCTTGGCTGCATATGATCTTCCCACAGGACCTAGTCCGGACTGTATAGAGAACGGAGGGCTAACGGTATCCATTTCTGCCATGCCTTGCTCTTGCGAGCGTGGAGACCAATAGAACGGGATACATCCTGGAGTCTCAGTGTTCAGTTCCGGCATGCCTTTGGTCTTGAGAGCGTGGAGACCATGAGAACGGGGTATATTCTGGATAGGATGATCGACCGGTTGAGGTCAATGTCAGAACGCTGGAAGGTGAATGTCGCGGATGAAGGAGGAACCGGAAAGGTCAAAGATGAAAATGGACGGGCCGACAAAGCAAAGGCAGATCATCGAGTCGACAGTCATGAGGCAGTCGAAAGAGCTGCAGTTGCCTCGACCCGTGCTGAGAATCTGCTGCCTCATCAGTAACAGCGGGCAGGGGGCGGATGTTATCAACGCTCCACAAGTTCGCCACTACCCCGAAAGAACTATGGGCAACCCGTTGCTCATCTCCCTGCAGGTGACCCGAGTTTGCGAACAAAGCGGCGCGGCTCATTCAGGTCCGCAGAAGTCGAAAAGCGAGTTGAAGAGAAAGGACGGCGGCCGCCAACCACTGCTTGCCAGACCTCCTGCGGCTTCCCTTAGCGGTGATGAGGATCTTTGCCGTCGTGGAGATGTGGGGGAAAGATTCATGGTCAGCCGCCCTTTGAACATCGCTCTTGAACATCGCTCTTGAACCGCTCTGGATCTCAATGCACCTCTTTCGACATTCGGCCGTGGGACTCCTTGCTCTCATCTTCACATCTCACGCCATGAACCCCAACGCCACTCACACCAGATAACTCACACCAGATAACTCACACCAGATAACTCACACCAGATAACTCACACCAGATAACTCAAGCGCCGTTCCCGCAACCCTCAAACAGTAATCTGAAACCTTTCCCGCAACCCTCAAACAGTAATCTGAAACCTTTCCCACATCCTCAAACAGTAATCTGGAACCTTTCCCGGACCCTCTCCCCAAAGTAATAAAACAGCAGCGGACTCGGCGCTATCAAGACGGCCACGAACCCAAAGCAACTGATCCCCCAGCCGTAGCCCAGCTTGTCAAACAACATGGGCGCAAACAAGGGCACGACGCCGCCGACGATACTCCGAAAGACAGATCCGCCAGCAATTGCAGAGGCCGCATACGTGGAGAAGGAGTCGATGTAGTAGTTCTGCACGCTGTTGAAGACGACCACCTGGCCGATGCCATAGAAATATGTGGCGGCAATGGACGCCAGCCAGTGGACGCGGTATTGCACCGTCCACGCGAACCAGAAGAGACTGGCTGGTATGAGGATGCTGCCCACATTTGCGAGCGGCAAGCGGAATTCGGGAAGTGCTTTGCCGCCGTTCTTCTCTGTGAGTCGGTTGAAGACGGTGTCGATGCGCGGCACCAGGAAGCGGACAGACGTGAGGAAGCCCAGGCCCGGTCCCAGGTAGAGCAACCCGATCTTCTCCGAGCTGAAACTGTACGGCTCCTCCGAGTAGATCTTTTGCATGTTTGTGTAGATGCTGTAGGTGGTGCCGAAAATGAGTGCTTGATACAGGCTCATGGTCAAGACGATGGGCTGCACGAAGATGACAAACGGCCGCTTCATGCTCGCGACGAGTTTCCTGGCCAACGGCCGCTCGTCCTCACCGTCGAAATAATACCTCATCCGCTTCCCGCCGCCCGTGTCATGCCGTTGCGTGAGCTCGGCTTTGCGGCGCGCGAGGAGCACGGGCGCGTACGTCTCCCTGAGGAACAAATACCCGATGCCGGTGTTGATGGCGCAGATGATGGTGAGGATCCAGTAGATCCATCTCCAGCCCAGCCGGGTGACGATGACCCCCCCGAAGAGCGGCCCCAGCGTGGGACCCAGAAGCGGGCCCAGCAGATACCAGCCAAAGATGCCCGCGCGCTGCGACGGCTCGTACATGTCGTTGATGGTGCCCCCGCCGTTGGCGAGCCCGACACTGCCGAAGAAGCCACTGATGGTCCTCATGGCGATCAGCGAGCCGATGTTGGGACTCACGGCGCTCGCCGCCTGCAGCACGGTAAACACGGCAAAACAGAAAATGTAGAGCGTGCGCCGGCCAAAGTCTTCGGACAGAGGTGCCCAGACCAGTGGGCCGAATCCCATCATGATGACGAAGCCCGTCGTGGTGGCGATGACTTTCTGCTCCGTGGTGTGCAGGTCGTCGGCGATCTGTCTGATGCCCGGCGTAAACATGGACGAGGCGAGGGGCGTCAAGATGGCCATCAAGGCGATGATGGCGACGTTGATGAGCTTCTTGCGGCGACCCCATGCTCGCGGGTTCTCCTCGTCGTCGGCAGTGAATTGAACCTGGAGGGTTTCATGGCTGTACTGGCTTGCTGTGTCGCTGTCAGGATGGAGAAGCGGCCGTAGTTCGTCATCGCCGAGACTGCTACCACGCGGTGGCATGACTGTACTGTGGCTGGTTGACTGGAGCGGACAGAGTAATGCCACTCGATTGACTAGCACGATGACTTGGCTGCTTGCAAGTCAGGCATTGGGAGCGCGGGACGATGACTCGCAATTGGGAGCTTCGTGCTGAGATGGAAAATAATTACTGTCAGCGAGTTCAGGATCGCGTGGTCTGGTCAGATGCGCGATGCTTGTCCACATGTATGACGCCGAGACCGAGACCGAGACGCTGATCACGCAGGCTCGACAGGGCAGATGCCACACACGGCGGACCTCGATCCCGGCCTATGCATGGCTTTTCGACGCCGAAGATCAGGCTGCACAACGTCTCCACATGACAATCGGATGCCGAGCGATGGGATTTACAATACAGTAAGTGGTTGCCGTCGAGGGTGGTATGGATCGGAACAGACTGTTTAGCTACAGCACAATCACGGCGGGTGTAAGATTGGGCCGGCTTCAAGTGCATTTGTTAATTGCGCTATCGACACCGGCGTCTTCTGTCGCGGCCATATACGAGGCAATGGCGAAACGCTGTACATATGCACACATGCGATGAACTCTTACACCTTGTTGCTAGGAACAGCGGGTCTACTTCAAACTCGACATCCATCGTTGAGACGTTCTCTGCAGCGGCATTAGCAACAGGATACGTTGTCAGGGGCGGCGGCAGGGCACCCACCAGGACGCTATCTCTGTCCAAGGATTACTTACCGCCAGCGCCACCGTGGCCTCTGTCCGTCTCAAACTGTTGGCGATGTATGAAGTATAGCCACGGACGCTTGTAGAGCGGACCTCGGGGCCAAACAGGCTGTGTCGCTGAGGCGGAGGTCGCTTTGTCCGTTGTACCGGTCGTACTGGATTGATACCCACGTTCCGCAGGGATGTTGCCAGTGCTCTTTCGCTTGCAGTAACTCTGTGGCCTGGCAGATCTGTGCCCGTAGCTTTGTGCACCCGACGTGAAGCGGCATGTGGTATTCGTGGAGAGGAATTTCCAGGCGCCGTGCCTTTGATGTTTGTACCTAGAGCAGACCATGAGCGCAAGGAACAATATCAGGCAGGGTTGCCGATCGTCAATGGCCCTTCACGGCATGCCGTGTCATGTCAACCCTTCGCAAACGGGCCGTGGGCTGTCATGCTCTAGCGCTGTTGACCACGCTCGGTTGTCTGCGTCTCTTGAGCCCCCTTGGCTTCTTTCCTCGCCAGGGTAGTCGCCAGCCATTCTTCAAAGTCTTCCTCGGCGTCTTTCTCCGACCTGCCTGTCCCGTCCACGCCCAGTCCTCCGCGGATCATCCTCCTCGCGTCCGCAACGCTGTTGATGTTGAGATACCAGAGCGTGCCTCCCGTCGCCATCATGGACATGCTGAGCACGTTGACCGTCGCCAGATTCAAGGCCTCCAGAGCTTCCATGGCGCCGTTGACATTTTTGGCCTGTTCTGCCTGATGGCCCGGAGCGTTGGCATAAAAGGCAGGACTTGAAGCTAGCCGCTTCCGTGCAAACGCTCTTCTTGTGATCAGAAGCGAAAAGACGAAGAAGGCGGCGCCAGCTCCGAAGATCACGGCGTTCCTGTTCGGCCGGTCGATCTGTGTGGACGGTAAAGGCGAGGGTTTGGCGGGTTCGACGACAGAATCGGGCTGCTGGACGGGTTCTTCAAGGATTCGATTGTCGGACGCGGCAGACTGCGCCGGCCCCGATGTTGCTGGCGGCTTGGAAGAGGAGAAGAGCGAAGAAAACCACGACATCCTGGCTGCACGGTGGCTTCTCGCGCGGATATGGCTGTATTGGCAAGCTGCACGCAAAACTGATCGAAAGTCTGGATAATGGTCGAACAACAGCTCCTGCGGCGGACGGAATTGCACGAAGGCATATCTGGTCCGCCGTAAAAATTCCCTTGGGAAATTCACAGTGACACAGTGACTATGGAGTACAGACAAAGGACAAAGCTTCAGCGAAACATGTCGGTGCTATACTTTCCTCTACTGATATCATAATACCTATAACCCTGACATACGTCTCGAAAATCGAAGGCAAGTAGGAATCAGCCCCTGCTGGTCTCGTAAATCGCAGAACAGGTTACTCAAGTTCTTTCCACCACAGGCTACTCGTCCTCGGTCCACAATCGGGCATCACGCAATCACGGCGTCCTCAGATACATACCTCGTAAAAGGTGACGGGTACACCGCAAAGCATTTCTCTTTCTGGTCGAACAATCAACTGAACAGGCAACACCGACATCAAATTGGTGCTCCAACATATGCACGATCCGAACCGTGGATGACAGCTGGCGCGGACATCATGCACCAAGCGAGCCTGTCTTCTGCTCTGAAGCACCTTAAGCTTTCACAATCTGGCACTCCACTTACACGTGGCGTCCGCTCGCTCGATTCCTTCGTCCAAGGATATACGGAGTGCGCGCGGAATACGTCCTCGTTCCAAGACATTCCGGTCCCGGGGTACGAGTAACCTTGCAGTAGTGTAGGGTGATGGTGACACCAGATACGAGAAGGATAGGAGAATCGCCCCGCGGTTCTGCTTACAGTACTGACCAAGTGCTCTTCCCACCGAGTCCCCTCGACCAGATCATGCGGCTGGACCGACCATGTCCGGCCGCAAATGCGCAATCGCACCGCTCTCCCGAAATTTGGTGCGCTGATTTTGATCATGACGAGCGGAAGGCGCGCTTGGAGTGCCTGATCGTTCGATGCTGTCGCCCCGGGTGTCGTAAGGCGAGCACCAGCAACGCCTGTTGGTGCCGCCTTTCGAGTCTACTCCTTCATCCAAGGATGTGGTCCTATCAGCGCCACATCGTATCCATGCTGCATGTCCTGCGTGTCTTCGAAAGCGTCACTTGTGACCTAAAGCTCCGTCTTGTTCGTTAAACCCTGCCGGCAAAAATTGCCATCTCCCATCCACAGCAAGACGGGCGATGGCGTCAAGACCAAGACACATACGATGCACCAGGATGCAACCCCCTTCGCGTCCTATGTACATACCCGTAGTCGCTAAAGCAAGCCTCCCATCATCCCGTGTGTTTGAACCTAGCCTCTTACGTCGCCGAGTTTCCCGAACAGGCCCGCGACGGGCCTGAAAGAGTAAATCGACCCTGGACTTTGTCGGCCAGCATATGCATGTAAGAACATTAACCCGCACCTTTGTTGTTCCTCTTTCATGCAAGCCTCTCGGTGTTCGCCAATCAAAATCCTGCAATCGACAGGGGGTTGGTCGATAGCGTCGGATGCGGCATATGCGAGTACTCGTAACGTGTGGAGGCACGCTCCCTGTCCGAATCCATGCAGGGTAAGATTTCCCGGATCACTGTTGCTACACCATAAATTGTGGTTCCAGCTGCGGTCAAGGTGCTTTAGTCCCCATCTCATGGGCGCTACGATCTCGTACTGCACAGGCCTGGCAGGTAGCCGATGCCGACATCATGCCGCCGTGCATAGTTGGGATGACTACGATCGTTCAAAGGAGATGTGAATCAGTAGATACAACTCATCCACGACTTGTCCTGCCGCAGTCACCCATCAGACGGTCCATAAACTATGATTCAGCGGAGGCATCGTTGAGTGGACATTTTTGCACTGCTCAGAGCCCGGGTTTTTCAAGACGCGCGTGCAGTCAGGATATCGTTGAGACCCGTCAGCCGCGAACGAGTAAATGTGCTGGATCCGACTCATTTGACCACGGATCCATGCCAGTTGGCCGGCCCGCAGTTTGCGCATCAGCGGGCCTGGTTTGGCTTTGGGTGACCGCAGTGCCGGGGACGTCAGGAATCCGGCAAGAGGGGTCATGATGAACCAGCCCCCAATTGCTGCTGCGGCTCGCGCGTGGTCTTCCATGGTCATCTCGACCTCGTTGCCGAACGGGTCGACGTAGTTGGCCAGCCGCCGAAGTTCGGCGGGGATGTGAGGATACTCCCTTCGCTCGTGGGGGAAGGTGATCCCGGTCCTGTTGCCCAGGTGGAACGGGATCGAGGCACAGAACTTGTCGACGACCGACTGGATCCGGTCATTCACATGGAAATCGATGTCCGGGTCGACGGCGACGCCCAGATCCTCAAGACCGCTCAAGCAGAGCGCAATCAGACGCAAGGCACCCACGTGCGAAGACCGCGCCGCGTTGTTGACGTGAGAGACGGCGAGCGAGGAATATACGTCGCACATGTTCTCGTACAGTCCGGCTTCACGGATGGAAGGATGCAAGTCTGCGGCCGATATTGAGACTGGCCGCCATGATATCGGAAGCGAATCAGTCCACGCCTGAAACTTCTTCTCCAGGACGAGCGCCTTGCTCAACACAAGCTTGTAGAATTCGGTCATGCTCAGGTTGAGGGCCTCGGGCCCGCCTTGAGCCAGCTTATGCAATGTGGCGAGCTCCACGTTCAGGAGGTCGAGTTTGGCGGACGGAAGCACGGCCGTCGCGTCTGCAAGAAGAGCGGGATCCAACTGTATGTCCTTGCCCGCTTGCAACGAGTAATTAATATGCCGGCTTCTCATGGCATTGAAAAGGCGTTGAGAGAGTGGGGTCTTGAAGTTGTCCTTTCCCCGGTACTTCAGCAAAGCCACGGCGCCTTTTTGGTGGGTCCCCGTGTCCAGAAACTTGACGAAGCGTTGGTTGAGCGAATCGTAAAAGTCGAGCATGAAGACCGTCGCGAGCGTCTCGTCCGTTTTACACTGGACGGGGTCTTCCAGGAGAGCCTTCAGACGAGTCACGGCCTTACCGTAGGCTTCTCGAGCGAGGTAGGAGTCGACATGCCGTGCCATCCACAGGGACGTGACGTTGATGGCCACTCCGTGGATGGCCTCGTACAGGGCCGAGTTGGGCGGGGTGTTCAAGTACATGGGGAGGATATGCTCAATGAAGATATTGGTGCTGGGGTCTCGTGGAGTATTGACATAGTTCGTGAAGAAATAGCAGAGCGACTCGATCGCCACATTCCGCGATGGCTGTGCAAAGAGAGCAGGACTGGCCCAGGCATTATTGGAGATTCGGAAGATGGACGAGTCGACGCTCTCGTCGCTGCTATTGCGGATGCACTCTTCGGAAAGGCGTGACTCGAGACTGCCGTCGAGGTCTTCCGCAAGAGCACATGTCCTCTTCTGTCTTTTTGAGCCACTCTTCTGTGAAATGACAAAGGTCTCGTCCTTGTGGACGGCGTCGAAGAAGTCCCGGTACCCTGGACAGCGCTGCTGTCGCTTGACGCAGTTGCCACACTGGGGTCGCTTCTCATCGCACTATCCGCATGTTAGCAATCGGGTGAGAGGAGAGAGAGCGCAGAATGACCTTGACGCGCCGTTTCCGGCACATGTAGCACCCTCGACTCGGCCCTTTGTACACCATCTTGAATGATCAATGAGGCAGCCCGCGTTGCTCTACAAGCATTGGATAGTTCGCGGGCATTAAACGACGGTCGGCCGTGATTTCTCGTTGATTCAGATACCGGCTTTCACGTCAAGCACACGACCGCATGCTCAAGAGGGGGGAAGGCACAGTCTGTCTGAGGACTGCCAGCTTTATGTCGAACACCTACCGCATCATAGTCACAGGAAGTATTGTTGGCTTCTGGCGGGCCTAAGTGGGAGCTGAATGGTGGTCGCTGCAGGGATGGGAGGAGATAAGTCTTCGTCCGACTTGGCGCAGTGGCTATGCGTCGGTCTGCTGTCTCAAGATGAAGCCCACAGTGTTCATTATGTGATGTCTCGTATATTGCGGGAGACTCGGAAATATACGATCAACTTGACACGCCGAATAACAGAAGGGCAGCAAGGGATGAGCTTCGAGCGGGATTCCCGAGATACACGTATAGTCCTCGGCCTGCAACCCGCACTCGTACGCGTTTCGTGGCTGAGGCAGAAATGGCGCCAGTGCTGCTGCTGGCTTCCCTTAGCCGAACACGACGCGGGAGCGCTACTTAATCAGCCTGATGCCAATCCCCCAAGGCCCCTCAGGGTAACCACTGGTGCTCTAGGGATGCACTACAAACCGGCCCTTGTCCGCACTCGGAGATCACCAGCAAAAGGACGGCGCCGAGGTCCAATGCGCGGGTGGCAATGACTCGAGCCGCCGTCGATGCGGCCTGAGGAGCCTGCGGGTCTGAGTATACGACCGACTGCCAAGGCTTCAGGCAGCACAGTTTCGTGCCCTGGTGCTCATGGCATATTGCAAATCACTCGCTAGCGGATCAATGACACCGTGGTGGAATTCACTTTGACAATTCTATCCATCTACTGGGCAACCACTCCCGCAGCTCACCAAGGCTGCTGGACGTCATTCTGATCCCAGAACTTCCCGCTATAAGTGGCCTTATCTGCTTTGTCAAAGACTGTGATCAAGCCATTCACAGACGCCTCCAATGTGACCGGGACGTCTTCTGGACTCATCCCGGCGTGTGCGGCCGCCCTGTTCCCCATTGCTGTTCCACCCTATGTCAGTATCCCTGTATTCCATATGGTGTTGTCACGTGTGACATACCTGTCTGGACCCAGCCGGGTTGCATAGCGACGATGACGATCCGATCCTCCTCTCGGTGGATACGACTCGCGGCCCAGTTGAGGGCTGTCTTTGATAGACCATAAGCAAGCATAGGCAGTGGATAGTGGTCTTGGAGGCCGTTGCTCCCGATGTTGGAAGACATAAAGAAGAACTTGGGTGTCTGTTTCGAGGCGTCCAGGAGTCTTTGAGTGGCCTGGTAGAGCAGGATTGGCGCCAAAGAGTTGATCTCAAAGTGTTCGCTGATGGTCTCTGGCGATGCCTCTTTGGCTGGTCCAAAGTGTTTCAAGATGCCTGCGTTGGCGATGACGATGTCCAGAGAGCTGACATCGTGGGTGGATTGGAGAAAACTGACAAGCTCGACGGCCGCTGTCCTCGAAGAAGCGTCGTACTCTGCGACCACAATCTTGCTCCCTGGTCCCACTGGTAAGGAGGTCAAAACTCTGGCTGCTCCAGAATCTGGTCCATCTCGGATAGCTGCAATGGCGAGCGTGTTCGGGCGAGAAACATATGCGGATAGCAATCCTTTCCCGATGCCAGATTTAGAGCCTGTGACAAGAACGGTGGTTGTGAAAGCCATGTTGGGGGTTAATATCGAGCGTGCCGGCTATTGATTGATGAATGACTGGAGGTGCTGGATTCCTTTCGGATTGTGCCTGGGTTGGAGTGGTTATTGAAATTACGATGTGAGCACTCAGGAAGTGCGTGAAGTCTTTTGCTCACGCGGCAGGGAGCTGGAATATGTACTCACACAACACCCAGCTGAGAGGTTTCGCATGACCTCGCAACTGGAGATTTCACTCTGCATCGTCCCAATCACAATCTCACCTTCCGTGTATTGATCCTCTAGCAGCTGACCAGAAGCTTTCCAGATCCGGAGCTTGGTCCTCTGAGGTAGTCAATCGATTCATGGTCGACGACATTGATGGAGACCACGAACAGCCCGACTGTTATGCTCGCGGAACCGACGGCAGCCACGCAGTCAAAATGACATGAACGTTCAGAAGTGATAAACGCCTCAGGTTGCGTTTTTGCACCGACTAGGCAGTTTCTCATTGGCTGCCGTCTGATTTCCCAACAGAGACACTGGTCGACTACGGGAGCGTTGTCCTCACCGTCAAGGTGGCGTCGTGTCAGGCTGGCACCTGGCTGCTACAGTATGTGGCATTGCTCTGTAAGCAACGTACATATTGGATAGCCCTACCAAGTTGAACCGTGGATCGTGAGCTGAGGGTTATGTCAATAGCGGCCAGCTGGACTGACACGAGGAAGTAAGGAACAAGCTCGAAATATGAGAAGCACAGAAGCACCAGGTACATAACCCCATGGTCCAACGAGGAAGGTAGCGCGGTCTGAGCCTCTCGGCGTCCTTCTAGCGGGATCGGGTACCCCTGCATCCAATGTGACGCCAGCCTTAGGCGTGCCTAGGCGTGCCTAAGCGTGCCTAACTCGACTCGCTCGGGGGCCAGCACAGTACATGCGGAGTACAGTCCATACCTACCAGGTAGGTACAAATGTACAGTATAGGAGGTAGGTACCTAAGTACCTGCGCTGATCCGGTGGCACCAACTGTACCGAGTACGGAGTGTCTACTTCCTGTCCACGGTACTTCGTGTTCTTGTTCATTTGCTCTCATAAGTATCTTTTCCAAGTGGACTCCCGCAATGAAATATTTCGACCTCGACGTATCGTCCGCACCAACTACTACACCTGATTCAGCGCCCTGCCTAAGAGTCTGCTGCTCGGCCTGATGGACAGGGGAACAATTCTCCCCCAGGCTCGCGCACGCACTCCTTTATATGATGAACTGACTCTCTATCGAAGAGGCAGCTCCAGCAGCAACCTTCCTCCGCCAATCCTGGTGCAGGCCCGAGTTATGGATGCTGTCGCCCACGTCACTCTGCGATGATTATCGAGGCATCCCGCACGCCGAAGTCTCGTCTAGTTACCTTGTCAACCAAGAGCCTCAAATGGCTTCGAGACGTTCTGAGTTGACCACGGCATGCTTGCATGGAGTCACGCAAGCCCGCACGCTATGAGCGGGGATCATATTGACTGTAGTACATTTGAGTGCTGACAGTTTATTGACTGTATAGAGAACATGTGCCAGGCTTATCTCCGGCCGACTTTCTCACCTCATGGTCAAGGACGACACAAGGCTGGAGAGAACACCCGGCCATGCTCCTATTTCTTCTTAAAGGTAACGGTATGTTTCTCTACTCGGAAGAGGATCCAGAGTATCATTTTGATGGAGTAAACTGCCAGAAGCGAGAGGCGGACCAGGCTGTTCAAAGAAAGCACGGAATCAGTGGTACTGAATGTCCTCTCTCAGTGCATAGGGGAAGCCTTCAGAGTGTAAGCTGAAACCGATGTTGGACAGGCACTACTAGGCACAGGCATGTCGCACAATTGTTAAGGTGTCGCACAGTATGTTCGCTAATGAAACTACTGTACAGGACGACGCCCATCCCACTTCATTTATCCCATCGCGCTTCTACTGAAGTGTCGCATTGTCTGTTCACTTATGGGCCACAGCACAGCATAGCACAGCGTGGCGTCCAGCCCACTCCGCTTGGCAGATCACAATTCTATCAAAGCGTCGTCCAAAATAAACCTTGGCAGGTGGTGTTTCTGTGAAAGCGCCGTGCAAAGATCCCGCTTGGCAGATATCGACAGACAGGTCAGGACAATCAAGCCAAATCTGGTCGAATCTGACTGGATCTGACCAGATCAAACCAAATCCGACCAGATCTGACGGAGATCTGACGTCGCAGTTTGAGGAAAGTGATATGCCCCTTTTTGGTAAACATCGGTAAAGCTGTGGGTGCTGGTGTTAGTGGTGGTGCTGGTGTAGGTGAGATGTTGCTGTATGACAGAGCTGTCCTTGTTCACGAGGTATGTACGTACATATTCGATATCTACGTCTATACGTAGGCGTGACGGATACATGGTAGCCACATACATGATCCAGTACCGTACTGTAGATGGATTGAAGTAGATTTAGTTGATAGGGGAGATAAAGAGACTGGCGAACAGCCAGCCAGACAGTGCGCCAAACAAACAGAAAGAAAGAAAGTCAGCCAAACAGACAGACAGCCAGCCAGGCAGACAGACAGACAGACAGACAGACGGACGTATAAGAATTGTCGCTAATTACACCGTCTCTTGGCTTTATGTTGACGGTCATGTGTCGCTATATAGTTTCATGGTTTTATAGCATATATATGTAGTCACGCCTTGTCGTTGCTACTAAGTTCCTTATATCGTACGTTATAGACACCCAACGACGACAAAGCTCCTCTTGAAACCAGCCTTAGCCAGGCACACTGTAGACTGAAGGCTTTGGAAGTCCACTCACAGAAGATGCAGGTGGGGAAGAATCAGAAGCACAGTCAGGTCACGTTCATGGTCGACTTCACGGTCACCTTCACGGTCACCTTCACGCTTGTCTGGGACTCTGTCTGGGACTGTGGGACTCTCAGTGCCGCGCCGGTGGTGCTCCGTATGGACTCCTCTACTGGACAGATTGGCGACAAAGTCAGCGATCAAAGTCAGCGATGAAGAGTCACTGCTGCTGGCGTAATTATGTGTTTGGCTGGTTTAGATGTGTTTGGCTGGTTTAGATGTGTTTGGCTGGTTTGACTGCATTTGGCTGGATAGTTGGCTAATGTGTATGACGATGCTACAGTATCAATGAAACACTGGACTTTGTGGGTGTGGTATCGTGGTCTGTTTTTTTTCAGCACTACATCCACTAGTCGCTACCACTGTAGTCTTTGGATGAACGTTGCACAGTCCTCCATACACCGTTCTGTCCATGGAATGCCTTCGGCACGGTGAGAGCGTTCCAACCACACGTGTTTACTTTCCCCTGGCACGTTGAGGCCCTGCCTCCAGCTGTACACATACACTCACAGTACTCACACTCACAGCATCATCCTCCATGTCAATGCCCACTGTTCACTCCCCAAGACCACACTAGTACTGCCCGTCGATCGTGAGCGTTCCCGTCTTGGAGATCAAGTACTCATTGACCGCGACATCCTTGCCAGATTCCTTGCCATAACCACTCTCTTTGATGCCACCGAATGGCGACTCCGCGGCAGAAGAGTTGCCGGTATTCTATCATGGACGTGTCAGCAGAGACATCCAGAAAATGGCAATAGCAGAAGAGGGAAAAGAACAACAAACTCACCAGCCCAATCATGCCTGCCTCCAGATTCTCCAACATCCTCCAGATCCGGTCCACATTCTTGGTAAACGCATAACTCGCCAATCCCATACTCGTGTCGTTGGCCCACTTGACCGCCTCCTCCTCCTTTTCAAACTTAAACAGCCCCGTGACGGGCGCAAAGGTCTCTTCCTTGGCGATCAACATCTGGTCATTCATATCCGTCAGGATGGTCGGGTCCATGAAATATCCCGAAAGTCCCTTTCCGGAGCCGGCGCCTTCTTCAGCCTTGGCATTCTTGTACGCCTTGCCGGTGCCGAGTTGCAGTTTTGCGCCGTGCTTGATGGCATCGGCGGCTTGTTCTTCTGCCTTGGCGAGACCACGCGGGGTGGTTACGGGGCCCATGGTCGTGCCCTTCTCGGCGCCATGTCCGACCTTGAGGGTCTTGGTCTTTTCTACGAGCATCTGGGTGAATTTGTCGTATACTCCGGATTGCACGTACACTCGGTTGGCAGAAATGCATGCCTGTCCGGCGTGACGCCATTTCAAGGCCATAAACTGTGCGAGAGCTTGTTCGAGATCTGCGTCGTCGAAGATGATAAATGGGCAGTTTCCGCCAAGTTCGAGAGTGCATTTCTTGAGGTTCTTGGCGCACAGGCTGGCGACGATCTTGCCGACGCGCGTGGAGCCGGTGAACGTGACCTTCTTCACCAAGGGGTGCAGGCACATGGCTTCACTCAGCGACGGGGTGTTGTCCAAGCTTGTCGTCAGCACGTTGAATACTCCGGGTGCGAAGCCTGCTTTGGTGGCCAAGTGGGCGAGCGAAAGACACGTCAGTGGTGTCTCTGGCGAAGGTTTAACCACCATGGTACATCCTGCCGCGAACGCCGCGCCGGCCTTTCGAAGGATCATGGCGATGGGAAAGTTCCACGGCACAAGAGCGACGGCCACGCCTATGGGCTGCTTCACAACGAAGGTGCGGCGGTTCGGCGCCGAAGGAGTGAATACCGAGCCGTGGATGCGTTCGGCTTCACCAGCAAACCACCATGTGAATCCTAGAGAGTAGTCGAGCTCACCGATCGACTCGGCGATCGGCTTTCCCGTCTCGTAGGTGAGGATCTTGGCGAGGTCCTCTTTTGCGTTGGTGATGAGTTCGTGCCATTTGTAAAGGAGTTGGGCACGCTTGCGCGGGTTGAGAATCTTGTATTCCTGGAAGGCGTTGTAGGAGGACTGAATCGCCGCGTCGACATCTTCGACGGCGTTGTCGGGGCAGCTAGCCCACACCTTGTCGGAACCCGGGTCGATGATGTCGAAGCGTTTGCCGGATTTCGCTTGCACCCATTCACCATGGACGTAGGACTCCTGCTTCAGGAGGTCTGGGTCTTTCAGTTCGAACGGGAGATTGGAAG